ACATGATCTAAAATTGAGGCAGAGTGTTGTGTTACTCTAGTGGCATTTTGATTATTTATTTTATTTTGAAATTTAAAACCATTCATTTCAACCGTATTTTTATAAGAACTTATACTCTGTGAACTTTTCAGTAAATCCAGATTTATATCGCCAATAAGTATGCATGAAGTTTTCTGACTTTCCAATAACTTGTCGAATTCGGGCATAAAAACATTGGTTTTATTTTTTGGTGGTCTATACACAGCAAATATTGTGAGTTTTTGTTGGGATAGATAAACTGATACTACGTTGCAGTCGTATTTGTTGATGTTATATTTAGTATTTAGTACATAGTTTATTCCATTTTTAACAAAAATGCAGGCACCTCCTCCTTTTGTATCTCTGCAGTCATGCACTGCCGCATATGATGGTAAATTAAAGTAGTTTATTTCATTGGGATAAAGCCACGTTTCGGTAAGTATAATTATGTGTATTGATTTTTTACTAAGCAGAAGTATGTTATTTATATCATTCAGTTTGTTTCGAAGACTCCTAATATTAATATACAATATATTCAGATCATCCTTTACAGCCATTGGTATAATTTTTGGTTTTTATTGTGAAAGAGAATTACTTGATTTAGGTTACCTTTAAATGTGCTGGAAGTCTTCCTCATTCTTTATTCTTACTGCCCGGTCATTTTCACCCTTTTTCAAATACACTTTGCCATTATTTACATATGCCGCCTTATAGTTGTTGATTCTCTTTAGCTCGCGAGCCTTTTTAAACAATAGTTGGTTGTATTTAGTTAGGTCTTCAAGTTTGATTTATATTTTCTGCCTCGGTTTCTGCTCTAGCAAAAGTATTACAAAAATTATTACTTTTGTTGCAAAACCAAAATATCCTCACAAAATAAAACAAGCCACTTGATATAAATAATTACACTTGGCATCAGTTCACTGCTCCACGCCTCTGGCTGGCCAGCCCAGAGACTCCAATCATGTAGAATTCTACATATCGACAGGATTCTATAGGCTCGACACAATTGATATAACGAATTCCAAATTCCACATGGCACGGAGTCCCTGCCCAGACCTCCACGCTAAATGCCAACAGCGAAAAGCCGGGCACTGGAGAATCATTGGGGAATCCCTGATTTTTCCTGTGAAAATAACGCTCATTCAACTGAAAATTTGCTATTTTTGAAAAAAACCCAAAAAACCCATTATTGGTGGGTTTTATCAATTGAAAAAACCTGAAAAACCCCACTGGGTTTCATAACCTGGGGAATGCAATGCAATTTCAAGATAAAAAAAATATATATATATATAAACTTTTGTGAAGTAGAAAAATCAGGCTTTCTGACAATGAGAAACAGGGTTTCATTGAAAATAAGGCAGTATTTTTATTTCAAAAAATCGCATGGCTGTAAAACCAAGCTTCATCAAATTTTAGGACTTGGCAATACTGTAAAAAAAAAACTTTAAAAAATCCTTATTCTGCCAAAATAAACAGCATCCTGTTATCTTTTCTGGTTTTAGAGGTTTGTTCGGACTTCTGAATTGCACTGCGCTTGCTCATTTGTTCATACCCAACATATGTAAACAAATGCGCAAGTGCAGTTCAATTCAGAATTGAGTCCGAACAAACCTATCTACTTGGAAAATGTGTCAGTTTATCTAAGGACACCCTGCATAAAGGGAAACCAAGAAAACAGTATCAATCACAAATCAAAAACTTATCAGAGAAGCACAAAAATACATGATGTTATGAGTAACCATGTATACATAATATATAAGCATATTGCTAACTCGAGGTAGCACTAGAGTTGACAAGGCTAATTAATTGTGATGATGTGTGATAATGACCTTAACCTCTAACGACAATGTAAACAATGGCCATAGTAGTAAAATTGTTGAATCTGTTTCGCTGACAAACGCGAATCAGGCAATTAATAATGCAATTATAAGCAATATGAATCATGCTGGAGACAACTATGGTTTTTCTACAGTTAGTTATCATCGTGGTAGAAGGAAACAGTTTCGTGGTACCTCAAAGGTTGAAATAAATCAAGAATTTATATCTTCAAAAGGAAACAAGATGTGGTTTTACGTCGGAAAGGTGGCCCAGTCAGTGGAAGCTGCTAAAATTCGCAGGTACATAACTCAAAAACTGCCAAATATTAGTGAGGAAAACTTAATTATTGATCAGCTTAAAACTATAGGGAAAACCAATTCTTTCAAAATTGGTGTCATTCCCATTCACTACAATGCTATGAACTCCTGCGAATTCTGGCCTAGTGGTGTGATCTTTCGTAGATTCAACTTCAAGAAAAAACTTGACACATCAAAAAATGACCCTGGTGCTGATTTTCATTCGTCCCAGAATTTTCAGAATCTAGCCGTCAATCAGGAGGTATTTGCAAACTAAATAGTTCTGTATCAGTCTACTATCAGAACGTGCGTGGTTTGCGTACTAAATTGGTAAAACTAATCAGTTCCATTCCTTTAGTTGCATACCAAGTACTCGTTTTTACAGAAACGTGGTTGAGTGATAACTTTCTTGATGTAGAACTGGGCATGGACAATTACAATATTTACAGAAGTGACCGAACTCCAGCAACAAGCACATCCTTAAGGGGGGGAGGTGTATTAATAGCTGTCCGGAATAACATTCTCAGTTCCATTTGTGAATCAGCCTCAACCATTGAGCAGTTATTTGTAAGAGTGCAGTCTGCTAATAGTAAACTATTGCTTGGAGCTGTATACCTACCTCCGAAATCTAATGGAGATAATTATAAGTGTTTTTCAGACTCAGTAGATACTTTATCTGAAACATTTCCTGATTACAAGCTCTGCATATTTGGGGATTTTAACTTACCCAAAGCACAATGGGTTGATGACGGCCTGAGCTCAAGTGCTACTGCAACCCCCTCCGCTATTCCCTCAGAGCGCGCAGCTACTGAGTACCTATCCAACATGAGTGCTTACCATAACATGTTTCAAATAAACAAGTTCCACAATGCGCATGGCTCTCTGTTAGACCTGATGTTTAGTCAGGATCCTGATGACACCTGCACCTTGGCAGATGACATCCTTCTCCCTATTGATTCATATCACCCTGCATTAATATTAAACATATTATGTGCCGAGACCCAGCAGTGTAACTCAGACTACCCGCAACCTGATGATTACTACTATGATTTTAAATCTGCCGAGTATGCACTTCTCAATGATCATCTAAGTATGATCAACTGGGATGCTTTACTCCAAGGCCCAACTGTAGCAGAAATGGTCAGTATTTTTTATGACATTCTTTACACTGCTATTGACTGCTTTGTACCAAAGAAAAAGCTTTCCACCCATAAATTTCCTAAATGGTTCCCCTTCGACCTAAAGGAACTCATAATCAAGAAGAAAGAAGCACACAGAACCTGGAAGCGGACTGACTCTCCTAGTGACTATGACAACTTCTCGAATCTTCGCACTCGGTGTAAGACTCTTTCAAAGGACTCCTATCTGAATTATGTGCAGCGCTCTGAAATGTCACTGCTGAATGATCACAACCTCAAACACTTCTGGAGTTTTATCAATGCCAAGCGAAAAGCGAATGGTTTGCCGTCTCACATGTTTTATAATAGCAACATTGCCAAAAATGGTTCAGAGATAGCTAATCTCTTTGCTGAATACTTCCATTCTGTTTATTCCAACAAAATCTGTGTTGCTAGTCAGGACATCTCTCGGAGCGATGCACATATTCATGAATTTAACATCTCAATATCAGTTATTTATGAAGAACTATGTAGCCTGCAGTCTTTTAAGGGTCCAGGTCCAGACGGTGTCCCACCTCTTATGATAAAGAATTGTAGCTTTGTATTATCCCGTCCACTTTTCATTCTTTTCAACAAGTCACTCAGTTTGGGTGAATTTCCTAAACTCTGGAAGCAGAGCTTCACCATACCCATTCATAAATCTGGCGATAAAATGGATATTTCAAAATACAGACCCATTATCATCCAAAACACCTTCCCAAAGGTATTTGAGAGCATAGTGACAAAGTTTTTAACTCCAAAAATCAATCCCTGTCTAATTGAGCAGCAGACCGGTTTCCGTCCAAAATGCTCAACTGAAACCAATCTCCTGTCCTACCAGGACAAAGTTTCAAGAATTCTTGAGGATGGCGAATCAGTTCACTCCATATATACCGATTTTGCAAAGGCCTTTGACCGTGTCAACCATGCCGTTCTGCTTGCTAAGCTTGAAAGTGCTGGAATCTCCGGTACTTTGTTGAAGTGGATTAGCGACTATCTTGGGGAGAGAACTCAAATAATCAAAGTTAACAACTTCTTCTCACACGAAATTGACATCCCATCGGGCGTTCCACAGGGTTCTCACTTGGGACCTCTGCTGTTCAACGTTTTTATTAACGATATCAAGTCTTGTTTTATTAACAGTGAGTTCCTGTGCTTTGCGGATGATTTAAAGGTGTTCACCCGGGTCTCTTCTATTGAAGACTGTGCCAGACTACAATCTGACCTCGACAGACTCTCTGAGTGGTGCGCTTTGAGCGGCATGGAGCTCAATGCTTCCAAATGCAAAGCCATTGTTTTCTCCAAGGGTCGTAGCCCTCCACAATTCGCGTACCATATAAACAACATTCCGTTATTACATTGTTTTTTAAGTTTTTATTTTTAGGTTTTTTATTATGTTTTTTGTAGATTGAAAATGTTGAAAACTTGACAGGAGCATTTTTTTTGATTTCTTGGTTTTTTTTTTAATTTTTTTAATTTTGTTAACATGTGTTTTTATTATGTATTTGTATTTTATTCTGTTCTAATGTGTTTTAAATTATTGATAACTATATTGAGGCGTTTTCGTGTGATATAAAAACTGTTTAGTATTTAGCAAAAAAAAAAGTACATTTAAGTATTAGCTTTGTCAATAAGTTTAAGTACTTCGAACAATAAAGCACAGTCCTATTCTAAGGCTATACTTCTACATTAATACATTTTTTTTTCCAAGGTGCGCTTTATCCACATCGCCCCAACTGCCAATGCAGCAGTAGCTGAAGCCAAAAAAGAGAAGGCCCCCAAAATAAAAACTTTTTCCATCTACCGTTGGAATCCTGATAAACCCAATGAAAAACCTTATATGCAAGAGTACAAAGTCGACCTTAATCAATGTGGGCCTATGGTACTAGATGCTTTGATCAAGATCAAAAATGAAATGGATCCTACTTTGACATTTAGGAGGTCTTGTAGGGAAGGTATTTGCGGATCTTGTGCTATGAATATTGGTGGCACTAACACTTTGGCTTGTATTAGGTAGGCCTACATTTAAATATTCAAACATGTATTTTGATTCTTCTAATTCACAATTTTCTTGTTAGTAAAATAAACACGAATGCTACCACTAAGATCTACCCTTTGCCTCACATGTATGTTGTCAAGGATTTGGTTCCAGATATGACCAACTTTTACAACCAGTACAGGTCCATTGAACCATGGCTACAAAGAGAGTAAGACAAAAATCAGTCCCTGTCTGAGATCTGTCCTAATGATTTTTTTTTCAGAGATGCTGACAAGCCTAAGTCAGGACAGGTACAGCAATACCTTCAGAGTGTAGATGACCGTGCAAAACTAGACGGATTGTACGAATGTATATTGTGCGCCTGTTGTTCTACTTCTTGCCCAAGCTATTGGTGGAATGGAGACAAGTATTTGGGGCCTGCAGTGCTTATGCAAGTAAGTTACTTCATTGTTTGGACTAGGGCTCGGAATTGTATTCGAATAATTCGAATATTCGACTATTCTAAATTCGACTTTTTTGTTAGTTAGCAAATTCGACTATTCGACTATTCGAATATTCGACTATTTAAAAAACATCTAAATTATTTTAGTTTTTCTGACTCTGCAATACTCTGCATAAAAAAACAAAAATTCGCTTCGTCGTAGAACGTTCTTTTGCGGGAAGTAGAAACGTTTATCAAGAATGATTGTTAGTCGAGAAACGTCATTTTTAAAGTCCCATTTTGTTCTCTCAATTAGGCCCTCTATCAATATTCGACTATTCGAATAGGCATTCGAGTATTCGAGTATTCGAATATTCAAGTATTTGAATTATTCAGCTAGTCGAATAAAATACCAAACGACTATTCAAATACTTTAATTTTGAAAATTCCGAGCCCTAGTTTGGACCTTTTTAAAAATGTTAATTTGCCTATAAATTTGTAAGCTATCAGCAGCCTGAGCTTGACATAATGTTTTCTGCTCTAGGCTTACCGTTGGATCATCGATTCCAGAGATGAAGCTACATCGAAAAGATTAGACAAAATGAGGGACCCCTTTTCAGCTTTCCGTTGTCACACTATTATGAATTGCACAAAAACATGCCCTAAGGTAAGAATTTTTTTAATTGTTAGTACTTCTTTCTTTTCTAAATTCTAACGTTTTGCATACCCATCATCATCTGCCTCATTGAGGCCTGCTGATTTGAAATACAAAAACATAATACAATATTGAATATCACAGACTTTTAGTGACACGCAAACTCCAGTTTTTTTAGATAATAAGCTAACCTTGTAATGCATGATGCTGAGTGAGGATTTTTTTTTAAATTGTTGCCGATTGGATCCTATCAATTGAAAAACTTTCTAACCAAAAACAATAAATTTCCAACTACCCCCAACGCCTTAAGCTTTTTTGTAAGAGAAAAAATATTGTTCCTGTCATATGCTTTACTAAAATCTGTGCTGGCTGGAGTCCCGGAAATTTGTTCGAAAATAATTGTTTGAACAGAAAATTCTTCGAAAGGAAAATTGTTCGAATGGAAAATTATTCGAAAAGAAAATTTTTCGAAAGGAAAATTGTTCGAACGGAAAATTGTTCGAAAGGAAAATTGTTCGAACGGAAAATTGTTCGAAAGGAAAATTGTTCGAACGGAAAATTGTTTGAAAGGAAAATTATTCGAGCGGAAAATTGTTTGAAGGAAAAATTGTTCGAAAAGAAAAATTGTTCGATTGGAAAATTATTCGAACGGAAAATTGTTCGAACGGAAAATTGTTCGAAAGGAAAATTGTTCGAATGGAAAATTGTTCGAAAGAAAAATTGTTCGAATGGAAAATAGTTCAAATGGAAAATTGTTAATAAATGTACTTATACGCCTCGGAAACGTAAATCCACCAAAAACCTTTTTTAAATACAACAGCTCGAAATTTTAATTATTTTTGAATCTCCGATTGCTTGCTTCGCTCATCCAATCTCAAAGAGAAGATCCGCGGAACCGTTAATTAGGCGTTGGTACAAAAGAGCGCAGCTCAAAAGTGAGCGGATCAAAGGGTGCAGGTCAAAATATTATTGGCAACCAGTACACTTCTAACCAGTATTGAATAAACTGTAACGAAACTAACCAAAAATATGCAAACTATCCCAAACTAAACCGTCCACGTTATGCATGCTAGTCCTTGTATATTAATATTGAATTTAAAAAACCAAGAATGAGGGACAAATATTAAGAATTAAGGAATTGGGTAACTTCGGCCATAGATTCATTTACGATTCACAGTTGAACTATTGATTTTTCGCAAAAAAAAAACAATTTTCCTTTCGAACAATTTTCTTTCGAATAATTATTTTCGAACAATTTTGCTTTCGAATAATTTTCTGTTCGAATTATTTTCCGTTCGAACAATATTCTGTTTGAATAATTTTCCTTTCGAATAATTTTCCGTTCGAACAATTTTCCGTTCGAACAATTTTCCCTTCGAACAATTTTCCGTTCCAACAATTTTCGGTTCGAACAATTTTCCGTTCAAACAATTTCCTGTTCGAACAATTTTCTTTCGAACAATTTTCCTTCGAACAATTTTCTTTCGAACAATTTTCCGTTGACGGTGCTGGCTGAGTTAACCTGAAGATCTCTTCGAATTGACAAAGCTCCAGAAGAATTCCTTGCTAGATGTAAGATTACTTTCTAACGCATTAATATATGTTCCTACACTCAAATTTGTACACACGTGAGCGATCAACTGAAGACTTTTTTTGTTGTTCTTACAGGGATTGAATCCAGGCAAGGCTATCGCCGAAATTAAAAAGTTATTGGGAGGTGTGGCAACCAAACCGAAACCCCAATTGGACCCCGTGGCGTTGCAAAAGTGAATATTTTGTTCTTGTTTAATAAATAACACAAAATAAAGAATTTATTCTTGAAAACACGATAATAATTGTGTATAATTGAAGTTATAGTATTAGGCAATACCTACTTAAAGTTGTTGAATAAACCAAATGAAGTTTTTGTGTGGAAATTTTTATCTGAAATTCACCCCAGAAGGCTGTTCGATAAACTATTTGTATTACTATGAAGGTGAATTGATCGCCTGTTTTTTTTTTTTTGAATGGGGACATTTAGTTTGAGGGTTTAAAATCGAGGGTACTGCTGATTAATCATTTTCCTCTAATTTATCCCAAAATTTACGCTAAAACAAAAATAATTTGATAATTTTCATTTTATTAGCGCATTTCGTAACGCTGACATAATAATGACACTATAATTGCTCTGACTAATAAATGTGACTTATAACTCACTAGTGTGTCTCCATGCACATAATAAAAACGAATTCCTGCAGGCATGCACAGTGGCATCAGCTTTATAGGTTGCGATTTGATTTTGGATGCATTCTAGTTTATTAACTATGTGAATTCATTGCATATCAGATTTCTATTATTATAGAAATCTGATATGCAATGAATTCACCCCCTAACTATTAAGTTCGTAAATTCCTTGACAAGACTTTGAATCCAGGCTTCACCTTTGAATCGCATGCTAATCTTGCCGCTGCAATTCCCAATTCTGCACGAAGCAGTATCTCTTATGTCTCAGGCTACTTATGTGTGCTCACTTTAAATGGCTTACATTTTTGAAGCACAATGAGTAAAAAAAATAATATTCTCATCGTAAAATTTAATTAAAAAAACAGGTTCCCCAGGGCAACTCCAATGAAAAAGGAACATTTGTTTCAATTTATTACAGAGGACTAAATTTGAATTTTGGCTGTTCAACTATTTTCAAAGGATCAGTTGATTAGCGATGTTCGAAGAACTCTCGACACGAAAAGGAAGAAATTTCAAACAAACTAACAATAAAATATTATTAAATAGTATTTTATTAAAGAAGCGATTATCACAAATATGACAATTAAGGAATCATCGTTAATTCTTTTTTAAAGGAGACGAAATTATAAATAATGTATTAATTAGTACAATAATTTTTTTTTTAACAATTCATAGACAAATGAGATGATTAATAAAATTCAGCTGAGTCAATTTTTTGGTTACTTACAAAATATTTTTGTCTCCTCGAGACTTACATTTAAATAATTACACTTAAAAAAGAAGATTGACTAAATGACTGTTTGTTTTTTAAAGAATATATCAGTCAGCACCAAATATCTAGTAAAGGAGCTTCCAGCTCCCAACATTCATCCACATTCACGCAGTTTATACAGGGGGGTCATATAATATATGTATAGTCTTACAAAATACTATGTCTTCCAGAGGCTATTTTTCAGGAAAAAAACGTATTTTTATGTACAAAAGAAATCAGATTCAAGGGATTATTATTGAATCAGTTAAGAATTTTTGTTAAAGCAATATAGAACCACCACCATTAATGAAAAAAAAAAACCCTTGATCATGTAAAAATCTCTATAGCCTATGGAAAAGATAGTGAGAATGGTCGTCAGCTGACCAATCGTGTATAAATATCTCAAAAATTGTAACTAGTGTACTGTCAGCGTACGAACATTCTTTTGAGTCAAATATTTTATCTAAAATTCTATTTACTACGTTTTGGGTCCGTTTCGAACTGCAGGTTCTTCTGGCAGTATAAATAACAAGTGAGTAGCTTTGAGGGACGGATACAAGAACCTGCAGTGTTCTCACGAACTCTCGAAAAAATAATAATATACAAAAATAGAAATATAAATAAAAAAAAATCGTCGAGTATTCGTTGCTTAAAATATAAACTTTCGAGATTCAATATAATGTAGTCACTATCATGGTAAAAAAACACACTTTAAGGAGTATTAAATAAAATCTAAGGCTAGTTTTGTTCTTGTTGCGATTACGTGAGGTAGTCTGGGCTTGGTTCGGCCATGGGTTCTGGTGTTGTAAATAACGGGTTCGGGAACTCCGGCGGATGCGGAAGTGGTCCAGTGGACTTGGGCCTTCGACGGTACGCCATTAACCAACAGGACACCGCCACTGCCACAGCAACCAAGGCCAAAAGGGCAGTGATGATTAAGGCTATTATAAATCCAATCATAGAAACACAGATGTCTTCTGACCTTTGGGCGTCTGGAGCTGAAAAAATCGTATAATAATTAAATACATCTATTATTGCATAGGTATGCATGGCACGCATAATATTTGGCTAATTAATATTACTCACACAACGAGGTATCTGTGTATCTTTCTTCTCTTCTTTCTAAAGTAAGGATAGCATTCGATTGTATGGTAATTTCTTCCCTCAGTTGTCCCGACAGCAAATTGTCTGTATCATTATCGTTATCCTTAACGGCTCTCTTTCTTCTGCCGAACGCGTCGCTCCCTCGGCAATTAACCTGCAGATTTATTACATTATTAATTATTAACTGCTAAACAATATGAATAGATTTGTAATAAGACAAATGCAGTAGTCCGATGAAATTCTGGCAAAAGTATATTCATGTTAACTTAATTAAAAGAGGGTTCTTACTGGTTGGCATTTTCCAAAGCATACTCTAATGTTACACTGGAATCGGATATTATCGCTGCTCGGGAACTTGAAAGCGTGGAATGTCGCCAATAAGCTCTGTGTGTCGGGGTTGTATTCCCATTCGCCAAATATCGAGGGATCTGTAGCACAACCGTTTTCGTCTGTTACCAAATATTCATTTTCGACTGAATCTTCCATGGTTTTTGCCACACAGCTTCTGGCAAAACCTCCATAAATCGATCCGGGTTGTACGTCTACTTGTAAAATAAGACTATCACCGATTTCTGCTGAATTAATCTCCTGACCAGTTGGGGTTACGATTTTCATCAGGCAAGTAGGTGGAGGTCCAGTGTTCGCAATAGTTCCGGCAGTCGTTAACATTGAAACGTTAAAGCCTAGAGTGACATTTTGCTCGCCAGTTTGATAGACGCACTGTATGTGATAGGCTTGAGCCTTGTAGGTGACTAATTTTGGATGTTTCTGGATTACTAATACGAAACTGGCTTTTCCCTAAAAATAACGAGATGAGTTGATAAAATATTATTAGAATAAAAAATCTCAACCAACATTGACATGTATCAAACCACAATTTCCGAACTGAACCTTGAACAATTCAGTTCTAGAAACCGAGTTGGGTGGCAGTGTAAGAACTCGTCTGCATTGTTCGTCTTTGCTATGTCCTTTAACGTAAAGGACTCCATTGAATCCTTCTCGTTCGTTGATTAGAATTTCCACTTGGACACCGTCTGAGAGACAGCTAACCATCATGTCGGGTTTAGGGAAATCAGTTCTGTAGGGTGAAGTGTAATCTACAAAGAAAAATATATATACCACGATAGTTCTCTACTTTGATATTATAAGTTCTTACTGCAATATTTATCAGGATTTCCTGTATAACCATTTACACATTGGCAAACAGCTTGATGGTTGGTAGCGTTGCAAAGAGCGTAAACTCCGCAACGTTTTTTAGCGCACGGATTATCGCAAGTTTTGGTGTTGGGGTTGCAATATTTGAAATCTGGGCAATCGTCGTCCGTTTCACATTCTGGTCCTTTAACCGGTACGCAGTTACCTCTAACGTCGAGGCGATATCCAAATTCTATGGGGCAAACGCAATTTCCGCGTTCGTCAACGATAAGTCCTTTTTCCAAGTCGCATACGCATCGACCATCCTTGTCGATCGTGAAGCCTTTTTCAGGCAGACATGGCACGCATTCTTCGTTTTCGTTTAGGGCTGTATTGTGTTGACAAATGCAGTCTCCGGCTGGTGTACGAACGTAACCTTTGCGGATATCACATTGTCTTCCAATGGCAGGAACTAAATAAATAAGTAAGTAGGTAATTATCCAGAATCGTATTTTTCTTAAATATTACCAGATTATGCTGGAAAGTGTATAAATTTAAATTTATTGTATAAAACGTGTGTTTTCATACATAAAAAAGTGTGATTTAGAATTCAACCATATTCATTTATGGGACAATAAAATAGAATCAATCCTTACCTTTATCGCATTTAACGGCAGCATTTCCGTGATAACCAGGCAAACATTCGCAAAGCATCGTCCTCACTGGTTCTGTATCCACAACTTTACATACAGTATTAATACCGCAGGGTTCAGTTGTAGCACACGGATTAACACATTCGTTTCCTATGCAAGCAAGCCCTGATTGGCAGTCGTGATCGAATGTACAACCAGTTTCAGGTCTAATGCATCCCATCTTTCCGTCGCTGACAGTTCCTGGCGGACAGACGCACTCAGTAATGTGATTGAAAGTTTTGCATTCTGCTGGTGCGTCACACGGATTGGCTTTTTCGCACTGATTATCGCATTCGTTGTTTATACAGGCAGTGTTAGATGGACATTCTGAGTCTGATCTACATCCTACCAAAACGCAGGCATCTGTTGGATTACCAATACGTCCTGGAGGACACTCACAAATGGCCCTGTGATGGTTTCCATAGCAAGTAGCGTTTTGTCCACAAGGTTTATTGTCTGGCAGACATACTGGCACGCATTGTCTGTTAACACAAGTATGCTGAGGTGAACATTCATCGTGATTTCTACATCCAACCGTCCTACAGCTAATTTCTGGGTTTCCTTCAAAGTCTGGTTTACAAGCGCATATTGGTTTGTGGTCTTTGATACGACATTCAGCATTTGGACCACAATTGCAAGGGTTTCGACATATTCCATTGAAACATGCTCTGTCTGAAGGACATTCGCTGTCAGAGATACAGGCAGTCTTGATAATGGCAGTGACTGGGTTACAAGTACCGCTACCACTGCTAATATATCCTGGGGGACATACGCAGTTCATGGTTCTTACTGGCAGTGAGTTGACTACATTGCATTTGGCTGGATTTTGACACGGTTGGATTACAGAGCATGGGTTTTGGCATTGGCTGTTTATACAGGCTAGAAGTGCTGGACAATCACCATCTTCTCTACATTCTGGTTGCGGTTCTGGTTTGCAATCTACATAAGGATTACCGATTAAACCTGGAGCACACTTGCAAAGAGCCATGTGGTTTTGTACAAGACATTCAGCGCGTGGGGAGCATGGATTGTCATATAGGCAAGGATTTATACACTGAGCATTGATGCATTGTCTATCATCGGGACATTCACTGTTAGAAACACATCCAACGACCAAACATCTTTCGTAAGGATTTCCTCTAAAACCACTGCGGCATCTACATTCTGGATTATTTTGATTAACGAAGCATTCAGCATTAGTACCGCAAGGATTTTTAACCAAGCAAGGACTAACGCATTGACTATTAATGCAAGCCGTTCCTGAGTCACATTCTGAGTTTATTCTACAACCAATTGTTCGGCAAGCGATATTAGGATTGCCTTCGAAACCTTCTTTACATGAACATATCGGTTTGTGGTTTCTGATGTCACAAATAGCGTTGATGCCACAATCGCATGGATTTCTACAAACTCTGTTAATACATGCTTCATTGGATTGACAATCATCATCTTTGCTGCAACCAGGAGGGATTGGAATTAATATCGCGTGACATTCACCATTATCATTTGGCACCCATCCATCCCGACAAGTACAAGCCATAGTTCTCACTGGCGTTGTATCTATAACACTACAACTTGCTGTCGGATGACACGGAGATATACTCTCACATGGATTGACGCATTGATCTCTAATACAAGCCAATTTACTTGGACAATCAGAATCGTAAACACATACTGGCTTGCCTATTGGCGTTCTTGGTAAGCAGTAAGCCAAAGGATTACCATCAGGTAAGTGATCTGGACATACACAGGCAGCTCCATGATTTTGAGCATTGCAAACAGCGTTTTGAGCACATTGTGGGGAGGCTATAGGCGAACAAGGATCAACGCATCTGCTTTGTAAACACGCGCGATTGCTCGGGCAGTCTTGGCTGGAATAGCATTCAAGTCTCTCGCATCGGACAAATGGATCGCCATTATAGCTAGGCGGACATCTGCAATTTGCTTTGTGGTTGCGTCCGAAACATTCAGCATTTCTTGCGCAAGGATCGCTGAGGATGCAAGGATTAATGCATTGCCTGTTGTAGCATTGATGGTCGTCAGCGCATTCGTTGTCTGATTGACATCCCACTAAAATAAATTTTATTGCGAAAATCGTATTTGTGAAAAATAATGTATTATGCTTACATTTAACGCATCCAGTTTGTGGATTGCCAGAATATCCAGCTTTGCAGAAGCAAGTGGCGTAGTGGTTGTCTACTTTACAGTCGGCATTTGGTCCGCAATTGCATGGGCTAATACAGAGTTTGTTGAGGCAGAATTCACTAAGAGGACACTCAGTGTTTGTAGTACACCCAATGGCAAGAGCCGTTTGAGCTAAAATAGATGAAATTATCATTATTATTACTGTTTTCATTCTATAAATCTTTTTGTACTTACGTGCTAGGCATTCAACTTCAGGCCTTCCGATGTATCCTTCTGGACATCTGCATATTGGTTGATGATGGTTGACAGAACAAAAAGCATTATTACCGCAAGGTTTATCTAATCTACATGGATTCACGCACATACTATTAATGCAAGCCTTATCTAAAGAACATTCGTCGTCGCTAGTACATTCAGGTTCTGGTAAATATGTAACTCTCGGTTCGTTAGTACATTCTATTCTGGGATTTCCAGTGTATCCTGGCGCACAAGTACATTGAGTTAAATGATTTGCAGCTCGACAAATAGCATTTACTCCGCAATTATCTAATCGGCAGGCGTCAACGCAACTTCCTCTGTAGCATTTTTCTGCGTCGGCACAATCAGTATCGCGTTGACATTGCGGCTTTTCGCGGACGATTGCTGTACAATGCCCCGAATCGTCAATTATCTGATCTGGACCGCAAGCGCACATTATAGTGCGTACTGGAAGTGTATCTACAACCCGACATTCTTGTTCTATCGAGCACATATTCCCCTGGTGGCATGGATTGAGGCAAAGTTCATTGATACAGCCAAGTTGAGATGGACAATCAGAATCTACAGTACATTCTGGTTTTGTAGGTGGTTTGCATTCGACAAATGGATTGCCAACAGATCCGATTGGGCAGTTACATTTAGGTTGGTGATTTTGTCCAATACATAAAGCACTGACAGCGCAGGTTTCGTCATCGCAGACTGGTCGACAGACACGGTTAAGACGATCACAAGCCTCATGGTCAGCACAGTCCTCGTTATATTGACATTGACCAGTAATACACGATAGAAGTGGGTACCCTTGAGTTCCTCGAGGACATTGGCATTGACTGCGGTGATTCTGGGCTATGCAGTCAGCTCCACGTCCGCAAAATATCTTAGCACACGGATTGAGGCAGTTTTTGTTGAGACAAGCTTTATCGTATGGGCAGTCATCATCTACCTTGCATTCAGCTATAAACAAGATTGTGTGAATCGATTTTTTTTTAATTTAGATAAAAACTCACGTTTGTAGCAGAAAACCTGTGGATTTCCTACCCATCCATTGGGACACTCGCAAATTGTTCTATGAATTTTTGTTAGACACTTAGCGTTGGTACCACAAGGATTAGCTAGGGCACAAGAATCTTGGCAGTTTTGATTGATGCAAGATTTATCATTCGAGCATTCACCATCATGAACACATTCCGGTTTAGGCTGTTTGGTCAGTTCGTAGCATCTTGTAAATGGATCTCCAATGAGAGGAGTAGGGCACTTGCATAGAGCTCTATGATTAGTGGCTTGGCATTCAGCAGTAGGAGCGCATGGACTTCCAATGACGCATGGATTAACACATTGCCTGTTGATGCAGGTTTCGCTTTGGGAGCAGTCTTGGTTCGATTTACAACCCGGTTCGTCTTGAGGAGCTGGTGAGAGTGAAGAATTTTTTATTGTAAATAACTGTAACATGATTGGCGGCAAAATCTAAATCTGACTGGGGAAACAAACCACAGTCACAATCGATCGTTTGCCTTCTTAGTATTGTTAGGGTATTGAAATGTGTTGCTGTTGTAAATAAAAAACATAAAGGTTAAATGAGTTAGGTAAGGTGACAACCTGAAAATCAAAATAATTTTGTTAATATCAATGTAAGCATTATGGCTATGAAAATGTTACTTTCATATCTCATTTTTTACAATGTGATACGATAATAAGAATAAGCAGCGTTATTAATAATTTCAATTGAAGGCATTACCTAGTTTGCAGTCTACATCAGCATCACCAATATAACCTGGCAGACAGATGCAAGACATCGTTCTAAGGGGTAAACTATCAACTACCACGCATTCAGCATTTTTACCACATGGTTTGGTTTCTACACATGGATTCTTACATACACCATTGAAGCATGCCAATTTGCTAGGACAATCCGAATCCATCTTACATTGAGGCTGTGATTTACGTTCCTCGATTCTACAAGAACTTAAAGGATTGCCTATATAACCCGGTGGACAAGAGCATTGAGCTCTATGGTTGATGACATTGCAAATGGCGTTTAGTCCGCAATTACATGGATCTTGGCAGCGTTCGTTTCTGCAAGCCAAATTGTAAGGACACTCATCGTCTATATTGCATTCTGGTCGTTCGCATTGCACCAATGGGTTTCCTAAGAATCTGTCTGGACAATAGCATTTGGTTTTGTGATTGCCATCAACTCTACATAAAGCGTTGATACCGCAAGATGTGTACGAGCACGGGTCGACGCAATCTCGGTTCACGCAAGCATACTGTGGAGCACAATCAGAATCGGATCGGCAGCCAAGCTCAACGCAAGCGTGTTGTGCATTTCCGGTATATCCATCTCTGCATATGCACACAGCGCGGTGAAGTTGTGGACGACATTCGGCGTTCCGACCGCAAGAAGCCGTTGAGCATGGATTTTGACAGCGAGTGTCAATGCATGCCTTATCATTGGTACAATCTGAGTCTTGAGTACATTCTACTTGAGGTTTGGGATCTAGAAAAAAGTATTCATTGGCAGAAGCTGTATATAAGTAGTTTTAAAACAAATATTGACTTACGATCTGGTACTACATATCTGCACTGAACTTCAGCTGATCCAGTAAACCCAGGTGGACAAGTGCAAACTGGTTGATGGTTCACAACTTGGCACAGTGCGTTAAGACCGCAAGCATCTCTGCAAGGATCTTGGCATTTCTGGAAGTAACAAGCCTTATTTCTTGGACAGTCTGGATTGATAACACATTCTGGGTAGGCGCAAGTGGGTGCTCCATTAACAACGCGGCATTGGCCGTTTACACTACAAGGTGACGGGTTGCATGGGTCGCTAGGTTCTTCTACAACCGGTTCTGTACAAAGTGTGAATGGATCGCCAATAAATGGTTGTGGACAACTACAAACTGGACTATGGTTGATAACGTTGCATACAGCCTTGAAGCCGCATGCTCCAGGACATGGATCAACGCATTTAGTGTTCACGCAAGCCTTGTCTCTTGGACAGTCCGAACTGATAGTACATTCTGGTTTACAACCGCCCAAATTTGGATTTCCGAAGAATCCTGACAGGCATTCGCATATTGACGATTTTCCTGAGGTGCGACAGATAGTGTTGAGCCCACAAGGTGACGGATTACATGGATCTCGAGGGGGTTCTTATGAAAATAATGATGATAAAATAAATTCCCGAAAAAAATTAAAGGATGCTTACCTTCAATCACAAAGCTACAATATCTGAAAGCGTCTCCAGTGTAGCCTTGTTGACAAGTACAAACTGGTACGTGATTGGTTACGCTGCAAACGGCATTTACACCGCAAGTACCCGGACAAGGATCTTGACATTTGCTTCGAATGCAGGCAGTGTTGCTTGGACAATCCGAATTGGACAAGCATTCGGGTCTACAACTTTCGTAAGGATTACCATGGTATTCGGGTAAGCATTCGCAGATTGCGTAGTTGTTTTCAGCCCGACAACGAGCGTTCGGACCGCATGGTGACGGGTAGCATGGATCATCTCTCGGCTTGAGTACCGGTGGTGGAGCTGTCAACAGAAAGTCAAAATTTGGAATTTGTTCTTAGTAATTCAGATATTATGAGCTTTTGAAAGCAGTTATACAGTTGGCTAATGACTATAGCTGCATATTATTTGGATTGGATAACTTTTCAAACGTTCGAACTTACATTAAAAATCATGGTTCTTTAATATTTTTAGTACTTACCGTGCGTTCGTTATTTTGGTCTGAGTTCTCCGAGCTTGACTTTACCGTTCGTTTATTTAAAAGGTGTACTCGGTGCAGCCTCATTCGCGTTCGTTTATTAAAATTTCCGGTACTTTTATACGGCGTTCAACTGCTCCGTTCGCTCGCTGGTCATGTGATTACGGCTCCGCTCAGCTCGCTCTACACTTTGAGCAAAATATCGAACGCAAGGATTGTACAAGCACACCTACCTACTAAGTTGAAATTGATTATATTTGTAAAAACTGTAATTTTGAGGAGTTTGAAACTACTTAAGGAATATATCCTTCAAGAGGCACCTTTAATTTTCAAATTCCCTCATGCCATTTTCAGACAATTTTCAATGCGATAAATTAGATTTTTCATTGAATTTTAAACGATATTGTCGACATGATAAAGGACCCCGCAATATTTAAATGGAAATTGGTTACTCGTGATATTTGGATGAAATTTAAATATGTTATTGGGGATGCCGTAAGCAACATTTTTTACCATGGGCACAACCCTGTATGTATGAGGCGTGGTTAGCTGTCAAATATTGGAATCTTATATCCGAAAGTAGAGTAACTATAGCAGATTTTGATGAACCAAAAATCTATTTCTACTAAGTCGACCAAGTTAAGTCGAAAAATGTCAACCATTTTACCATCTGTCAAAACCCTGCTAAACGGCAGCACTCATCTTTTCCAGTTTTCACTATTTTATGTTGTCATTTGACATTTTTAACTATATGTAAATTCTAAATTCATAAATTGAAAAAAAAAAAATGACAGAGCTGTCAAAACCTGTCATTTGTTTAAGTAGAAAAAAATACTCTAATCTGATCCTTGCTTGTTATAAGGTAGTTAATTGGTGATAAAACATTGAACAAAGTTCATGCACGTCATATTTTGACAGCTGTCATTTTTTTTTTCAATTTTTGAATTCAGAATTTACTTATAAGTTAAAAATGACAAATGACAACATAAAATATTAAAAACTGGAAAAGATGAGTGCTGCCGTTTGGCAGGGTTTTGACAGGTGCTAAAATGGTTGACATTTTTCGACTTAACTTGGTCGACTTAGTAGAAATAGATTTCTTGTTCATCAAAATCTGCCAGAGTTACTCTGCTTTTGGATATAAGATTCCAATATTTGACAGCTAACGACGCCTCACCTGTCATACATACAGGGTTGTGCCCATGGTAAAAAATGTTGCTTACGGCATCCCCAATAACATATTTAAATTTCATCCAAATATCACGGGTAACCAATTTCCATTTAAATATTGCGGGGTCCTTTGTTCACAAGTTGAGAAACATTAATGTTTTTTTTTAGGGTTCAGTGTGTATATTTATAAGTTTTCCCGAAATCGGAATCTTACAATCATTTCGTGAAGGACAAGTTTTTACCCACAATTATACTTCAGAGCCGCTCAAAAAGATCTTATAATGGCAAATAGGTTGATAGAACAAATTAAAAGGTTTTTTTGGAAATTTCTCCCTATTTTCATGACAGCAACATAAAATATGTAAAGTTTGTGATAAGTCAAAAGTATTACTTTCATCGAAAAAAATAAGCATAAAATTTAGTTTGGAAAGGTTTTTCTGATTTTTTTTGTGTAAAAATCGTTTTATCAAAGCAATACTTTCGACTTGTAACTATTAATATATTCATATTTTTTCCTTCTGTGATGAAAACGATGAGAAATTTGTTGAGTTTTTAGAAGAGCATACCTATGCTTTGCAAAAAAGCACTAAAAAAATGCCTCTATCTATCTAGATAGGTAAGGTAATGACAAGGAATTTCAATTGGGTGGCTCTGGTGGGTGGGATAATTTGGCATTCATCATTCTTTATTTGATAATATAACGAAATTTTCGATTTTATATACTTAGGGTGGGCCAATTTGAACACTTTCAATAGTAAACTTCAATTTCTGAGCAAGAGAAAAATCAACTACCTTACTCTGAGGCTTATTTGTTTATGGAAAATTGGTGTAAACCGCATTTTGCTATCTTTTCCCTTTTTGTCACCAGAGCTAGGGCAATTCTCGACTTTGAGTATTACTGTGAAAGCTTCATAACTTTTTTGTTTATGATAAAAAACAGGAATGTCTTTAAGCAAACGTACTCAGTTTTTTTCTTGCTGGCCCCGATTTCGAGGTATTGACCGAAGTCCGAATTTTCCATCCTATATCAATAACTCCTGAGATAGCTCTTTTGTGCTGATTTCAATGATATATAGATAGGGTTTGATGGGTTTTCAACTTAGATTGTTTCAACAGTCTTCGAGAATCAAATTAAAATATTTTTGTCATAAGAACCAATGTGTCAGAGAAGGAGTTTCTATGTGGGGGAAAAAGAGAGAGGTCTCTTTCTAGTCTTTCTAACACATTCTTTCTTATGACTGAAACAGATATAATTTGTTTTCTCGGGAACTTTTAAACGTAAACCTATCAAACTGTATATCACTGAAATCGGCACTAACAGATAGGGCTATCCAAAGAATTAATAATATTTAGGGTGTCTTATAAAAAAAGTCGGAATATCTCGAAATCGGGGCCAACTAAAAAAAAAACAGGGTACTCACATCAATGGATTCTGCTTATAAAAATGCCTTTGTCCAATGTAAGTCTTTATAGAAATCAATTATCATAAACCAAAAAGTGATGAAGCTTTCACAGTATTTCGCAAAATCGAGAAGTGCGCGCTCTATAGTAGCAAAACAGGAAAAGATATCAGAATGCGGTTTGCAACATTTTTGTTCGTTTTTATAGTGATATAGGTATATGCACAGTTTTTCTTCTATATTATCACATTTTACTTTAACTAATCAAGTCAGTAGCTTCTTAAGGGCACTCTGATACAAAACTCTGCTGATAATACATTTTCAAAAATTAAGATTAAATTGATTGAAACGTTTATTTTCTCGTATGTATTTATATTGCTCTCTACTTTACTATCAACTATCAAATTGATTATTTTTAAGCTTTTCGATCGTATCGATTTTCAATTAGGTGTATTATTGATGAAAAAAGTACCATGATTTTTTTGGAAATTCTATCCAAATAAAAAGTCGCCAATAAATTTAATACAAAACTGTTTATAGCCTTTGTGTAAATTGGTTTCAACTGCTACATATCTAGTTAAAAAAAATACAAGCTACTGCATGCAACAAAATAACTAAATCTAAGGTTAAGTAACAAAACATAGAAAAATGAAAATAAAAAGTTGTTAGTTACAAAAAAACGGTGCAAAAATATCTTACATGGTCTAGGTGAACACAAAGTGAAGGGATCTCCAACAAACTCGTCATTACAAACACAATTGGGCACGTGGTTGACAACGAGACAACGAGCGTTCAATCCGCAGGATCCAGGACAAGGATCGGTACATTTCAAGTTAATACACGCGAGATTTTGGGCGCAATCGTTATTGGTCACGCATTCAGGTCTACAACCAGGCGGGGTACCGAAGTAATTGGGCAGACAGGAACATTTAGCTGTTCCCAAGGGAGTCGGTTCACAATGAGCGTTAGGGCCGCAGGGGAATGGCACGCAAGGGTTCATCGCGGGGGTTGATTGGGTAGGGGGTTGACGATCTTCGACTGGGAAGAAAGATGTAGAGTTTAATAAGAGGGGCTTGGTGGGAGCATTTTATTTTATTAGTGTTTAATCACAAAGCTGTAAAAAAATGTATTTTCAGCAGCAAAAACCTGAAAAATCTGGAAAAATCTTTTAATTTATGGAAAATCAAGTCAAGAAATTTGAAATAAATAATCACAAACATACCAGCAACAATTCTGCATCTTACAAACGGATCCCCAGAGTATCTCGGGGGACAACTACAAATCGGATTATGATTGACAACCTGACAAACCGCTTCTATACCGCAACTTCCTGGACAAGGGTCAATGCATTTTTGATTTACACACGCGCGGTTCAAGGGACATTCTACGCTTGATATACATTCAGGTCTACAGGATGGTGGGGCACCGATATAGCCAGGCAAACAGGAGCATACAGCTTGACTGTTGATGTTACGGCATTGACTATTGGGTCCACAAGGTGTAGGGTTGCAGGGGTCGGATGGTGCCGGAGGCGCTGGAGGAAAAATAATTTCTAGTTTTATAACTGTTCAATAAGGGAAAATGGGTTCAGGCCCACATTTAAATGCAAACAGCTTTCTCATTGTAATGGATATCATCTACTTAGACTCACCAATGATCTTGTTGCAAATTACAAAAGCATTTCCAGTATAACCCTGTATACAAGCGCAAGTCGGTACATGATTAAACACACTACATTCAGCGTTTTGTCCGCACATTCCCGGACATGGATCCCGACATTTTTGGTTAATACACGCTCTATTCCTGGGACAATCTGGATTTATAACACATTCCGGACGACATTCTCTATAAGGATCACCTTGATATTCTGGATAACAGCTGCAAGTTCCATTGTCGCAACGAGCGTTAGTACCACAGGGATTTGGAACGCATGGATCTCTTACTTCAAGTGCTACAATAAATTTTGATAAACACCCAATGATAAAAATCACAATTGGTTCTTACGCTGTATAGGTTTTGGTGTACAAGCGACAAAAGCGTCACCAATAAATCCAGGTGGACACACACAAACAGGACTATGGTTCCTAACTTGGCAAGTAGCCTCGATTCCGCAAGATCCAGGACAAGGGTCCCTACATTTCTCGTTCATGCAAGCCAAATTGCTGGAACATTCCGAATTTACTGTACATTCGGGTCTACAGTTAGGTGGCGAACCAATGTATTGAGCTAGACAAGAACATGAGGGGTTGCCACCGATATCTCTGCATTGACTGTTGGGCCCACAAGGGGATGGTACGCATGGGTTTTCAATGATGATCGGTGGTGGAATGGACGGTGGAGCTAAAATATCAAAGTAAATCATTTAATTTCCTACTCGAAAAATATTTATAAGAATATGTAGGTGATTCTTACGTGGTATAGGATAACATCTGGTGAACGGATCGCCAGTATGTCCAGGTGAACAGCTACAAATTGGACTATGGTTAATCACCGAACACTGAGTATTAAGGCCACAAGTGCCTGGACATGGATCGGCGCATTTTTGATTTATACACGCTCTATTTTGAGCACATTCTGAGCTAACGGTACATTCTGGTCGACATCCTGGTGGTGAGCCAACGTATGTTGGTAGACACGAGCAAACAGCTTGACCATTAACTTCACGACATTGGCTATTAGGGCCACATGGAGACGGTTGGCAAGGATTGGATGGAGTTACAACAGCTATAAGTCAAATTGCAAGTAGCACATATTTAAAAAATAAAATAATAGTTTTGCTTACGTTCTTCCTTGGGTGGTATTCTGTAACAAACTCTAAACGGATCACCGGTATAGCCAAGAACACAAGTACAAGATGGTAAATGATTAATAACTTGGCATTCCGCATTTGATCCGCAGGTTCCAGGGCAAGGATCTTTACATTTATTGTTTATACAGGCTTTGTTTGATGGACAATCAGAATTCAATGTACATTCAGGTCTACAGCCTTCATACGGATTACCAATAAATTCTGAAATACAAGTACACGATCCAGCTCCTCGTTGCTCTTTACATATTGCGTTTGCACCACAAGGAGATGGTACGCAAGGGTTGGTGATTTCTGGAGGAGGTGCTAAAATTGTAAATCTCGTTAACAAAACTGTATCCATAAGGCTATAAATCTCAAATTACCTTGCTGTACATCACATCTTTGGAAGGGATTACCGAGATATCCATTTATACAGGCACAATTAGGTGTATGACTAACAACTCTACATTCAGCGTTTTGGCCGCATATTCCGGGACAAGGATCTTTGCATTTCTGGTTGATACAAGCCAAATGGTTAGCGCATTCGCTGTTACTAACGCACTCTGGTCTGCAGTTAGGCGCGGACCCAACAAATTCTGGCAAGCAAGAACATGAAGGACTACCATTGATGTCACGGCATTGAGCATTGGGGCCGCACGGAGATGGCTGACAAGGGTTAGTTGAAACAACATCTACAGGTTCTTCTCCTAAAATTTTTTGTAGTTTTATCAACGCACCAAATATATTTTTGATGAAAATCCAAAACTGTACTTACGAATTGGTAGGCATCTAGTGAACGGATCACCAGTCTGCCTTGGGGGACAACTACAAATTGGATTATGATTTATCACTTGGCACAAGGCATTAAAACCGCAGGTTCCTGGACATGGGTCAATACATTTTTGATTTAGACATGCTTGATTGAGAGGGCATTCAACGGAAGTGACACACTCAGGTCTACATGTTGGTGGACTACCAAGGTATCCTGGCACGCAGGAGCATACAGCTTGCCCGTTAATTTCTCGGCATTGGCTGTTTGGTCCGCATGGTGATGGGTTGCATGGATTCTTTGGCAATTCTGGTGGTATCTTTGTACAAAGTACAAATGGTTCTCCAATATATCCTTGAAGACACGTACAAGTTGGTATATGATTAATAACAAAACATTCGGCGTTTTGACCACAAGTTCCTGGACAAGGATCGCGGCATTTTTGATTAATACAAGCCTTATCTCTGGCACAATCTGTACTTAGCACACATTCTGGTCTGCAACCAACATAAGGATCTCCCTGATACTCTGCAATACAACTACAAATGCCATTATTACACTGTGCATTTGAGCCACAAGGCGATGGGTTGCATGGGTCAGTTTCTATCGGCTGAACCAGTGATGGTGGTTTTGGGTGACAACTAGTGAACGGATCGCCAGTAAATCCTTCAGGACATGTACATATTGGCGTATGGTTGATAACGGAACATTGTGCTCCGAAACCACAAGATCCTGGACATGGGTCGGTACATTTTTCTCTGATACACGCCAGTCTACTAACGCATTCAGAATTTATAGTACATTCTGGTCTGCAATTTGGTGGACTTCCAATGTAGTTAGAGATACAAGAGCAAGATGGTATTCCGTTAATGTCTTGGCAAATTGAGTGAGGGCCGCATGGTGAGGGTACGCACGGATTTGTAACATCTGGTTCGATAGATTGTGGAGGAGGAGCTAAAATAATAATTTTGTTACATATTGAGAATTTCTAATATCAACATAATGCATGTAATGGGAAACACTTCTTACTTGGAATGGCGTAACATCTAGTAAACGGATCTCCCGTAAATCCTGCCAAACAACTACATATCGGACTATGATTAATTACAGCGCATTGCGCACTAAGTCCACAAGTTCCCGGGCAAGGATCTGCGCATTTTTGATTTATACAAGCCTGTTTCTGGGGACATTCCGAGCTTACTGTACATTCAGGTCTACAGCCTGGCGGAGAACCTATGTGAGTTGGCAGGCAAGAGCAAACGGCCTGTCCGTTTACTTCGCGACATTGGCTGTTGGGGCCACAGGGCGATGGTTGACAAGGGTTTTTGGGTGGTTCTTCGAGTACTAAAAAATATCGTCTTACATTTATCATTAAGCTCTTATTATTGGATATAGTAAGTTTATTTATTCAAATAACCAGTAATTATTTACTCTTTTAAATTTAACTTACGCGTTTGCTGTGGAATAACATGACAATATCTGAATGGATCACCCGTATATCCACCAACACAAGTACAGGAAGGCAAGTGATTGATTACTTGACATTCAGCGTTTTGCCCGCAAGTACCAGGACATGGATCTACGCATTTATTTCTGACACAAGCCTTGTTGGATGGACAATCGGAATTGAGAGTACATTCTGGTCTACAACCTTCATAAGGATTGCCAGTGTAGTCTTGGATACATGTACAAGAGCCAGCGTTATTTTGTTCTCTACATACTGCATTAGCTCCGCAGGGTGATGGGTAGCAAGGATTTACTTGTTCAATTGGTTTAAGAGCTAAAAGATATTTTTCACATATTAATACGTGTTGTTACCTATGTAAATTCAACTGCGATTTAATCCAGATATTCTACCATAATGATAAAATTATTTATTACCTTCAATAACATTGCATATCACGAAAGGATTACCAGCATAGCCCTGGTTACAAACACAGTTTGGAGTATGACTAACAACTCTACATTCAGCATTTTGTCCGCATACTCCTGGACAAGGGTCTTTGCATTTTCGATTGATACAAGCCAAATTGTTGGCGCATTCGCTATTACTAACACACTCCGGTCTACAATTTGGTGGGGATCCAATAAATTCGGGTAGGCACGAGCAAGATGGTGTGCCGTTGATATCTTTGCATTGGGCGTTCGGACCGCACGGGGATGGATTGCATGGGTTTTGCGTATCGATTGCTTCTTCGACTAAAATAATTTTTGGATATGAAATTTAGATGGCACTTAAGTTTCAGGTTTAAAGAGAAAATTGTCATATAGAAAATTTTGATGCACGTTTTTCTATAAGCCTCACCTGTTGGAGTACATCTAGTAAACGGATCTCCAGAATACCTAGTTGGGCAGCTACAAATTGGATTATGATTCACTACTTGACATAATGCATTTTGTCCACATGTTCCTGGACAAGGATCAATACATTTTTGATTGACGCAAGCCTTATCTAGGTTACATTCGTTAGAAGAAACACATTCAGGTCTACATGCTGGTGGGCTTCCCATAAAGCCTGGTACACAAGAGCAAACTGCTTGTCCATTGATTTCTCTACATTGACTGTTGGGACCGCAAGGTGATGGATTGCAAGGATTCTTGGGAGTTTCTGGTGGTATTGGCTGACAAGCCACAAAAGCGTTGCCCTGATAGCCAGCAATACATGCGCAGTTCGGAATATGGTTAATAACAGTGCACTCAGTGTTTTGACCGCAAGTGCCCGGGCAAGGGTCCACGCATTTTTGCCTTATACAAGCCTTGTCTCTTGAACAATCGTTATTTAAAAGACATTCTGGCCTACAACCCTGATAAGGATCCCCTTGATATTCTGGCAAGCATGTGCATATTCCATTATCACATTGAGCATTCGCTCCACAAGGAGATGGATTGCAAGGATCTTGCTCAACAACCGGTTCTGGACGCTTAACTTGACAATAGCTGAATGGATCTCCTGTATATCCTTCGAGACACACACAAATGGAAATATGATTGAAAACGCTACATTGTGCATTACTTCCGCACATTCCTGGACAAGGATCGCGACATTTCTGTTGAATACATGCTTGATTCGTTGGACATTCGGAGTTGATTGTACATTCTGGTCTACAGTTTGGTGGTGCACCAATATAAGTTACTAGGCAAGAGCATGATGGTAACCCTCCAATGTCTTGGCATTGAGAGTTCGGTCCACAAGGAGATGGTACACAAGGATTTTTGATTACTATTGGTGGCGGAGTTGAAGGCGGACCTGAAATTGCAATTATAAAATGTGTTTCGATGTCTACTGATTTGAATATAAAGAGAGTTTTTTCTAGTTGGTGGTTACAAAAAACAAAATATTGAAACTCTCGAATTTAGTTTATATGAAGCATTTTTGCGTCGATTCTTTATGATCTGACCATATCAGCATAAATGTTTACCTATTTTTGTTACATAGCAGCTCGTGAACGGATCTCCAGTAAATCCACTAGAACAACTACAGATCGGGCTGTGGTTTATAACTTGGCAATTAGCATTCAATCCACACGTTCCAGGACATGGATCGGTGCATTTTTGGTTAATACAAGCCTTATCTCCAGAACATTCTGAGCTTACTATACATTCTGGCCTACAACCCGGTGGAGAACCTATATATTCAGGTAGGCAAGAACAAACGACTTGGCCATTATTTTCACGACATTGACTATTCGGACCGCATGGAGATGGTTGGCAAGGACTTGAAGGTTGTTCTTCAGCAACCGCTAGAATAATTTTGTGTCAAACCTTGAAGTGACCAGAAATTATTAACTTACGTTCTGGTAAATTGCTGCAATAGCGGAAAGGATCTCCAGTATATCCAATAATACAAGTGCACGAAGGCAAATGATTGATTGGTTGACATTGGGCATTGGTTCCACATGCTCCAGGACAAGGATCCTTACATTTGTTATTTATACAAGCCTTATTTGATGGACAATCGGAGTTGAGAGTACACTCAGGTCGGCAACCTTCATAGGGATTACCAATATAGTCTTGTAAACACTGACAAGCGCCAGCTCCATTTTGCTCTCTACAAATAGCATTTGATCCACATGGAGATGGAATACAAGGTGTAGGTCTTTCTTCTGCAGGAGCTTCAATCTTCTGAAGACAATGCACGAATGGATTACCAACAAATCCAGGCAAACAAATACAATTTGGTGTATGGCTAACAACTCTACAATCTGCGTTGATGCCACAGGTATTAGGGCAAGGATCTTTGCATTTTTGATTTATGCATGCCAAATGGGAAGCACACTCACTGTTGCTAATACATTCTGGTCTACAGTTTGGAGGTGTACCAGTATATTCTGGCAAACAAGAGCATGATGGTGACCCGTTGATGTCACGACATTGTGAATTGGGTCCGCAGGGTGATGGTTGGCAAGGGTTAGTTGGAACAACCACTGGTACTTCTCCTAAAAAAAATACGAATATTTAGATTTATGCTTAAATTTTCAAAAACCTAATTGGCAGAATGTTTTTTCATGTGCCAGTAATCAATTTCATGAAAAACTAAAAAAAAAACAACTTACTTATTGGTAAGCATCTAGTAAATGGATCACCAGTTTGTCCAGGTAAGCAGCTACAGATAGGATTATGATTTACAACTTGACATTGTGCATTTAATCCACAAGTTCCAGGACATGGATCGATACATTTCTGATTTACGCAAGCCCTGTTAAGAGGACATTCTGAACTAGTAATACATTCTGGTCTACAAGCTGGTGGGCTTCCGATAAAGCCTGGCACACACGAACACACAGCCTGGCCGTTAATCTCTCTACATTGACTGTTTGGACCACACGGGGACGGTTGACATGGATTTTCAGGCATTTCCGCTAAAAGTAGATGATTGTTTTATTGAGATTTGATAGGGCATTTGCTGCTTGAATATTTGAGAACTTGCTGAATTCAAAGCAAAATTTATTGTCAAAAATTAGCAATGATGTTTATGACCACTGATCTAGATTTAAGTACTACAAAATAATAAAATAATCTATCGTTCCCAAACTTACGTGGTAAAGGTGAACATATAACAAATGCATCCCCAGTAAATCCTGACAAGCATGAGCATATTGGAATATGATTAAATACAAAACATTCAGCGTTTTGTCCACAAGTTCCAGGACAAGGATCTTGACATTTATTTCTAATACAGGCCTTAGTTCTAGGACAATCTTCGCTCAAAACACATTCAGGTCTGCAGCCTCTGTAAGGATCGCCTTGATATTCTGGCAAGCATGTGCATATACCGTTGTTGCATTGAGCATTTGATCCGCACGGTGATGGATTACATGGGTCAGATTCAACCGGTTCAGGTGGCGGAGGCGGTTTTGGCGAGCAATAAGCGAACGGATCACCAGTATATCCATCGAGACAACTACAAATCGGTATATGGTTGATAACGCTGCATTGAGCGTAAGTACCGCATGATCCTGGACAAGGGTCTTTGCATTTTTGTCGGATGCAAGCCAAGTTACTTGGACATTCCGAGTTAATAGAGCATTCTGGTCTACAGTTTGGTGGACTTCCAATATAGTTTGGTAAGCAAGAACATGATGGGTTATTTCCGACCTCACGACATTGACTGTTAGGTCCACATGGCGACGGCATACATGGATTTTGAGGCACTGGTATAGGCTCGGGTGGAGGTGCAGGTATTGGGTAACATCTAGTAAACGGATCACCAGTAAATTGAGCTACACAGCTACATATTGGACTATGATTTATCACTTGACAGTTAGCGTTTAAGCCACATGTACCAGGGCAAGGATCGACACATTTTTGGTTTACGCAGGCTTTATTATGTGCGCATTCTGTACTGACTACACATTCTGGTCTGCAACCTGGTGGACTGCCAATATATTCCGGTAGGCAAGAGCATACGGCTTGGCCGTTTATTTCACGACATTGACTGTTGGGTCCGCAGGGTGATGGTTGACACGGATTTTGAGGAGTGATGTCTTTTACAGCTAAAATTGAATTTATTTTATTAAAACTACAATCTGAAATATCAGAAGAGACTTACGTTCAGGTGGTACTAAATCACAATATCTATACGGATCTCCAGTGTATAATGGTAGACAACTACAAGAAGGCATATGATTGACAACTTGGCATACCGCGTTTTGTCCACAAGTTCCAGGACATGGATCAATGCATTTATTTCTAATACAGGCTTTATTCGAGGGACAGTCAGAGTTTATGCTACATTCTGGCCTACAGCCTTCGTAAGGATTTCCGATATATTCTGGTAAACATATGCAAGCACCAGCGTTATTTTGTTCTCTACATTCAGCGTTCGCACCACATGGTGATGGAAGACAAGGGGTTGGTCTTTCCACTGGTCGAATAACTACAAATTAAGTAAGTTGAAAATGATAGTTTCTAAATAATATCATAAATCATATGGCTGATTTGGGAGAAATTATCACCTTGTTCAGAACAAACAGAGAATGGATTTCCAACGAAACCAGGCAGACAGACACAATTAGGTGTATGACTAACGACTCTGCATTCGGCATTTTGCCCGCACACTCCAGGACAAGGGTCTTTACATTTTTGTCCAATGCAAGCCAAATGATTAGCGCACTCGCTATTACTTATACATTCTGGCTTACAGTTTGGTGGCTGACCAATTAATTCAGGTAAGCAAGAGCAAGATGGCGATCCGTTAATTTCTCTACATTGTGAGTTAGGTCCGCATGGAGATGGATTGCAAGGATCTCTAACTTGCACTGGTTCATCACCTAGAAGATTAATTTTTTTGAATAAATATGTGCTAAGAATATAACTTTTGAACTCTTACGTATAGGAGTGCATCTGACAAACGGATCTCCGGTATAACGTGGAGCACAACTACAAATAGGATTGTGATTTACCACTTGACATAGAGCATTAACGCCGCAAGTTCCTGGACAAGGATCGATACATTTCTGATTGACACAGGCTTGATTTAAAGGACATTCTGGACTGGTTACACATTCTGGTCTACAAGTTGGAGGGCTACCAATAAAACCTGGTACACAAGAGCAAACAGCTTGTCCATTAATTTCTCTACACTGACTATTAGGACCGCATGGTGATGGATTGCATGGGTTTTGTGGTGTAGGAGCTGAAAATGATTCTTGATGTAAATCAAATTTTTCTGGGAAATTGTAATATTTAGTAAATGAAAAAGTAGACGAACAAAACGGAATCTTGATGGAATGACGCCATATTGTATAGTATGGAGCCAGTATGTATGTGTGAGTTATAATGATCTTATTAAATATCACTTTGAATCAACTTACCAGGTACTCTTGAGCACGAAACAAAAGCATTTCCAGTATAACCCTCAATGCAACTGCACATAGGTATATGATTAACAACTGCGCATTCAGCGTTGGAACCACAAGTTCCCGGACAAGGATCTTGACATTTATTTCTAATACAAGCCTTATTCCATGGGCAATCATTGCTCAACACACACTCTGGCCTACAGCCTCTGTAAGGATCACCTTGGTATTCTGATATGCAAGTGCAAACTCCGTTATTACATTCAGCGTTTGGACCGCACGGTGATGGATTGCATGGGTCAGTTTCAACAGGTTCTGGAGGCGGTGGAGGTTTAGGAACACAATTGGTGAACGGGTCACCCGTAAATCCTTCCGGACAATCGCAAATAGGTGTGTGGTTGATAACAGAGCACCGAGCGCCAAATCCGCAAGATCCAGGACAAGGGTCTGTACATTTTTGTCTGATACAAGCCAAGTTATTGGAGCACTCTTGGTTTATGTTACATTCCGGACGACAGTTTGGTGGACTTCCAAAGAACATTGATTGGCATCGGCATACAGGAGAGCCACCAACGTTGGTACATTCGGCGTTTGGACCGCAAGGGGATGGTACGCATGGGTCTCTTTCTATAAACGTTGGCTGTGGTGGAGGTGGAGCTAAAATAGTTTCATTGGTTTGTGGATGATTTTTTTTCGGCCGATATATCAAATAGTATTTCAGTGAAATAACTTTTTTTTATTGCCTACTTTAAAATTGTTTTGATAGTTACATAACGAACGTGTGTCATACTCTTCAGGATTCCCATAATAGGGTTTATCCTGAAATTCAATATTATGGTCTACGGGAAAGTACGTGTTCAGCTACAGTATATTTATCCGATTGTTCAAGTCTGCAGTTTCGCTTAGCTCTTTGATTATTTTCACCGAACGACCACTGGGAACCAGAATCCGTAGGAGAAATCTGCGATCCGCGGCAGCTGAACACACACTTTAAGACGTGGAAAATAATATCAAATTTCATTCATCATACGAATAATTTCAACGTAAAGAAGAAAAGCTTAAGAGTAAACAAAATATGGACTACGGCCTCACGTTAGAAATCCACGACGGTACGACACTCAAACCCGAATCCATCATCAATACATTTTTTATATAGATACGAAATGTACATATTTCCGTAAAAACAATCGTTAAAAGTAAAACAGATGTTGGCAATAAAAAAGTCGTTTCTGTACTTCATCAAACTGAAATTTTTATCGCAGTCAGTGAATAACACTTACGTGGTATAAGATAACATCTTGTAAATGGATCACCGGTATGACCAGGCGAACAGCTACATATTGGACTATGATTTATGACTGAACACTGAGCCTGGATGCCACACGTTCCTGGACATGGATCAGCGCACTTCTGATTAATGCAAGCTCTATTTTGTGGACACTCGGAACTAACGACACATTCTGGTCGACAGCTTGGAGGACTGCCAACATATTGAGGCAAGCAGGAGCAAACGGCTTGTCGATTTACTTCCCGACATTGGCTATTAGGACCACAAGGGGAGGGTTGGCACGGATTTTGGGGTGGTTGTTCTTCGTTTATTGCTATTTGGTATGTTTAATAATTAGCAATGAGGTAATTCTCTGAAATCCACCACTTTTCACAAAATATTCGAGGCTGGCAATGAATAATCACGAAAAAAAAAGCAGATTTAATTGATTATAATTTAAAACTTTCTATGTTTTTCAAAACATTTTTTTTTTTTTTAAATTATACAAAATTTTTAGTCAGCAGAAATATTGGCAAGCCGTAACCGAGGGACGAAATCTCAGTGGCTAAAAACTCTCTTATGTACCTATAGGTAATAAAGCTGAGGTGAAAAATGTGGAATTTTCTATAATAAAGTATTTCTCATAAAAATATTCATCCTTACGTTCTGGTATAGGTTTGCAATAGGTAAACGGATCTCCTGTAAATCCTGGAACACAATCACAAGCGGGCAGATGATTGACTGCGGTACAATCCGCATTTTGACCGCAAGCACCTGGACAAGGGTCTTTACACTTGTTGGTCACGCATGCTTTATTCGAGGGACAGTCAGAGTTAAGGACACATTCGGGTCTACAACCTTCATAGGGGTTTCCAATGTAATCGGGGAGACAAGTGCAGGAACCTGCACGATTTTGTTCTCTACATACAGCGTTCGCTCCACAAGGTGAGGGTACACAAGGGTTGGTATTTTCAGGGGGTGGAGCTATAAAAGATCATGGTTGGTCAACAATTGTTTATTTTTTGCACAATAAGAAACGTTAGAAGCAAATAAACTGATTGACTTATTAGGTAGTTCACTAAATTGCGAATAACGTTTCGTATGTCGCACCCATCATCAAGGCAAGGCATTATTTTTTCAAGCATTAGTAAGTATAATTTGTGTGGCAAATAATAAGAGCAAAGGCATAATAAAAATGGGCTTACGCGATGGTACAGCACAAGACACAAACGGATTTCCGCTAAATCCTTGTAAACAATAACATTCGGCTGTATGACTAACTACGCGGCAGTTGGCATTAGTGCCGCACACACCCGGGCAAGGATCTTGGCATTTTTGTCTTATACATGCTAAATTGTAGTTGCATTCGTTGTTGCTAATGCACTCTGGTCTACAATTTGGAGGCGAACCAATATAATTTGCTTGGCAAGAACATGATACTTGGTTGTTAATAACTTTGCATTCTGCGTATGGACCGCATGGTGATGGTTGGCAGGGGTTTTGGGGTTCTACTACCTGGTCTTCTCCTAAAAATCGATCGATTATTTTAATAAACCTGGAATATATTGGCGAAGTTCTTCCGTACTTATCGGTATGCATCTAACGAAAGGATTTCCAGATTGCCTGGGTGGGCAGCTACAAATAGGATTATGATTGACCACTTGGCAAACAGCTGCTATTCCGCAACTACCAGGACAGGGGTCAATGCATTTTTGATTTACACAAGCTCTGTTTAGCGCGCAATCGGAGCTTAAAATGCATTCTGGTCGACAAGTCGGTGGACTACCAATAAATCCATGTACGCAAGAACAAACAGCTTGTCCGTTTATTTCTCTACATTGACTGTTTGGACCGCACGGGCTTGGGTTACATGGATTTTGAGGAGTTATTTCTAAAAAATTATATACCATTGTGAAAAATTGTTTCAACGTATTTTTTTTTAAACCATCATATAAAAATTAGCTAGAGAGAACAGAGTGAAATGATGCGTTCTTATTTTTGCTAAAAATCTAAATGTTTTTTGTACCAACCTGGGAGCTTGGAGCAAAAAGTAAAGGCATTTCCAGTATATCCTACGATGCAAGTACACATCGGTACATGATTAAATACCGAACAGTCTGCATTTTGTCCGCAAGTTCCGGGACAAGGATCGATACATTTCATTCTTATACAAGCCTTATTTCGCGGACAGTCACTATTTAGGACACATTCAGGCCTACACTCTTTGTAAGGATCTCCTTGATATTCTGGTAAGCATGTACAAATTCCATTCTTGCATTGAGCATTTGGCCCACATGGTGACGGGTTACATGGATCAGTTTCGACCGGTTTAGGTGGCGGTGGTGGCTTCGGAGTACAATAACTGAACGGATCACCAGTGTAACCTTCTATACAAGTACATATCGGAGTATGATTGATTACAGAGCATTGCGTATTGGTACCGCAAGACCCGAGACACGGGTCTCGGCATTTTTCTCTAATGCAAGCCAGATTCATTAAACATTCTGAGTTAATAGTACATTCAGGTCTACAATTTGGCGGCGCTCCAATGTACTTGGACAAGCAACTACACACTGGGGATTGATTTATTTCTCTACATTCGCTGTTGGGTCCGCACGGAGATGGAACACAAGGGTTTCTATAGGGGATTATATCTTGAACAGGTGGTGGTGCTAAAAATTTTGTCTAATAGAACATATTTTCTCAAATGGTACAATGAAAACTTACGAGGAATAGGGTAGCACCTGGTAAACGGATCACCAGTATGACCAGGTGAACAGCTACAAATTGGACTATGATTAACTACTGAACAACGAGAATTAAGGCCGCACGTTCCTGGACATGGGTCGATACATTTCTGGTTTATACATGCTTTGTTTTGAGCACACTCTGAACTAACTGTACATTCTGGCCTACAGCTTGGTGGTGCACCAATATATTCGGACAGACAAGAGCATACTGCTTGACCGTTAACTTCACGACATTGGCTATTAGGACCACATGGAGATGGTTGGCAAGGATTTTGTGGGTCTGGTGGTGATTCAATTGCTAAAATAATTTTTAGATCATTTCAATTAGATGATCAGAATAAAGAATCGCATCGTACCTTGCACAATACTGCAAAATCTAAATGGATCTCCGGTATAATCATGGAAACAACTACACTGAGGCAAATGATTGCGCACATGACATTCGGCATTTTGCCCACAAGTCCCTGGACAAGGGTCTCTACACTTTTGGTTAACGCAAGCTTTATTCGACGGACAATCAGAATTAATAGTACATTCTGGTCTACAACCTTGATAAGGATCTCCAATGTAACCTGGAATACATGTGCAAGAACCGGCGTTATTTTGCTCCTTGCATATTGCATTTGGCCCGCAAGGTGATGGGGAACATGGTGATATTATTTCTCTTATTGGTGGTGCTAAAAATGGTTCTAGGTAAATTTTGAGGATCATTGTTTGAAAAAAAAATCTTACGTTGTGGCGGCGAACAGGCAATGAAAGGATTTCCAACATAATTGGAAACACAAACACAATTGGGAGTATGGCTTACAACTCTACATTCGGCGTTTTGTCCGCATACGCCAGGACACGGATCTCTACATTTTTGTCCTATACAGGCCAAATTGTAGGTGCATTCACTGTTGCTGACGCATTCTGGTCTACAGTTTGGCGGTGATCCAATAAATTCTGGTAAACATGAACAAGACGGACTGCCGTTGATGTCTTTGCACTGGGAATTGGGTCCGCAAGGAGATGGTTGGCAAGGATTCGTTTGAATGGGTTCTTCAATTGCTAAAATTAATTTAGGCGTGATATTTTGCATTTCAAGAAACTAAAGAGTTACAAGCATAATAATTTCTGTTTTCAAATAAATGGCCCGTTGATTAGTTTATCATAATCTTGGCAAAAGTTATCTTAAATAATTTCGAAAATTGAACTAAGTAAGTAACTATTATGCTGATACCTCACATATAAATGAGACAATTTAAACAAAATATAATTACGTTTTGGGAAGCATCTCACAAATGGATCACCAACATAATTACCCAAACAACTACATATTGGATTATGATTTACAACTTGACAGTGAGCATTTAGCCCGCAAGTTCCTGGACAAGGGTCAATACATTTTTGATTAACGCACGCTCTATTTAAAGCACATTCGGCGCTGGTAACACATTCTGGTCTACAAGCTGGTGGGCTGCCAATAAAGCTTGGTACACAAGAGCAAACTGCTTGACCATTAATTTCTCTGCATTGACTGTTGGGACCGCACGGCGACGGATTGCACGGGTTGGAAACTACTGGTTTTGACATTGATGAACAAAATACAAAAGCATTTCCATAATAACCATAAATGCAAGTGCAAATAGGTATGTGGTTGATTACTGAACATTCAGCATTTTGTCCGCATGTGCCAGGACATGGATCAATACATTTACTTCTTAGACAAGCTTTGTTGTTTGGACAATCATTGTTTAAAACGCATTCAGGTCTGCATCCCTTATAAGGATCTCCTCGATATTCTTGTAAGCATGTGCAAACACCATCGTTACATTGAGCATTGGAACCACATGGTGAAGGATTGCACGGATCATTTTCAACAGCTTCTGGAGGTGGTGGTGGTTTTGGTGAGCAGTAAGTGAATGGATCTCCAATATAACCTTCAATACAAGTACAAATAGGTGTATGATTTATTACTGAACATTGAGCACTAATTCCACAAGATCCCGGACATGGGTCTCTACATTTTTGAGTGATACAAGCCAAGCTACTGGAGCAATCTGAATTAATTGTACACTCGGGCCTACAATTGGGTGGGCTTCCCAAAAATTTTGGCAAGCAAGAGCAAGATGGAGAGCCTCCACTGTTTCTGCACTGTGAATTAGGGCCGCAAGGAGATGGTAAGCATGGATCTCTAATTGGTTCAATAACTGCCGCAGGAGGAGGAACTAAAAATAATTGCCAATTGAACAAAATCTTCCAACAATCGTCAAAATAACTCACTAGGAATTGGGTAGCACCTAGTAAACGGATCGCCAGTGAAACTAGTTCTACAATTGCATATAGGACTGTGATTAATCACTTGACAATTGGCATTGAGCCCGCAAGTGCCTGGACATGGGTCAACGCATTTTTGATTCACACAAGCCCTATTCTGAGGACATTCTGCGCTTATTGTACATTCCGGTCTGCAACCAGGTGGACTACCAATGTATTCAGGTAGACAAGAACAAACTGCTTGACCGTTTACTTCGCGACATTGACTGTTTGGACCACAAGGGGATTGTTGACATGGGTTTTGAGGCACATCACTCACTACAGCTGAAAGAAAATTAAAATCGTGAATTAACCCTGAAGAAATGATAGTCTGGTTTTTAAAATCAAGGAAATTTCTTACGTTCTGGTGGTATAACATTGCAGTATCTGAAAGGATCTCCAGTGAACCCTGCATTACAGCTACAAGTTGGTAAATGATTGATAACCTGACAATAGGCATTTTGTGCACACGTTCCTGGACAAGGGTCTCTACATTTACTATTTATGCAAGCCTTGTTCGATGGACAATCTGAGTTCAAAGAACACTCTGGTCTACAACCTTCATAGGGATTTCCAATGTATTCTGGCAAACACGTGCAAGCTCCAGCTTTATTTTGAACTCTACATTCTGCATTTGCGCCACACGGCGATGGTACACAAGGATTAACATGTTCCGTTGGTTGAGGTAATGGTATAACATTGCAAGCACTGAATGGATTACCAGTATAACCAGGACTACAAATACAATTAGGCGTGTGGCTGATAACTCTACATTCAGCGTTTTGTCCGCAAGTGCCAGGACATGGGTCTTTGCATTTGTTATTGATACAAGCCAAGTGATTGGCGCAATCACTATTGCTGGCACATTCTGGCCTACAGTTTGGTGGAGATCCAATAAACTGTGGCCAACAGGAGCATGATGGAGTACCATTGATATCTTTGCATTGGGCATTAGCACCGCATGGTGATGGTTGGCAAGGATTTGTTGGAGTTGGATGATGATCTTCAATAGCTATAAATTTCAATTTAAATTAAAACCTGAAGACAAGCATTGTATTTCAACTCACGTATTGGTCGACATCTACTAAAAGGATCACCAGTTTGTCCAGGTGGACAACTGCAAATCGGACTATGATTAATAACTTGGCATTTAGCTCCAATACCGCAAGTACCAGGACATGGATCTATACATTTCTGATTAGCACAAGCCTGAATAATTGCACACTCATAACTTGCGGTACATTCAGGCCTACAAGTGGGCGGGCTACTCATGTAGTTTGGCAAACATGAGCAAACCGCTTGTTGGTTTATTTCTCTACATTGACTGTTGGGTCCGCAAGGGGATGGATAACATGGATTCACAGGGGGTGGCACTGAAAGTTTTTTTGAAAGTTAAATGTTTTGAAGGACAGTGAAGAATGTTATTAGGTACCTCTAATTTCAGAACACAAAATAAAAGCGTTTCCAGTAAATCCGGGCAAACACGAGCACATAGGAATATGCTCATAAACGTTGCATTGAGCATTTTGTCCACAAGTTCCTGGACACGGATCCGTACATTTGTTTCTGATACATGCTCGGTCTCTGGGACAATCGTTACTTATTATACATTCTGGTCTACAACCTTGATAAGGATCTCCTTGATATTCTGGCAAGCATGTGCATATTCCATTGTTGCATTGGGCATTTGCGCCACAAGGTGAGGGGTTGCAAGGATCCGCTTCCTCAATAATAACTAAAACATTTATTTTTATTTTTTTGTTTGGCAAGTAGTAACCTCAAATCCAAAAATTACCTGGTTGCGGTTTAATGAAACAATTACTAAATGGATCTCCAGTGTATCCATCACGACAAGAGCAAATTGGTAAATGACTGATAACAATGCACTGTGCATTCAAACCACAAGATCCAGGACAAGGATTTTTGCATTTTTCCCTGATACAAGCCAAATTACTCGGGCATTCAGAATTAATGGTACATTCAGGTTTGCAATTTGGTGGGCTGCCAATATAAGTTGCTCGACAACTGCAAGATGGTGATCCATTAAGGTCTCTACATTCGCTGTTGGGCCCGCATGGCGATGGAATGCAAGGGTTTGTAATTAATAGTGGCGGTGGGGGAGCTGAAATATGATGACACATTTTAGCAGGTGTTATCGATAAGTAATATTTTGCTTGTTGTAGCACTTTCAGAAGTTTGAATTTATGAAATTTGGTTGCATTTTACTCCGAAGGAGGATTAAGAAAAAGGGTAAAATATAATTGCTAGTAAAGCAATTTAATAATGATTGCAGCGTTTCTTACGTGGTATTGGGTAGCATTTCGTAAACGGATTTCCAGTATTACCAGGTCTACAACTACAAATCGGACTGTGATTAATCACTTGACAATTGGCATTTATTCCACAAGTTCCAGGGCAAGGATCGCTGCATTTCTGGTTTAGGCAAGCTCTATTTCGAGCGCATTCTGTGCTCACAACGCATTCTGGCCGACAACCAGGTGGACTACCTATGTATTCTGGTAGACAAGAGCAAACTGCTTGCCCATTAATTTCGCGACATTGACTGTTGGGACCGCAAGGCGATGGCTGGCAAGGATGTGATGGTTCAGCTTCAATGGCTAAAATTGTTTTTTGAGTTAATCTTTAATTAAGTAGATTAGGAGGCCTTGCGAAGGCTATAAACGAGGAAAATTAATCAAATGCTACGGCATAGTTATTCTCCTCATTCGTACAACCTTGAAAATATTCGGGGTCTAAAAATAGCACTTACGTTTTTCAAGAAGTATGCTACAATATCTGAATGGATCTCCTGTAAAGCCAGGTTGACAAGTACATGATGGATCATGGTTCACTACCTGACAGTAAGCGTGTTGTGCACAAGTTCCAGGACATGGATCTTTACATTTATCATTTACACAGGCCTTATTAGCAGGGCAGTCGGAATTAGTTGTACATTCTGGCCTGCATCCCTCATATGGATTTCCAATGAACTCTTGTAAGCATGTGCAAGATCCGGCTCCATTTCGCTCTCTACATTCAGCATTTGCACCGCAGGGCGATGGATTACAAGGATTGATATTTTCTATTAGGGGTGGAGGTGATAGATGACAAGAACTGAATGGATTACCAATGAATCCAGATACACAAAAACAGTTGGGTGTATGACTGACCACTCTACATTCAGCGTTTGTGCCACAAGTTCCTGGACACGGGTCTTTACATTTTTGGTTCATACAAGCCAAGTGATTAGCGCATTCGCTATTGCTGACACATTCTGGTCTACATCTTGGTGGTGTACCGATAAATTCTGGTAAGCACGAACATGAGGGACTATCTCCCACTGGTTGACATTGGGCATTTGGTCCACAAGGAGATGGTTGGCAAGGATTTGTCGGAGTAACGATATGTTCTTCTTCTAAAATATTTGTATAATTTATAATTTGTATAAATTAATGAAATACAACCAACTTACGTATTGGTATGCAACGAACAAAAGGATCGCCAGAAAATCTTGAAGGACAACTACAAATTGGATTATGATTGATAACTTGACAATGTGCCCCTACTCCACAAGTTCCCGGACATGGGTCGATACATTTTTGGTTTGAGCAAGCCTGATTGAGGGGACACTCAGAACTAGATACGCATTCTGGTCTACAAGTTGGTGGACTACCAATAAAACCTGGTACGCAAGAGCACACGGCTTGTCCGTTGATTTGTCTGCATTGACTGTTGGGACCACAAGGTGAAGGACTACAAGGGTTTTGAGGCACTGGTCCTAAAAGTGTATTAAAAAGTCTATTAGTCCAAATCTTATGAGACTTTTCCATGGTATTGATTTCAAAGTTTGAGTAATATATATTATCAAGCTAATGTGAACTTACTTTTGATTCGATCACAAATGACAAAAGCATTTCCACTGAAACCTGGTAAGCAAGAACACATGGGTATATGGTTAACAACATTACATTCAGCATTCTGTCCACAAGTTCCAGGACAAGGATTTTTACATTTTTGCCTCATGCAAGCCAAGTTTCGTGAACAATCGGCATTCAAAATACACTCTGGTCTACATCCTTGGTAAGGATCTCCCTGATATTCTGGCAGACACGTGCAAATTCCATTGTCGCATTGTGCGTTGGATCCACAAGGTGTTGGATTACATGGATCTGTTACTACTGCTTCGATTTCTTGAGGTTTAAGTTGGCAATAATTAAATGGATCTCCAGTGTAGCCTCCTGAACATGTACATATCGGAGTATGATTGATTACAGAGCATTGTGCTCCGCTTCCGCAAGCTCCTAAACAAGGATCGCTACATTTTTGTCTAATGCATGCCATGTTGCTACTACATTCGGAATTTACGAGACACTCTGGTCTGCAATTCGGTGGGCTTCCAACAAGTTCTGGAAGGCAACTACAAGATGGCAAACCATTGATGGTTCTGCATTGACTGTTGGCTCCACATGGAGATGGCAGGCAAGGATCAGTTAATACTGGCTCTAGAACCTGTACCAGAGGCTTAGGTGTTGGATAACATCTAGTGAATGGATCACCAGTATGGCCGACATTACAACTACAAATGGGGCTGTGATTCATTACTTGACATTTAGCATTAAGCCCGCATGTTCCAGGGCAAGGATCGGCGCATTTTTGATTTATACAGGCTTTAGTTAGAGCACATTCTGAGCTAACAGTACATTCAGGCCTGCAACCTGGTGGACTACTAATGTAATTTGGAAGGCATGAACAGACTGCTTGGTTATTAATTTCTCTGCATTGGCTGTTGGGTCCACAGGGACTGGGATTGCATGGATTTTGTGGTGGAGTTTCATCTGCTATTGCTAAAATGTAGATTTCTGGTGTCAAAATAAAGAGTAAAACTTTGATATACATTAGAGTTAAAAATGTTTCTTACGTTGACGTGGAATATTACAAAACCGGAACGGGTCTCCAGTATAACCAGGTATACAAGTGCACATGGGCAAGTGATTGACTACTTGGCAATCGGCGTTCTGTCCACATATTCCAGGGCAAGGGTCTTGACATTTGTTTCTTAGACAAGCCTTGTTGTACGGACAATCTGAATTAAGGACACATTCAGGTCTGCAACCCTCATAGGGATTTCCAATGTAGTCGAGTAGGCAAACACAAGCGCCCGCGCCATTTTGTTCGCGACATTCTGCGTTAGCGCCACAAGGTGATGGGGAACAAGGTCTTATGATTTCTTGTATAATTTCTAAAAAAATTAATTTGTATGAACTACATAAACTTTTTCCGTGTAGCTGAGGAAGTAATGCTAATTATTATGGTTATTTTGATAAATTATAGTTTTCAGCTTCCTTTGGCAACTGTTAAAATTACGTAAAACTTACGAGGCTGTTGTGGTAAGCATTGCCTGAATGGATCGCCAATAAAACCTTGAAGACACATACAGTTTGGCGTGTGAGTGACCACACGACATTCTGCATTCAGACCACAAGTTCCAGGGCAAGGATCCTTGCATTTATTGTTGATACAAGCTAAATTATATGCGCAGTCCGAATTTGATACGCATTCTGGTCTACAATTTGGCGGAGACCCTGTAAATCCTGCTAGGCAGGAACAAGATGGAGATTCTCCAATTGACCTACATTCGGAATTCGGCCCACATGGTGATGGTAGGCATGGGTTAGTTGGCTGAGCAACCACTGCTTCTTCTATAATGTGTATTTTTTTTCATAAATTATATTTTTACATAAAAAAAAAATATTACCTATAATCGGGACACATCTGATAAACGGATTACCAGACATCCTTTCTGGGCAAGAGCAAATCGGACTATGATTAACCACTTGGCATCTAGCACCAATTCCACATGTACCAGGACATGGATCAATACATTTTTGATTTACGCAAGCTTGACTCAATATACATTCTTGACTAGTGACACACTCTGGACGACAATTTGGAGGACTACCAATAAAAGCTGGTACGCAAGAACATACAGCTTGGCCATTAATTTCTCTACATTGACTGTTGGGTCCACATGGTGAAGGATTGCAGGGATTTTTGGGATCTTCCGCTAGAAATAGATGATTTTTTTTTCAGACAAGTAGATGTTTGGCAGGTATTTCTTTTAATTCCATTATTTGTTTGAAATCGACTTATTCCGGAAATGAGACGAGCTAAAAAATATTTACCTGGGATGGGTAAACAAATCAAAAATGCATTTCCAGAAAATCCTTGCAGACAAGAGCACATCGGAATGTGATTAATAACATTGCACTCAGCATTTTGGCCACACGTCCCGGGACAAGGATCCTGACATTTATTTCTAATACAAGTTTTATCTCTGGAACAATCACTTGGAAGAACACATTCTGGCCTACATTCCCTATAAGGATCACCTCGATATTCTGGTAAACAAGTGCAAATTCCATTATTGCACTGAGCATTTGGTCCACATGGTGAGGGACTACAGGGGTCAGTTTCAACTGGTTGTGTAGGTTGAAGTGGTTCAGGATTACAATAGCTGAATGGATCACCAGTATAGCCATCGGGGCATGTACATATTGGCGTATGATTCACTACAGTACATAGTGCGCCAGATCCACAAGCACCTGAACAAGGATCTTGACATTTTTCATTAATGCATGCCAAACTGCTTCTGCAGTCAGAATTGACACTGCATTCGGGTCTACAGTTTGGAGGACTGCCAAAATAATTGGGTAGACAGGAACATGATGGGGAACTATTTGAGTCTCTACATTGACTGTTTGGGCCACATGGTGACGGTACACATGAGTTTGTGATTATTATAGATGGAATGTCCACTGGGGGAGCTAAAATATATTACAATAATATTTGCAAGCTTACAATAAGGTTATTGGCTTACGTGGTATAGGATAACACCTAGAAAACGGATCACCGGTGAATTGATTTTTGCAACTACAAATAGGACTATGCTTTATTACTTTACAGAGAGCATTTAGTCCACAGGTTCCTGGACACGGATCAGCGCATCTCTGGTTTATACAAGCTTTGTCTGCTGGACATTCTGAGCTTACAGTACATTCTGGTCTACAACCAGGTGGACTACCGAAATAGTCGGGTAGACAAGAACATACAGCTTGCCCGTTGACTTCCCGACATTGACTGTTTGGACCGCATGGAGATCGATGGCATGGGTTTGAAGGTATATCTTCTACTACAGCTACAATAGGTTATTATTATTAATGAGAATCTCAGTAGCCAATTTTCAAATAGAATGTATTTTATAAAAGTAAAAGTAAAAATCATCAGCCATTGCTAGTAGGTATATGCATTATGCAAATTTACAACGAATATTATCAAAATATTCATTATTTATCAAAAGAAATTGACTTTGATATGTAAACAACTTTTGCTTTTATAAAACCACAGATATCATAAGATTCTTACGTTGTGGGGGAATTATGCTGCAATATCTGAAAGGATCTCCTGTATATCCAGGACTGCAGGTACAAGACGGAAGATGATTAATCACTTGACATAACGCGTTTGGTGCGCAAGTTCCTGGACAAGGATCTTGACATTTGTTCCTAATGCATGCTTTATTCGATGGGCAATCGGAATTGACTGAGCATTCTGGCCTACAACCCTCATAAGGATTTCCAATATATTCTCGTAAGCATACACATGATCCAGCTCCATTCCGTTCCCTGCACTCAGCATTGGATCCGCAAGGAGACGGATTGCACGGAGTCAAAGTTTCTTGAATTGGGGTTTGTTGTATGGTGCATTGCAAAAATGGATCACCGAAGTAACCAGCCGAACAGACGCAATTTGGAGTGTGGCTTACAACCCGACATTCGGCATTTAATCCGCACGTGCCAGGGCACGGGTCTTTGCATTTTTGATTTATACATGCCAAGTGATTAGGACATTCGCTGTTACTAACACACTCTGGACGACAGTTTGGTGGGGTGCCAATAAATTGTGGTAAGCAAGAGCAAGATGGCGATTCTCCTATTACCTTACATTCGGCATTTGGACCACAAGGAGAGGGCTGACATGGGTTTGTTTGGATCACTGGTCCTGGATCTTCGACTGTTGGCGAAATAAAATTGGGGATATGGTCTTTATGTACAAGTAAATATTAACAATGAACAAAAATACTTTTTCCATTGGTGATTAGGCAAGCCCATCATAATGTGGGTCAAAGTAAGGAGCTTTAATTTCTTTTAGGTAGCAGAATTATTATTGATGAATGACAAATTTCTGTAGGATGTCTTAATGTACAATTGCGATCAAAAAAAAGAAGTATAAGAAAAATCTCCAAAATCTCCTGGTCTATTATACATTAATTAAATTCATAACCAAAAAGAAATATTTTTGGCATTTTTCGACAAGTTTTTAACCTAGAAAGCTTCAGATGACATTATTTTGACATTTTTCCACTCGTTTTTAACCTAGAATATGTCATTGCCTGACAAAAAAATTTATATTACACCGGGAGCTCAAATTGGGGTTAATAATTTTTGTACTACTTTTTTTTGATCGCAACTGTACCTATAGCTTGATATAACTACATTGTGAGTCCAGCACGGTCACTGGATTTGAGAATCATCTTTAAAAAATGTTAGCATCCAATGGTGAGTTTTTGGTATCGTCAATATTAAATTTTTTGAACACACTTACTTATCGGTAGACATCTAGAGAATGGATCTCCACTGTATCTAGGAGGACAACTACATATTGGATTATGATTGATAACTTGACATTTTGCATCCAAACCGCAAGTACCAGGACATGGATCTATACATTTTTGATTTACGCATGCTCGATTCAAAACACATTCTGTACTGGTGACACATTCTGGTCTACATGTCGGTGGACTACCCAAATAACCTGGTACGCAGGAGCAAACTGCTTGTCCATTTATTTCCCTACATTGACTGTTGGGACCACAGGGTGATGGATTGCACAGGTTCGTCGGTGCTTCAACTAAAAATTTATTTGAGTTACAAACATCCGAACGAGATAATGATCAAATTTACCTGGTATAGGATTGCACATAACGAAAGCATTTCCGAAATATCCTTGTTGACAAGAACACATTGGAATATGATTGATAACACTACAAATAGCATTTGAGCCACATGTTCCAGGGCACGGATCAACGCACTTATTCCTCAAACATGCTTTATCTCTCGGACAATCAGAGCTATAAACACATTCTGGTCTACATCCTTGATATGCATCTCCATGATATTCCGGAGAGCAAGTGCAAACGCCATTATTACATTGTGCATTAGAACCGCACGGAGATGGATTGCACGGATCGCTTTCTATTGCTTGAACTGGTGGAGGTGGTTTTGGTGAACAATAACTGAACGGATCACCAGTGAAACCGTCTGCGCAAGTACAGATCGGGGTATGATTGATAACTGAGCAAATAGCTCCGCTACCGCAAGAACCAGGACATGGATCTCTACACTTTTCTTGCATGCAAGCTAAATTGCTTTGACATTCGGCGTTGATGAGACATTCTGGTCTACAGTTCGGGGGTGATCCTATGTAATTGGATAAGCACGAGCACGATGGGTTGCCATTAATATTGCGACATTGGGAGTTAAGACCGCACGGAGAAGGCATGCAGGGGTCGGTAATGACCGCAACTACGGATTCTACTACAGGAGCTGAAAAAAAATCCTCATCAAAGACTATTCTCACAATTAGGTACTGCATTGTATACAAATCATATATACAGTAAGCTCAGAAAGGTTGGAGTTAATTCATAAAAAATCGGGTACTTAACTATTTTTTAGGTGAATACTTGCACTCGTCGAATTTTATTTTTAGTTGCACGTTTTCTAAACTACATTTCATGTATACGTGAAAGTCAATTGCAAAATGTAGGGCATCGACTACATTTTTATTTCATTTCTGGAATAGGTATATTAACGTAAAAATGATAATTTGTGTATCATACCTTTTTTTTCCGGTAAAACCAACTACATATTGAGAAAGATAGGAAAAAATATTAGGTAGGTAAATATTTAATTAGTTTCAATTATTGCCGACCAAATTAGAAAAAATGTTCTAATATTATTATATCTTGCCTTATTCGGGCTTTGACGATGATCATCGATATAAGTATATTTTGAAATTCAGGTGGCCCCCCAAAACAGGGATAACAAATCAGGGGATCTGGCCGGCAATTCTATTGGACCCCGTCGACTGATGTACAAAAGATGAAGGTCATGCGATAAATTTCTTTTGGGCCACCCAGTATACATTAAAATTCGTTTAACAAAATTGCAACTAGACCCGTAATTACCTTAACTTTTGATGAATTCATTCCAACCTTTTCAAGTTTACTGTACAATAAAAGTAAAATTTGTATCAAGTAGGTACCGTATCTAGAAAAATTATTCGAATTATTATTCTTACGTGGTATTTGATAACATCTAGTGAAAGGATTGCCGGTAAATCTTATAGCGCAGCTACAAATTGGACTGTGATTGATAACCTGGCAGTTAGCATTAAGACCACATGTTCCAACACAAGGATCTGTACATTTTTGATTGATACAAGCCTTATCTGGCGAACATTCTGAGCTAACTACGCATTCTGGACGACAACCAGGTGGACTACCTATGAAATTAGGCAAGCAAGAGCATACTGCTTGTCCGTTCGCCTCGCGACATTGACTATTTGGACCACACGGACTTGGCTGGCAAGGGTTTGTGGGTGTTATTGCGTCACGTATGGCTGAAATGTTATTTTCTTTAATGAATGATCGCTACAAAAAATGAACAAACTCACGTTCAGGTATAAGTTGGCAAAATCTAAATGGATCTCCAGTATAACCCTGAATACAAGTACAAGAAGGTAGGTGATTGATTACTTGACAATTGGCATTTTGTCCACAAGTTCCTGGACAAGGGTTAACACATTTATTTCTGACGCAAGCTTTATTTTGTGGACAATCGGAATTTACTATACATTCAGGCCTACAGGCTTCATATGGATTTCCAATATACTCTGGTAAACATATGCAAGATCCTGCACCGTTTCTTTCTTTACAAACTGCATTGGATCCACACGGTGATGGGTAGCAAGGATTTAGATTTTCTTGCAATGTAACGGGTAACGAACACTGGTTAAATGGATCACCTTCAAAGCCAATTACACAAACGCAATTAGGAGTATGGCTAACTACCCTACACTCTGCATTTATTCCACATATTCCTCCTGCACAAGGGTTTTTACATTTTCTATTGATACAAGCCAGATGACTAGCGCATTCGTTGCTGCTAATGCATTCTGGTCTACAGTCCGGTGGTGTGCCTATAAAGTCTGGTAGGCACGAGCATGAAGGTGAACCGTTAGCGTCTTTACACTGAGAATTTGGACCACAAGGTGATGGATTGCAAGGGTTGGTAGGGGTTACTATTTGTTCTTCCATGGCTAAAAATTAATGAAATATATACCTAGTAATTTTTGTTGATAAATTTTAAAATTCATCCAACCAAATTTGGTTGCAGGGGTTGAGTTCGATTTTGCAACACTTTTGACTTTTTCTTACTTTACTATGGCTTTAGCAATTGAAATTAAATTAAAATGTGCGAAACTGAATTCAGTCATTATTATGTTCTCCATTCAACTCCAAAATTCACATTTTATATAATAATTCAATTAAGAAAGTGTTTGTTTCTTACGTTTTAAAATACATCTAGTGAATGGATCTCCAGTGTAATTAGGGGGACAACTGCATATCGGATTGTGATTAACCACTTGACATTTGGCATTAAACCCACAAGTACCAGGACATGGATCGACACATTTTTGGTTGACACAGGCTTGAACCAAAGGACACTCTGAACTAGTTATGCATTCAGGCCTGCAAGTTGGTGGACTGCCTATAAAGCTTGGCACACACGAGCATACCGCTTGTCCGTTAATTTCTCTGCATTGGCTGTTGGGACCGCAAGGTGATGGGTTGCAAGGGTTGGTTTTTGGTGGTGCTAAAATCGATAATTTTGTAGATATTTTTAATGTGCAATATAAAGTGATTCTTACGTTCAGATAACCGACAACTTATAAAAGCATTGCCATTATATCCGATTGGACAGCTGCACATTGGAATATGATTATTAACTTGGCAAATAGCTCCAGAACCACAAGTTCCTCTACATGGATCCACGCATTTCATTCTAATACAAGCCTTATCTCTAGAGCAATCAGTACTTAAAGTACATTCAGGCCTGCAGCCTACATAAGGATCTCCTTGATATTCTGGTAAGCAACTGCATATGCCATTGTTGCATTGAGTATTAGAGCCACATGGTGAAGGATTACAAGGATCGTCTTCAACGATTGACGTAATTTCAGGCGGTTTAATTTGACAATTAATGAAAGGATCGCCAATATATCCGATGGGACAAGTACAAATAGCATTGTGGTTTTGTACAGAGCATTCAGCATTAGCTCCACAGGCTCCTGGGCATGGATCAGCGCATTTTTCTCTGATGCAAGCCTGAATACTTGGGCAATCTTGGTTTATTGTACATTCTGACCGACAGTTTGGAGGATTTCCAATATACTGGCGTAAGCAAGAGCACGACGGAGTTTGTCCATTGCTTTGGCATTGAGAGTTAGGGCCGCAGGGTGATGGTACGCATGGATTGTTTTCAATATCTTTTATAGGGATAAGAGGTGGTGCTGAAAAGAAATGGATTCGTTTTTGTTGAGATGTTTATAGTTAATTTTATTATATATCTTACGTGGTATGGGATAACATCTCGTAAAGGGATCACCAGTAAATCCACCACGACAACTACAAATTGGACTGTGATTAATCACTTGACATTGAGCTTGCAAACCACAAGTTCCAGGACAAGGATCTACACATTTATTATTAATACAGGCTCTGTTCGTTGCACATTCAGAAGATACAACACATTCTGGTCTACAGCCCGGAGGGCTACCTATATAGGTTGGTAAACAGGAGCAAACAGCCTGCTGGTTCACCAACTTGCACTGAGTGTTTGGACCACAGGGTGATGGTTGACATGGATTTTCGTTTTGAACAATAACAGCTAAAAGGGAAATTGTAATTCAATGTATATAGAGTTACGTCTCGGTAGTCCCTACTAATTTAAAGATATATTAACATTAGGTACTGCCGAGTAAAAAATAAAACAGAAATCTTATGCTTACGGGCTGGTTCAGGTATTTGACAATGCCTGTAGGGGTCTCCAATGTATCCAGGAATACATGTACAAGATGGAGCATGGTTGATAACTTGACATTCTGCGTTACTACCACAAGTACCAGGGCAGGGATCCGTACACTTACTCCTGATACATGCCCTATTCGATGGACAATCAGAATTGTGAATACACTCAGGCCTGCAGCTTTCATAAGGGTTTCCGATATATTCTGGTAAACATTGACAGGCACCGGCGCCATTTCTCTCCTTGCACAACGCGTTAGTTCCACATGGTGAGGGTTGACAGGGGTTTATTATTTCAGGCTCGGGTAAACGTACTAAATTGGGGATTGTAAAAAAATAGTTTTGTCAATGGAGGATCATGAATACACATTTGAGACTCCAAAAGCTCCATTGAGTTAGGGGGGTTATTACCGCAGAGCTGTACCGTTTTTAGCGAGCGGAAAAAAGTTATTCGTTTTAACTGTACCATTGATGCCGTTTATTATTATGCCTTGATCTTTATTAAATGCCTTTGCATGGGGGTGTTTGAGGGGGCGCAATAAGCTTTCAGGGAAAATATTAATATTGTTTTAAGTAAGCGCGCTGGGGTGGGGGGTGTTTAAGTGTAACGCTCGTGAACCGTTTCCATTTTTTTTTTTTATCAAAAGCCGTGGGTTATTTGTTTTCGTTTTTTGAGGGGGGACTGGTAGCATTGATGTAGGCTGGGGGAGAAGGGGTAATTGCAGGGTTGTGTTGTTGGCCTTGTTGCCGCTGAAGCTCGTTGTTATCGTTGGGGGATTATCCTTACCTTTTCATCCCCTCGGCGTGATAGCATTAGTATTTACAGCGAAGGTATGCACTACTACTACAACTGCAACTACTACAAGTGAATGACGACCAAAACATTTAAAATCAAAAATAAAAAGATTTTGATTTTTTTTTTTATAAAAAGAAGAAAAGAGAAATTCATCAATTTTGCTCAGACAAAATGTTCAGATGGTCATAATTTAACTTTAAAGGATTCAAGTATTTTTTAACATTTCTCGTATATTTTAAATGTTTTGGTGCTAAAGATTAAGAAAAGTCCATGCAAAGCATCAAAATATATCAAGTAGGGTCTACCGACGCTCCTAATGTGACATTATTGAACTTTTGAAAAAAAAAAATAAATTATATTTCAGCTAATTTCTTTAAAAACGTGTCTTAGTAAACGTTGTCTTAGTTTCAGAAATAAAAACGAAAAATTAAGTAAAAATGAACTGTTCTGTTTAGAACGAAATTAGAAATGTGTGCTTAAGTTTAATTTTTTTCTGATGACAACTTGTTAGTTTGTTCTATTTATTTTAAACGAGCCTGCAGCTCTGTACCGTTTAGGAAATTATCAGTTTCCATCAAATTTTTTGTCAGTGCCTCCAAAAGAAAATTATTAGCTATTTTGAGCCTCTTAAAAGATTTTTCCTCCAGAATTTTCTTGCAACTAACCTATCCCTATCCTACTTGATATAATGTCGCCACAACCACAATCACCATAAGATAAAAATACCCTAAAGTCAAACTTACGTGGTGTTGGTATACAGCCCCTAAACGGATCACCGGTGTGACCAGAGCTACAGGAACACACGGGATTATGATTCACTACCGAACAAACCGCGTTAGCGCCACAACTGCCCGGGCACGGGTCGCGGCACTTTTGATTAATACACGCGCGCGCACTCGGACATTCGGGATTAATTGTGCACTCCGGCCTGCAGGATGGCGGCACCCCGACGTAACCTTCGAGACACGAACAGGCCGGGCTCTCGCCGCGCACTTGACACACAGAGTTCGGACCACAAGGGTTGGGTTGACACGGATTGATGTTCTCTGGAAAAAAATAAAATTTTAGGCGAAATATATCTAAGAAAGATTATCTCAAAATAATAATCCAGTTTATAATATTTTGGTCTTTCCACATTCAACATTCATGAACATCCTACCCGTATTTATAATCAACAGATTCTTACCCTTTGTCGGCGGTGGTGGTATCGGATAACATCTGGTGAATGGATCTCCGGTGTTTCCAGAAGAACAGCTGCAAATGGGATTATGATTTACTACTTGGCATAAAGCGTTGAGTCCACAGGTTCCAGGACACGGGTCGACACATTTATTGTTAAGACAAGCTTGTGTTAACGAACATTCAGAGCTGACCACGCACTCTGGTCTACATTGTGGCGCACTACCGATCATGCCTGGTTGACACGAACAGACGGCTATACCATTGTTCACCCTACAAACGCTATTAGGTCCGCATGGTGAAGGTTGACATGGATTTAGGACCGAAGGAGCTATAAAATAAGGAATTTTCAACATTACCTATCTGCCTTCAAGATATATCTATATTCACTTACGAATTCTTGGTTTCAATCGACAACTTGTGAACGGATCGCCTTCATATTCAGGCGGACAACTACAAATTGGCAAATGATTAACTACATCACAAATAGCGCCTTGTCCGCAAGTTCCAGGGCATGGATCGACACATTTTAGATTAATACAAGTCTTCTTTGGAGAACAATCGGTATTCATAGTACACTCTGGTCTACAGCCTCTATATGGATCCCCTTGATACAATGGGAAACAGGTGCATATGCCATTATTGCATTGGGTATTTTGACCGCATGGTGAGGGGTTGCAAGGATCTTCTATTAGTGTTACTTTGGGTAGTTCTTTCGTGCATTCCGTGAATGCATCTCCAGTGAATCCTGTTGTGCACGTACAAATTGGAATATGATTTTGAACTCTACAATCAGCGTTGAAGCCACAAGATCCAACACAGGGATCTTTGCATTTTTCAGTTATGCAAGCTAAATGCGATGGGCAATCGGTATTGACAACACATTCAGGTCTACAGTTCGGGGGAACTCCGATGTAGGTTGGTCGACAAGAACAGGATGGCTGTCCTCCAATATCGCGACATTCTGAATTTTGCCCACAGGGGGATGGCACACATGGGTTAATTCTTGCTGGAGGTCCTGGCTTAGGCTCTGGAGGTATCTCATAGCATCTGGAGAATGGATCTCCATTAAGTCCGGAAGGACAGCTACAAATTGGATTGTGATTGATAACCTCACACCTAGCGTTGATTCCGCAAGTTCCCACACAAGGATTGGCACATTTGAATTTATGGCACGCACGATTCGAAGGACATTCTGAACTGACGACACATTCGGGTTTGCAAGAAGGTGGAGAGCCTTGGTATTCGGGCAAGCAAGAACATACTGCTTGGCCGTTGACTTGGCGACATTGACTGTATGGACCGCATGGCGTTGGCTCACATGGATTGGTTGGTATCGGCTCTTCAGTAACAGCTAATAAAAAAAAAAACTTAATGTTCGATTATCGTATAAAATAGATATAAGCTTACGTTCTGGCGTTAAAGGTGAACAGAATCTGAAAGCATCCCCAGTAAAACCAGGAATACAAGTACAAGCCGGTACATGATTGAGAACCGAACATTCTGCATTTTGACCGCAAGTTCCTGGGCATGGATCAGCACATTTGTTCATGATACACGCCTTATTGGGTTGACAATCTGAGCTTAATACGCATTCCGGTCTGCAGCCTTCATAGGGATTTCCTTGATAGTCTGGTAAACAAATGCACGCTCCTGCGCCATTTCTCTCTCTACATTCAGCATTGGCACCACACGGAGAAGGTTCACATGGTTTAATTGGTTCCGTTTTAATTATGCATTGAACAAATGGATCCCCTATAAAACCGCTAATGCAAGAGCAAGATACTGCATGTGAGATGACATGGCATTCAGCGTTTTGGCCACAGCTTCCTGGGCAGGGATCTTTACATTTATTGTTGATGCAAGCAAGAGTGCTCGAACAGTCAGTATTGATGACGCATTCTGGTCGGCAATTTGGTGGTTGCCCAGTGTAATCTGGTTGACAGCTGCATGCATAGGAATCTCCTACCACACGGCAAATGGAGTTGGGTCCGCACGGTGACGGATTGCAAGGTTCAACAGGCCGTCTTGTAACTGGTTCAGGTGGTGGTAGAGTTCTACAACTTTGGAATGGATCTCCAGTTTCTCCTTCAGCGCAACTGCAAATAGGACTATGGTTTCGTACTTCGCATCTTGCTCTAATGCCGCAAGATCCAGGACATGGATCGACACATTTTTGATTAATGCAGGCTTTATCTTGTGGACATTCGGCACTCACGACACATTCAGGTCGACATCCTGGTGGGCTTCCTTGATAACCTGGTAAACATGAGCAAACTGATTGTTCGTTGACTTCTCTACATTGACTGTTTGCTCCACATGGCGATGGGTTGCAAGGATTTTGTTTTGGTGGGGGTATAGCCTCTCTACAGTTGATAAATGGATCTCCAGTCCAGCCATCTGAGCACGAACATGATGGAATATGATTGATTACGTCGCATCTAGCATTTTGACCGCAAGTTCCAGGGCATGGATCAATACATTTATTTCTGACGCAAGCTTTATCTCTTGTACATTCTATACTAAGAACACATTCAGGTCTACATGCTTCATAAGGATTGCCGATATATTCGGGTAAGCAAGTGCAAGCTCCATTGTCGCATTGAGCATTAGGACCACAAGGTGAAGGATTACATGGGTCAGTTTCTACTGGTGCTTTAGTTGATGGTGGTATAAGATAGCAATTGGTAAATGCATCTCCAGTGAATCCTTCTTGACATGTGCAAATAGGAATGTGATTTAATACGTTGCAAACAGTGTTAGAGCCACATGAACCTGGACAAGGATCTTTACATTTTTGGTTGATGCAAGCCAGAGAACTGCTACATTCTGAACTGAGAACGCATTCTGGTCTACAATTTGGTGGTGCTCCATTGTAGTTAGGCAAGCAGGAACATGTGGGTGAGTTGCCGACAATCCTGCAAATTGAGTTTGGTCCACAGGGGCTTGGTTGACATGATGGCGGTCTTTCAGTTGATGGTTCTGGCGGCGGTGGTGGTTGTGGTGTGCATCTGGTGAATGGATCTCCGGTATAACCTGGTGGACAAGCGCAAATCGGATTGTGGTTTCTAGTTGTGCAAACAGCTCCGAGTCCACAAGTGTTCGGGCAAGGATCGCCACATCTTTGATTAACACAGGCTTTGTCCAATTGACATTCTGAGTTTACTATGCATTCTGGTCTACAATTTGGTGGAGACCCTATGTATTGTGGCAAGCATGAACAAACTGCTTGCTCATTAACTTCCCTGCATTGACTGTTAGGACCACACGGTGATGGCTGACATGGATTAATCGTCGGTGGAGGCTCAGTTGGCGCCAATCTACATTGATAGAACGGATCTCCAGTATAACCAGCTGGACATACGCAAGTTGGTACATGGTTCACTACGAAACATTCAGCCAGAGTTCCACAAGTATCAGGACATGGATCTACGCATTTATATGATACACAGGCCAAATTTGGGTTACAGTCCGAACTAATTTCGCATTCTCTGCGGCAACCTTTGACATCATCATAAGGATTGCCTTCATAGCCAGGAGCGCAGAAGCATGCACCTGCCCCATTTTGTTCTCTGCATTCAGCGTTAGGTCCGCAGGGTGATGGTGAACATGGCGTACGTGGCCTTTCTGTCACTATAATGTGATAATAAAAACATTAAAAATCGTTTAAAGATAAATTGCTTTTTAACAATAATGAGTTGCTATGAGAGTGTATTGGAATAATTTGGAAATAAAAATAAAATATACACCTAAAAAGTGAAAATAGATGCATAAAAGAACGTAGAACAAGTTTAGAAATACAGGAAATATGCTTACATGGTGGAGGTGGTAGATTACAAGAGCTAGACGGATTACCAGTGTATCCAGGGAAACATGAACATATCGGTTGGTGATTAACTACAGTACATTGAGCATTAATTCCACATAATCCTGGACAAGGATCTTTACATTTTTCATTTTTGCATGCTAAGTGATTTGGACATTCAGAGTCATTTATACATTCTGGTCGGCAATTTGGTGGCCGACCAATAAAGCTTTGCAAGCAAGAACATGCTGCTTGCGTACCAACTACTCTACATTGGGAGTTTGGTCCACACGGTGTTGGTATACAAGGATTTTCAGGTGTTTTAGGTGGTGGAGGTACTAAAAGAAAATAATTTTAAGATATAGGAGGAAAAGGAAAACAAACTAATAACCTACATTGAATCTTAGAGCATTGAATGAAAGGATCTCCAGTAAATCCTGTCAAGCAAGTACAAATTGGATTATGATTAACCACTCTACATTGAGCGCTTAGTCCACACGTTCCTGGACATGGGTCAATGCATTTTTGTGCTACACATGCTCTATCTTGGGGACATTCGGAACTCACTATACATTCAGGTCTACACATTGGAGGTGAACCGATATAACCAATATTACAAGAGCAAACGGCATGACCGTTTACTTCACGGCATGCACTATAAGGTCCACAAGGAGAGGGTTGGCAAGGGTTTGTAGGTTCTTCTATGACTTTAAAAAAAAATCGAATAAATGATTTTGTTTCAGTTAATGAGTGTAAGATTTAGGTCTACTAAACTATTTTTTTTTGAGATCTTTGTAAAAATAAAATAATTTGAAAAAAGGACTTATTTGTTATAACTACGTTAGTAAGATTCTTACTAGCTTCAATGACGTTGCAAGCTCTAGTTGGATCTCCAGTATATCCAGGTATACACGAACAAGATGGTGCATGATTAATTACGTTACATTCTGAATTTAATCCGCAAGTACCAGGACATGGATCTATACATTTATTATTTACGCAAGATCTACTGCGAACACAGTCTGAGTTAGCTACACATTCAGGTCTACATCCAGTGTATGGATCTCCAAAGTATTCTGGTAAACATGCACAAGAACCTGCACCATTTCGTTCTTTACAAATTGCATTCGCCCCACAGGGTGAAGGGTTGCAAGGATTTCTTGGTTGTTCGGTAACAGGAGGAGCTGAAAGTTATGTGTTAAGAAGGAAAAACGAAAATAAATCAATTTCTTACAAGGTGGTATAATAGAGCATCCAGTAAAAGGATCACCAGTGTAACCAGAACTACATTGACATACTGGTGCATGCTTCAATACTATACAAGAGGTAAACTGTCCACATGATCCCGGACAAGGATCTTTGCAACGTTCGTTTTGACATGCAAGATTTCCTGGACATTCAGCATTTATCGTACATTCAGGTCTACAGTTTGGAGCCCTGCCAATATAATTAGGAAGACAGGAGCATGCAGCCTGCGTACCAATATCTCTACATTGAGAATTAGGTCCACAGGGTGATGGAACACAAGGATTACCACTTGGTACCACTACAGGTTTTTCTAAAATTTATAATGTGATGTTAAGTTCAACTATCTACATGGGGGTTAGTTCAGGAAAACAAAAAATCTTACTTGGTTGCAATACGCAGCGTACGAAAGGATCTCCAGCATACCCTTCTGAACAACTACATATAGGATTATGATTGACTACTTGACATCTTGCGTTGATGCCACACGTTCCAGGGCACGGGTCTTTACATTTCTGATTTATACATGCTTTATTTTGTGCACATTCCGAACTAACCATGCATTCAGGTCTACAAGCAGGAGGAGAACCGACATATTCAGGTTGACAAGAACATACTGCGTGGTTGTTTATGTTTTTACATACACTGTATGGCCCACAGGGTGATGGTAAGCAAGGATCTGTTTTGGGTTCTTCAATAACTGAGAAATATTATTTAAATAAGTAACAATATCAAGCTAATTTTATATAGCTTACTTGGTGGCGGTAAGTGACAAGACGTAAACGGATTTCCGATATATCCAGGCAAACATATGCAAGATGGCGCATGGTTTGGCACAGAACATTCTGCATTAATACCACAGGTACCAGGGCAGGGATCTGTACATTTATTGCTAACGCAAGCTTTGTCTCTTGAACAATCTGAATTAGTGACACATTCTGGTCTACATCCAGTGTATGGATCGCCAAAGTATTCTGGCAAACATACACAAGAACCTGCCCCATTTCTTTCTCTGCATTCTGCGTTAGCACCACATGGTGATGGGTTACAAGGATTGCGTTCTTCTTCTACTGCTTGGACAACTAGAATATTATTATAAATAATTTGATTTTCAGAGCAAGGAAATGTGCTCTTACTTGGAATCACGTTGCATCCGGAGAATGGATCACCAGTAAAACCTATACTGCAAGAGCATACTGGCCGATGTGATATAACTGTACATTGGGTATTAGCTCCACAAGATCCAGGACATGGATCAACGCATTTTTCATTTTGACAAGCTAAATTTGCCGCACATTCAGCGTTAATTGAACATTCTGGTCTACAATTTGGTGGTCGTCCGATAAAGTTTTCTACACAAGAACATGCCGGGGTATTTCCTATTACTCTACAATTTGAATTTGGACCGCATGGCGACGGAACGCACGGATTTGCTGGCGGTAAACGTTCCGTTTTCCCTAGATTAGATTAATTCAGGTTTTTTTTTTTCTGCAACTTTGATAAAAGATAACTTACGTTCTTCTTGAACGCATCTGATAAAAGGATCACCAGTAAATCCAGGCGAACAACTACAAATTGGATTGTGATTGACTACTTGGCATCTAGCATTAATACCGCAAGTTCCCGGACATGGATTCTGGCATCTGGAATTGATGCATGTTTTGTCCAAAGGACATTCGGCGCTTATCATACATTCCGGTCTGCACATTGGAGGAGAGCCAATATAATTTTGCTGGCAAGAGCACACAGCGTGATCGTTTACTACTCTACAGACACTGTATGGTCCACATGGGGACGGTTGACATGGTTCTAGTTTTGGTTGATCAGGAACTAAGAAAATATACTTGTTTTTGGAAGAAAACACCAGCTGTGTTTGTGAATGAATTATTGCTTTTACTGGATTAGTTTTCGTTGAGCCTTTTAAACTTTAATCAATGTTGCTTGAGTACTTGATACAATTGCCTTATCGGAAAGAAATGATCAAAAATTAGAAAACATTGAAATTAATTGTCACTAGCCCAATAAAGTAATAAATATTCACATATAGGTACTTTGGTGTTCTAAAATCATTAAATACGTACTTGGTGGCGGTAAGTGACATGAAACTGAAGGATTTCCTGTATATCCGTCAAAACAGAAGCAAGAAGGTATATGATTAGAAACCCTACATTCGGCATTAATTCCACAAATTCCTGGACATGGATCTTTACATTTATTATTCAGGCAAGTTTTATCTCTTGAACAATCAGAATTCGTAATACATTCTGGTCTACATCCGGTATATGGATCTCCAAAGTATTCCGGTACGCATGTACAAGATCCTGCGCCTTTTCTTTCTTTACATTCTGCGTTTGCGCCGCAAGGCGACGGATTGCAAGGATTACGTTCTTCTTCTACTGCAGCTATTGGTATAGGAGAACAACCATTAAATGGATCTCCAGTAAATCCTTCTTGGCATTGACAATGAGGAGAATGAGCAGTGACGACGCAAAGGGCATTAAAACCACAAGAGCCTGGACACGGATCTTTACATTTTTCGTTTATACATGCTAAATTTCCTGGACATTCTTGATTTATTGAACATTCAGGGCGACAATTTGGTGCTCGTCCTATATAGTTTTGCAAGCATGAGCAAACTGCTTGAGTACCAACCACTTTGCATTGAGAGTTTGCTCCACAAGGAGTTGGCATACACGGATTAATTGGTTCAACAATCCGTTCTAAAATGAATGATTTTATAAAGAAAAATGAGGGAAATAATTTTTGTTACAAGCTCACTTTCTTCTTGAATGCATCGTGTAAACGGATCACCAATTAGCCCAGGAGCACAACTGCAAATTGGATTATGATTTATGACATGACATAGAGCATTAAGTCCACAAGTTCCAGGACACGGATCTCTGCATTTTTGATTTATACACGCTTTGTCCTGGGGACATTCAGAACTAACGATACATTCTGGTCTACACATTGGAGGTACGCCGATATAGTTTTGTTGGCATGAACACACAGCGTGACCATTAACTTCTCTACATTGACTATAAGGTCCGCAGGGGGATGGTTGGCAAGGGTTTCTAGGTTCTTCAACAGTAGCTAAGGCAAATGAGTATTTATATTAATGCTAATTTTTTGCTCTAAGAATAACTATTAAGGTTAGGGGATCTACACATAAGACGAGAATTTAGATTAACACGTAACATGGAGATAACAAGATTTTTTTAGATAGTGGAAATGTTTGCTTTCCATCGTCTCATATGTAGTGCCCTGCACTCCAAATAATAGATTTTTTTCTCTTACTCAAAATAGGTATTTGATGACAAGAGAACGTCGGATTTCCAGTGAATCCAGGCAAACAATTACAATTGGGCAAATGATTATTCACAATACATTCTGCGTTAATTCCACAAGTACCAGGGCACGGGTTTGTACATTTATTATTAACACAGGATTTATCTCTTGGGCATTCAGAGTTTTGAACACATTCCGGCCTGCACCCAGTATATGGATCACCAAAGTAACCCGGAATACATGTACAAGAACCTGCCCCATTAAATTCTTTACAATCGGCATTAGAACCACATGGGGATGGGTTACATGGTTGGGCGGCTTCTTCAATTGGTCTAACTGAAATTGTTTTTTAATGTTTAAAGTAAAATATTGTTGAGCAAGTCGAGGCTTACATTCTTGACATCCTGAAAATGGATCTCCAGTGAATCCTTCAAAACAATAACAAACTGGTACATGATTAACCACGGTACATTGAGCATTACTGCCGCAAGATCCAGGACAAGGGTCTTTACATCTTTGATTGTTACAGGCTCTATTTGAAGGACATTCAGTGTTTATGACACATTCAGGTCTACAGTTTGGTGGATGTCCAAAGTAATTTGGCATGCAAGAACAAACGGCTCTATCGTTTATAATTTTACATTCTGAAAATGTACCACAAGGGCTTGGTATGCAAGGGTTTCGTCTTTCAACTTCTACAGGGCGTTCTAGAAAAATATATTTGGGTTATATTACAGTTTCTTTTAGTGGTTACTTTTTTAATTTTGTTAGCGAATTAATAATTATTTTTAGTTTGTTTTTTTTTTTTTTCAAATAGAATTTAAATTATAAATATTTTAGTGTCATTAATTCATAAGGTTACTTCGTTGTTAGAGCCAGTACAAAAATTTGTTTGCTTACTTTCTTCAGGTATACATCTAACAAATGGATCACCAGTGAAAGATGGTGGACAACTGCATATAGGACTATGATTCAAGACTCTGCATAATGCATTAAGTCCGCAGGTTCCAGGACATGGGTCTACACATTTTTGGTTGTGACATGATCTGTCCAAAGTACACTCTGAGTTTACCACGCATTCGGGTTTGCACATGGGTGGGGCACCAAAGTAACCCGTTGCGCATGAGCATACTGGTCTTTCGTTTACTATCTGACAGATACTGTAGGGTCCGCAAGGTGAAGGGGCACACGGGTTACGTTTATGTTCTTCTATGACAACTAAAATAATTTTTTTTTTAAAAGGATTAAATAGCTATATCCTTTGGTTTAATAAAATAATTCTTACTAGGTTCAATTTTGCGGCAAATGCTCAAAGCATTTCCAGTATAATCAGGGATACAATTACATTGTGGATTGTGATTAATAACGGAGCATTCTGCGTTAATTCCGCAAGCGCCAGGGCAAGGGTCTTTACATTTCATATTGAGGCACGCTTTGTCATGAGAGCATTCGCTGCTAGTGACACATTCCGGCCTACATCCTGAATATGGGTCTCCAAAATACCCTTCGACGCAGGCACAAGAGCCAGCGCCGTTTCTTTCTTTACATATGGCATTGAAGCCGCATGGGGATGGATTACAAGGGTTTCTTGGTTGTTCTACTACTGGAAAAGAGGACAGAGAATCGAGCTACAGAGATAGATAATAAGGAAATACACAATATATATATAAAACAGATACAATAGCAGATTTAGGTCATGCAGTAGAATTGAAAATAGTCATGCTACAGTATATTGGTAATTTACATAAATTATGTCAACGTTTGTCTGAGTAATGATAATTAAGCCATGAGTAGCAGATGACAATAATGACATACCTATGTCTCATTACTTGCGAAGTTTTGGCATTTAACAGGTTACGACGTGATACCTTTAACACTTTTTTCGAAATGTTATATTTAAAAAAAAAAACATACAAATGTAAAAAAAGTTGAACAAAGTCCATACAGAGGTAATATAGAATTAAATTAAAATAACTATGAAAAGAACACGCCAAGCTGATCACCTTTATAATATCTGTTAAAAATTATACTCGAAATATTTTCTGCGAGCCCAAGCCTGTTTCTTGATTACAATAATTGAAAGGTGATCTGATTCTTATTTTGTTGAGTAACTGTTTGCATTTTCACGTGAACTCTATTTTTTACGATTTTACTTTTACAACTCGCGACCTGTACAATACCAAAACCTGCTAAGTGTGATTTATTTATAAAAAAAAATTGTTATTGCATCCCAGGTGATTCCTGAGTTCGTACTCTTTTTGATCAGTGATAACTTTGTCAAATAATTTTTTTCCAAAAACGCAAAAATAAGGAAGATAGATAAATATATGGTTTTATATTTCATTTAATTCAACAAAGGTTACCTTTCTACCTACTTGTTCCATTATTAAATTTCAAAAATATAAATTCACTACATTAAATAATGATTTTAAGTTAGATCAGTGGTTTGAAAATGTTTATTTTAATTTTATTTATTTATTCTATAGGATGCAATAACTGAGCAACTCATAATTATACCAAATAAATCCTTGATAATTTAAAAAATCATGCCACTTACCCGGAACAGGACTACATCCAGAGAACGGATCACCTTCAAATCCAGCATGGCAGCTGCAAATGGGCCTATGATTAACAACGCTGCATTCAGCATTAAAACCACAAGATCCCACACAAGGATCGCGACATTTTTGATTGGTACAGCTGAGGGTTAGAGGACAGTCTTGGTCGATGCTACATTCTGGTCTACAATTTGGCGGAGCTCCAAACATTCCTGGTAAACATGTACAAATGGCTCGGTTGTTTGCTGCATGACAATCCGCATTAGCACCGCATGGAGACGGGATGCACGGAGTTGGAGCTGGTTCTTGCTTTCTTTCTGGAATGACAATATCTTTTACTAAATATGTCAGAAGCTTTTTCCAGATTCATGAAATAATGAAGTGTGCTTATACTAAAATCTTTGGCATAAGAAGGTATATTGAGATCGTCAAATTGGACACAGTAAAGTATAAAACATCAAAGAAAACTCAACCATCTCGGGTTCTGATTGCTACAATAGTCGAAGAACTATAAATTATTAACAAAAAGCTGGCTAAAGACTGGAAACAAATCTCAAGTGAGGAGGACAAAGGAAACACGTACTTAACATCGACTATACAAAGATTGTCTCATCACTCGTCACTTTCATGTAAGCTCTAAGTAATTCCATTCATGATTATTTTCAGATCAGTAAAGAGAATCGGACAGCTGAAATATCATCGAGAACTAGGTAACGAATAGGTACTGTTCCCACATATAGTTCTTCGGAATTTGAAGTTTTCCGGAAATAATGAAAAGTTAATTGAAAAAGTGTGACAGGCTGAATCTTGGAAACCCATAAAAAAACTGGTTATTAAAAAGATGAAACTTTTTTATTTGATATGGCTGGATTCCATTTTACATGAGCTTTCCAATAAGTCCCCACAAGACATGAGTTTCCATTTGAAAAAAAAAAAGTTGTGGTAGCTGGGGGTTAAGGGGTTGGAAAAATAATAATTTTTATTTAACTGAAAAATGTGAAAAAGTTAGAATCAATTAACGGGTTTCATCGTTTTTTGCAAAAAATACTTGCTGAAAAACTATGAATTTTATTCCTTTCTTCTGGCCATCCCTGTATATAAAAATTGAAGTAGAATAGTATTTATTGAATAAATTATTCTTATTCTTATCTAGAAGAGCGCAATTAGCATTAGCAGGATTTCGCAAACTGAAAGGAAGACTTGAAAATCTTCCTCTCGATTAAATCTTGGAATATTTGGACCTCTGAGACCAACGAGGATAAAATTGTTATAACGGATGAAAAAACAATATACCTAGAAAAAAGATGTGTTGAACGAAAAACCAATGAATGGATTAGAAGTAAAAAGAAAATGTATATCGCTGGCCTTAGCGAAAGTGTTCATGTCCTACGTTCAATGTTGGCCACAAATGGCTGGAGAAGAAGATGGTGAAATCTCCTAGAAAAGTTGGAAAAAAAACATGTTACTCACCTTCGGGCCTGCACACAACAAACGGATCACCAACAAAGTTGGGCGGGCAACTACAAATAGGATTGTGGTTGTTGACTTGACATCTAGCGTTGACTCCGCAAGTTCCTGGACATGGATCCTGACACTTCTGGTTGAGGCATGCTTTGTCTGAGTTACATTCTGAGCTGACCAGACATTCTGGTCTACAATTGGGTGGTTGTCCAAAGTATCCACTTTGACAAGAACATATGGCTTGGTCGTTACGAGTGCGACATACGCTGTTAGGACCGCAAGGTGAGGGTTCACATGGTTTTGGTTCTAAAATTTTTTTTTTTTTATCGACTATCTACTAATAGGGCGTTTTTTCATCTAAAAATCCTCAAAAACTTACTCTCTTGTACTGGTGGTTCTCTGCAAGAAGTTTGTGGATCGCCAATCAAACCTCTAGCGCACGTACAAACGGGGACATGGTTGAAGACGCTACATTCAGCGTTGATTCCACAAAGTCCCTGGCAAGGATCTCTACAATGCAATGACAAACAAGCCAGATGACTTGGACACTCAGAGTTCATGGTACATTCTGGCCTACAGCCTCCAGAATAGGGGTTACCAATGTATGGAGGTATGCAAGTACATTTCGCAGCGCCTCCGCTGACTGAGCATTGAGCATTTTCACCACAAGGAGACGGGTTGCATGGATCTCTTGGGCGTTCTTCCACTATCACTTTGATACATCCGATAAAGGCATCACCTAATTGTTGAAAAGTATTTGTCAATAATTAATTATTTTTTTCAAGCGAAAAAATGCATCTATCAAGTAAGAAAAAAGTTGTAGAGGTTTTTATTTACTGAGTTGTATTTACCTTCATATCCACCGTTGCAACTACAGAAGGGTGTATGATTGACTACATCACACTTAGCATTAGAACCACAAGTTCCAATGCACGGATCCACACATTTTTCGTTGACACAAGCCTCATGTTGGGCACATTCCTGACTAATAACACATTCTGGTCTACAATAAGGCGGACTACCTATATAGTTAGCTACACAAGAACACACAGGCCTATTTTCTTTGACTTGGCATATCGAATTGGGTCCGCAAGGTGAAGGCACACAAGGATTAATTGGTTCAGGTGTGGTAGAAGGAGATTTTTCTTCCACAACCGCGTGTTGGCAGCTCAGGAATGGATCGCCTTCTAAACCTGGCGGACAGCTACAGATTGGATTATGGTTGATCACGGCACATAAAGCTGCAACACCGCAAGTGCCAGGACAAGGGTCCGTACATTTTTGATTGATACAAGCTTTGGTTTGTGGACATTCGGAAGTTGAAATACATTCAGGTTTACAAGCAGGAGCTACACCTTGGTAATTGGGCAGGCAAGAGCAAGTAGCATAGCCTTGATGAGAAACCAAACATCTACTGAATGGTCCGCAAGGCGACGGATCACAAGGATTTACATGTGGCAGTTGTGGATGACTAGAAATAATTACTTTGTAGCAAGAAACAAATGGATCCCCCGCATATTGGGGAGGGCAGTAACAAATAGGAATATGGTTGATTACGTCACATTGTGCAGCTACCCCGCAGACATCAGTGCAAGGGTTGGAACATTTGGCATTGATACAAGCTTTGTCCAGAGGACAGTCTGGATTAATCACGCATTCAGGTCTACAAGCCAAATAAGGATCACCAAAGAAGCCTGTTCTACATACACAAACGATACCATTTTGTTGTTCCAAACAATCAGCATTGACGCCACATTTTTGATAATCACAAGTTTCTTTAGGTATTGGCTCTGCTACACTTGGCACTATACATTGTTGGTATGGATCACCAATTAATCCATGTGGGCAGCTACAAATCGGAGTATGCGATACTACGGTACAAATGGCATTAACACCACAAGATCCTGGACAGGGATCGATACAATTAAATCTTAAGCAAGCTTGATGGAAAGGACAGTCAGCGTTGGTCAAACATTCAGGTCTACATTGAGGATTAAATGTAGCTTCAGGTCCTAAACATGGATCGCAAATGGCAATTTGAGTTCCGTAAGCACTGCAGTCCATAGTTCCACAAGGTGAAGGATTACAGGGTTGTCTTGTAGCATTTGGATAAGGTGGAATAATGACACTTGGAGTTTGGATACATTGTAGGAACGGGTCTCCCATATAGCCTTCTAAGCACACACAAGAAGCAGTGTGGTCTCTAACTTGACAGGCAGCATTTACCCCGCAAAGATGACCTAATGCGCAAGGGTCTCTGCAATGTCTATCCAGGCATGCTTTATTGATGGGACAGTCAGAATTAGTAGCACATTCTGGATGGCATCCGCTTTGTGGATCACCATGGAAATCTTCTAGACACGAGCAAACAGCTCTGTTCAATAATACTTGACAAATTGTATTCAGTCCACAAGGATTTGGCATGCAAGGGTCATCTGGTGGTAGATATTCTGGTACTGGAAAACATCTGATGATAGGATTTCCTGTTAATCCATGGTGGCAAGTACACACAGGATGATGTTTTTCTACACGACAATCAGCACTAATTCCGCAAGAACCTGGACAAGGATCTCTACATCGGTAAGAAATGCAGGCTTGATGGTCAGCACAGTTTTCGTCAACAACGCATTCATAACCAAAACAACCAAGGGCACCTGTGGGATCACCTCCCATGCCTTCGGGACAGCGACACATTGAATTACCATCAGGAGTTATCACACATTGAGCGCCCGGACCACATGGATTTGGTACACAGGGACTTGGGGGTTGAATTCTACACCCCGAGTAAGGATCACCGATAAAACCTGCTCTACAATAACATTGTTCTTCATTGTTGGTATTATAACAATCAGCATTAACTCCACAAGGTCCTGGACTGCACAAAGGTTTTTCTACAGCTCCAACGCAACTTCTAAATGGATTTCCACTAGTACCGTATGGGCAATAACAAACGGGTTCTCCATGAGGATCACACAAGGCACCTGGTCCACATGGATTGGGTTCGCAAGGTTTTTTAGCTTCCACACATCCGCGGATGGTATTAGGGCTTTCGAGGAAACCAGAAAGGCAGGTACATTTGGCAAAACCATTGGCCAATATGGAACATTGGGTGTTTGGACCACACGGTGATGGATCACATGGGTTTGTTGGTAAACTACATGGAACTTGTGGCGGAGCTCCTTCGTATTCGGGTAAGCAGAAGCAAACAGCGTCTCCGGCTACGACGCGACAGCCAGAGTTGGGACCGCAAGGATTTGGTGAACACTCGTCGCCTTCAGGAACTAAAGAAAAATTGTTTTCCAATATCATTTTTATTGAAATGCGGGGTAAAAAATACGTACTGCAATTCTTAAAGGGATTTCCGGTCAATCCCTTTGGACAGAAGCAAATTGGGTTGCCATTGTCTAATTCACATAGAGCGTTTGTTCCACAGGGATTAGGGTCACAAGGATCTGTGGGAGGTTGGCATGATATCTTCGCATCACCCAGATATCCTGGAAGGCACTTGCATTGTGGTTTATGGTATATCACGTCACAAATAGCATTGATGCCGCAGTTGCAAGGCGATACACATTGTTGGTTGATACAAGCTTCGTTGGTAGCACATTCTTCGTCGTGTCTACAGCCGAGAACTCCTAGACATTCTACGTAAGCGTTTCCTTCATAGCCTAATTAGAGTAAGATTAGAATCATTACATACTTTCAATGTATCTCCAAGATTTACCTGGTAAACATACGCATGAAGCTTCATGGTTCTTTGGAACGCATTCTGCATTATCTCCACATGAATCTTCAAAGCAAGGATTGATGCATCTTCTATTTAATCTGTCACACAATTTGTTGGGAGGACAATCTTCGTTGTATTGACATACTGGTGGGCCGTAGTCGGAAACTGAAGAAATTTTATTAATTGAGTATTTTATGTCGATTTTTCAACAAACGACAACTAACCTGGAGCGCAACCAACAAAGCCGTTGCCGTGGAATCCTTCTTTGCAGCTACAGTCGCACCCATGTTGGGTGTTGATGCATACAGCGTTTTGAGCACAAGGATTATGAACATCGCACGGTCTTTGACATGCTCTATCTATGCATGCTTCGCTAATAGGACAGTCTTCGTTGCTGGTGCAACCCACTAGACGGAAAAGGTGCGAGAAAGGACGAAAAGAATAGTAAGTATATACATTTCAGATTTTAAAGAAATAGATGACCCGATAAAGATTTTTACATTAAATGTTAGAATCGGCTGAATATTTATGATGTTGAATTGTTTTTACATATTTATGGCCGATTCTAACTTACTAGACCGGAAAAATAAATAGATCTGGACTGAAGAGAATAATAATTTTTCTAACTAAAATAATTTTGTAAAACATTGTATTAGACTTTTACACATTACTGTTGGTTAATTTATGTTACAAATATTAACATTAAATTTATTATTTCATTATTTTGATTGATTAAAATATTAATGATTAGCGCTGGAAAATTAACATTTATTTATGTACAAGGGCAATGTTAATGTTTTTTTTTTAAACATATCTAATTGACAATTGTTTTGTTTAGTTTTCTAAAACCGAACGACGAGTACAAATTGATAGATCTTAGGTTAAAACATGAGCATTGCCATGTTAAAAACGACAAGGGTGATCTTACTTGTAGGCGATTTGGTACATTTAACGGCCGGGTTCCCTTCGAATCCCATCGGACATGTACAAATAGGCCTGTGCATTTTCGCTTGACACCTAGCGCCTTCAGCGCAGGCGCTGGTGAATTCGCAAGGGTCCTGACAGAGAGACATGTAACACGCCTCGGACTCGAGACAGTCCATGTCAGATTCGCAGGGTTTACGCGCCCTATCGCCGTGCGGTTCTATTAGGAACGGTTAAGTTTGAATTAGTACAGTTTTTTTAGTGTTGTTAACAACACGATTGAATGGGAAAGAAATATTATTAGCAAAATTAATTTTTATTTTACATGATATTTACATTATTACAATTATTATTAAGAATGTATGTATAATCTCAGTGTAGCAAACCAAAACCATGCAAGGGGAAGTTTAACGCTTTCTAAATGCGCGGAAATTTATGACAGGAAATTTTAAAATTTAATCGTAATCTAAAATTGAAGCGTTAAACTTCGGCTTACTTTAGTTATTAATTTTAAAATGTGCTCGACTTTGGTTAAATCTATCTGTAAAATTACAATATACAAAAACTGAAAATAAAATATTATATGATATGTAGATATAGGGCAAAATGCTAGGCGTTCTTACATATCTTTATTTTGGGAGTCTACAATAATTTTTTACAAAAATCCATTTGTTTCCCGATTGAAAATAACATAATGCAACGACACCTAAATTCAGCTATCCTACACTGCCGCCACGGTTACCAAACAAAATTTAGAGTCCCAAAACAAGACATGTATAACGCCATGGTACGGAGTAAGTTTGTAATACCTTGATAACACATCCTGTGCGGATCTCCGTAATGATGCGGCGGGCAAGTGCAATCAGCTGCATGATTCTCAGCAGTACACTTGGCATTAGGCCCACAAAGCCCTCCGATTGAGCACACGTTTATACATTTTTTGAAGATACACACGTCGGTATCTCCACAATCGTTATCGGCGAGGCATTGGTACGTACGATCACTCAAATTTTTGGTGTAATTTTTGAGCGATATTACATTATCATTTTGAGTCGTCTTCGGAATTTTTTCAGTTGTTAAAGTAGTAGATAATTCTATTAGTTCTTTTGTAGTTGTTTTTTCAAGGGGAGGAATTGTTGTAGATAATAGAGACGAAGGGTATTTCGTAGTGGTGGCAGTTGCAGCTTCAGTGTATTCTGTACCTGGCGATAAGGTAGTACCTACCTTGTTCACCAAAGTACCTCCAGTAGTACTTAACTCTTCTAGCTGCTCTGTGGTCATTTGCACTGTATGCTTAATGAGTTCAGTCGTCTCATTACTCTCCGTAGAAATATATCCTGGAGTTGTTATTTCTACAATTTCATCATTAGCAATTGTAATCGTAGTTTTTCCCAGTGTAGTAATTTCTTGTAGTTCTTTTGTTGTCAGCACCGTGCTAAATGTTGAAATGTCGCCTAAATATTTGGCTGTTGTTTCATATGTTTCAGTTGTTGTTTCAATACCTTCTGTAGAAGAGGAAGTAGTAAATGTAATTGTGTAAATGAATGGCGTGGTACTAATAGATTCAGCCGTTGTTATTGTTTCCTTTACAGGTAATTTGTCAGTACTTAAAGGTCTTTCTGTGAATTGAAATGTACCAGTTTCTGCAGTTTGTTCTGTATGCATTATAATAGTCTTCTCAACGCTTTCTGTAGATGATGTACTTTCAGGAGTGTATTTGCTAGTGACCATTTGTACTGTATAGCCTGCCGCAGTCTCCATCGTAGCAGTATTAATTATAGGCGATTGTGAAGTTTTATTGATTGGTATTTCTGTAGTTGGAGTATGTTCGTTGGTTGACCCTAAAAACGTGGTTTTAACATTCATTACTGGGATACTGTGGGTACTACTCCTTGGCCTTTCAGTGATAATTTCAGTAGACGTTTCTGTAGCCTCAAATCCTGGTTTATTCCTATATGATAAAGTTTCTTTTGATATTGATCCATAGGTAGTAGATTTGGCTTCTTCGAATTCTGTCGCTTGGGCAGTTTCTTCTGAAGATGACTGTGTTGTATAAATTGCTGGAGCAGCTTCTGTGTTTAATCCACTCACTGCCAAAGTACTACTTAGTGGTTCTATCGTTAGATATTCTGTAGTCGTATAGGAAATATAAGGTGTTTCAGTTATGTTTTGAGAACTGACTGATTGAGTCGGGGTCTGTGATGTAATCGTACTTCTTTCAACTTCATCAGAAGGGGTCGTTGCTTGGGGTAGAGATTTATTTTCTGTGAAAAGTGATGTTGAAATTTCTGTGGGGGTACCTTCGCTACTTGAATAATTGGTGCTTTCAGTGCTACCAACTGATGGTCGCGCAGTGTTTTCATTTTCAACCATAGATTTAGTTTCATTTTCTCCAATTAGTTCAGTTGTCAATGCAGCGGTATCAGAACTTGCATAAGTAGTACTTTCAATGGCACGAACTGTTGTCTGGCTGCCAAAGTCACTTCTGGAAGTAGATATAAAATCTGTAGTATGATTAGTTGGAGGCTCTGTAGCTATGTTAATAGTGGTATCCGTTATTTTAGTTGTAGCAACTGTTGGCGAACTAGTAAATCGATCACTTAACGTAGGTTCAGTTCCATGTTCTGTGACAGACTGAGCTAGAAGCTCTGTAGCTGAAGAAGTCGTTTCAGATCCTGAATATTCATTTCTCTTAGTTGTACCGACTGTTGGTTGAATAGTAAATCTACTACCCAAAGTAGATTTGGTTCCATATTGTGTGGTATGCTGAGTTGGGAGATCTGTCGAAACACTACCTCCATTACTTGAGTGATCAGAGCTCTCAGTAGTACCAACTGACTGAGTAGTAAATTCACTTTCCAAAGTAGATTTGGTTTCATATTCCGAAGTATGCTGGGTTGGAAGTTCCGTCGCAACACTACTTTTGATACTGGAGTATCCAGGGCCCCCAGTAATACTAACTGACTGAGTAGTGAATTCGCTACCTAAAGTAGATTTGGTTCCATATTCCGTGGTAAGCTGGGTTAAAATAGTACCTTCGCTACTCAAATGAGCAGACCTCTCAGAGGTACCAACTGACTGAGTAGTAAATTCACTACCCAAAGTAGATTTTGTTCCATATTCCGAGGTATGCTGGGTTGAATGCTCCGTCGCAGCACTACCTGTGCTACTCGAGTATCCTGGTTTCTCAGTGGTACTAACTGAATTAGTAGTAAATTCGCTACCTAAAGTAGATTCAGTTCCATATTCCGCAGTAAGGTGGGTTGGAAGCTCCGTCGTAAGATTACCCTTGCTAGTTGAATAAGCAGGGCCCTCGGTGGTACCAACTGATTTAGTAGTAAATTCACTACCCAGGGAAGATTTGTTTCCATATTCCGAGGTATGCTGGGTTGGAAGCTCCGTCGCAACACTACCTGTGTTACTTGAGTATCTTGGTTTCTCAGTGGTACTAATTGACTGAGTAGTAAATTCGCTATTTAAAGTAGATTGGGTTCCATATTCCGTGCTAAGCTGGGTTGGAATAGTACCTTCGCTACTTAAATAAGCAGGCCCCTCAGTGGTACCAACTGATTGAGTAGTAAATTCACTACCCCAAGTAGATTTGGCTTCATATTCCGAAGTATTCTGGGTTGGAATCTCCGTCGCAATACTACCTGTGCTACTTGAGTATTTTGTCCCCTCACTGGTAGTAACTTCCTGAGCAGTAGATTCGGTACCAAAAGAAGATTTGGTCCCATATTCCATTGAGTCAGCTGAGCCGCCAGTGGTACCAACTGGCTGAGTAGTGAATTCATTACCCAAAGTAGACTTGGTTCCAGATTCCGTAAATTGCTCAGTTGTAAGTTCCGTAGAAGCAGTGCCTTTGCTACTTGAGTATCCAGCATCCTCAGTGCTACCGACTGTGGAAGTAATATGCTGCGCTGGAAGAGTAGTTCCCCCACTTGAATAACCAGTGCTCTCAAATGTGCTACCGTCACTTCTAGAAGTAGATATAGTTCCAGATTCTGTGGGATGTTGCGTTTGAAGTTCTTTCGCAATGCTTGTTGAATACTCAGTAGTTTCAACTGAAGGCTGATTAGTAAGTTCACTGCTAAAAGTAGATTTGGTTTCGAATTCTGTGATTTGTTGTGTTGAAAATTCTGTAGCAGCAGCCTTAGTTTGTCCATCTTCAGATGTTGTAGCTGAAGAGAGGGTTGTGAATGGATTTTCATTTGTTTTTTCAGTGGAACTGGCAGTAGCAAGAGTAGTAGTTATTGTTGCTTCTTGAGCAACTGTATAGGTAACTTCTTCTGTTTCCCTTCCGAAGGTCTGAGTAGAAGTAAATTTGGTTTCAAATTCAGTAGTAGTTTCGGCAGGTTTCGAAGTAAAAGGCTGTACTGTCAACTCATCGGTAACTGAAAAGCCAGTGGTGGAGACAGATGGCGTTGAATATTTTGTGCTAGTTCCAACAGTCGTTTCCAATTCAGCTGTAAGCGTGGTTTTTTTGGATACACTGGTAGATATTGGAGTTAATTCATCAGTAGCAGCTTCTGTAATTATTCTTGTTGAACCAAAAGTTGTTGATTCCAAACCATCTCTGGATGTTGTATATTTTTCTTCAGATATAGGCTCAAATTTTGTTGTACTGCCAATGGAATCTGTAATGCTTTGAGTTGTAGAAGCTGGGAATTTGGTTATTAATCCTTCCGTTTCTGTAGTGTATGCTGATAAAAGCTGGGTTACAGCCCTAGTACTTATCTCTTCTTTTTCAGCAACAGATTCTGTTATTGTGCTTATTTCTGGTATAAGAGTTCTAATTTCTGTACTTTGTTCATTATTTGAGATTTCTACAGTTGTAGATCCGACTTCCGTTGGTCTGGATGTAATTGATTGGGTTATCTCTGGGCTCTGGGCATATTCTGTGACGTTTGTTGTTAGCAGTTCTGTAATGGTGCTAGTACTAGTTTGTTCTGTAGTAGCAGTCTTCCTATTCTCGTCGAATGAATTAGTTGATTGTGAAGTGGAGGCTGTTGAAAATTGTTCGGGTTTTCCTTGGGCTTCAGCTGAAGATCCCAGTGAACTACTTATTACCGCCTGTGTTGTAATCTCTTCACCAGCTGTACTAGTAGTGTGTTCCCGTTCAGTTGTTTCAAAAGTATTCATTATTGACTGTGTCGTCAGCTCTTCTGGGATCACCGATACTGGTGAGCTATAGTCTGTAGTATGTGTTGGATATTTTGTTATTAAACCAATAACGCCAGGAGGTGTAGTTTGGTAACTTTCTCTAGATGTAGAACTTGATGGCTCTTCGGTAGTGGGCTTTCCAGTACTAATATATGTGCTGTGTTCATATTGTGTAGTTGGCAATCCTGTAATTGCAGTGGTTATTCCAGCCATTGTTGTAGGAGATCTTGTAGTTGAAATTGCTGGAAATTCTGTTAAGCCAGCTAGCGTTTTTGTTTCTACTTCTATTGTGCCTGTGGAAATAGTTTCAGCGGATTCTGTCGATTCATATCGACTAGTGCTAGCTGTAGGTGACACTGTATACTCACCAATTGGAGTACTTTGCCCAGTTCCTGATTTGTCAGTGGATTGATCTTGTCCTGTAGTTACCACTATTGGTAATTTTGTTACTCCGCTAGGACTTTCTGTATTTTGCATAGTAGATATACGTTGTTCGTATATTGTAGTTTTAATTCTTGGAAATTCCTTGGCAGTTGTAGATTGTGGAATTTCAGCATCAGTGGCAGAACCGGATACTACAGTCTCCATAGTTGCACCAACCGATGGCTGCGTAGTGACATACTCTGTATGTACTATAGTATTAACCATGCTTTTGTCTGTGGTGCTAGAAACTGTGGTTCCCGTGGTACCTATTTCAGATCTTCCAATAACCGAGGTTTTAGATTGAGGTCCAGTTGGAGTTGTTATCATTGATCCAGTGGTGGTTTCACCATGTTCTGTAGCAATTGATATGGTTTCGGTAGTTGTTTTGATATCACTGGGTAGTGTAGATTCTGCGCCTTCTTTTAAAGTTGTTGACAATTCATCAAATTTATTGTTTGGAGTAGCACTACTACTTTCTGTGGTTCCCTCTTCAGATGAAACAGTTGTCAACTCTTTGGGAGCTGAAGTAGTTGTTTTTCTGTTTTCCGATTGGTTTGATAATGTGCTCTGTTCAGATGGAACTTCGGTAACGATGGGAGAATTGCTGGTAGCTGTTTGTGTAGTTGAGTCAACCTTGCTTGTAGAATAAACAGTTGCTGCAGTAGCTATAGTTTCTGAAGCCTTGCCTGAAAAATCATTAATCTGCTTTGTAGTTGTGGTTTCATTTTCTACCCCAAATGGTTCTGTTAATCGATCTGTGGGCAATTTTGAATTTTCAGTGCCTACTTGAGTAGTTCTAGTTTCTTCCCCTAAAGTAGATAGGCTTGCAGTTATAGTTGTGAAGGTTGTCGTTTCTCGGCCAGTAGTTGAAGCTGTAGTTACTTTGCTGTCAGTTGTAGGAGTTTCTTGTTCATAATATATTGGAACTGTGGCTTCAGACCCTTCAGCATTGGATGTGTTTGATGTAGATGAACCCATTTCTGTTGTTTGCTCTTGTTGGGTTGCATAAGCAGTTTTTTCCGCTATTTTTTCAGTAGTGCCATGGGTTGTAGTTTCCCCAAGCTTCTCGCCGGTAGGCGACTGTGTTGTTGTTCCAGTAGTATGTCCTGGGAGTTCCAAAGGTTTATTGGAAGTTTTAGATACTGAAACTGTTTCAGTGATCGGTGAAAGATTTGATGGTGCAGTTTCAGTTGCATGTTCAGAGTGTCCGTATTCTGTAGTCTGTATTGATTCTCTATCTACTTCTGTAGTACTAGGGGAAAAATGTTCTGTTAGTACTTCTCCAGTATCATGCCCGGTTGAAGTACTGAAATTTTCTTTTGTCGCTGGTTGATTAATTGATGATTTTGTAGTTTCTTGGGCTTCTTCAGTAGTTGTCGATGAACTATAAGTTTCTCCATATTCTGTAGGTGTTACGGTCAGTTTTTCGGTGGCGAATACGGTTGTAGGTATTGTTGCGCTTTTGTCTGTGGTATAACCAAATGAAGATTTTTGCTCATAGTCAATCATTGTTGTTAGATGATTTGAAGTCACTGCTGGAGCTTTTTCGGTCGTTGCAGTTTCAGTAACCACGGCTTCCGAAGTTGCTTTATTTTCCTGCACTGTTGAATGGGTCGATATTCCTACAGCATATTCTGTTGTTGAATACTCGGTAGTTGTTAGTTCTACTTTAGTTGTAGAATCGACGGAAATTGTAGAATGATCAGTAACTTCAGTTGTACCAATTGATGCAGTAGATTCACTTGTTATTGGATTAGTACCAATTCTAGTTTCAAGAGTTGACGAGTGAATGGTACTGGGTGTCTGTGTCGATTCTGGTATGATACCACCTGTCATCTTTTCAGGTACTTGAGATTTTGTGGTTTTACTTGCCTCTATCGTAGAATCAGTAACGAGATCCTCTGCAATAGGTTCTGTAAGACCTAACTTACCTTGTCCCATAGTAATCACATTTGGTGTTGACATTTTCTGTGTAGTTGTATCACGTATAGCTTCTGTTGTCGCCTCTTCGCCTGCAGGCTTTGTTTCAACCACTGTTGTTAATACTTTTTCTGTAATTCCTCCCCTTGTCGAGTATTGAGGAGTTATGGTAACATAAGGCTCTAAAGTCGTAGTTTCTGGATAAATATGAACAATTTCCTCTGTATTGACTGTTGTTTCCAGCAATGCCTCGCCCGTAGTAAACTCGTCAAAAATACGTGTAGTTTGCTCAAATTCCGTTATAAATTCCTTTTTATTTGTTAGAGTGGTAGCAGAACTAGCGTTTGTTATTTGAGAAGAGGTCACAGATTGTGTTTCGGTTAGTGTTTCTGGTGTTGTAACCATATCTGTTATTTTAAAATAAACAATTTCCTGTGAGTTAAGTATATTACATTCGATGTGTGAACATGTGGGTTGTGTTGTGAGCGCCATGCAATGATTAAAAGCGATAAGCACCAAAGCTTCCACCCATATAACCGATAAACCTATTTTCAAAACTATACTAAGAAGAAATAATCGTGAAACAAGTACAAAGTTCACTTTTTCGTTGGGAAATATACATCAGTCCTGTTTGACTAGTTTTTTTGGCATAGCGCAATAAATGGTATAGTGACGAAAATCAAGTGTTGCTATTTTTACAATTTACAATATCAAACATGATGTAGGTTAGAAAGAATGTACAGTTATTTATGATCTGCAAATATATAAAAAATAGTTATCAGTCATGTCCATATTGCTGATATTATTGTTGGATGCCGTTCAATCTTGTAGCAGCAAGTTCCCATGTCTCAGTAGCGATGACAGGTGAATTTTCCAGTTTTTGTGGCTTTCTTGATGAATGTATAATTTTGTGGGATGGGATTTTTGGGTAGGGTATGTGGTCAAATTAAAACAGCAACACAATTTTGATAAATGACGGGATGTTGGTGTACTTATTGAGGATTGATTTTTTTTATGAAAAAATTATTGAACAATTTTTTTCTCAATTTCCAGAATAAATACACCGGCAATAAAATGAACAAATTTAAAAATCCACTTACCATTTTGACAGGCTTTGGTTAGCGGATTACAGGGTACTCCTGGTGGGCAGTGCGAGCATAGTGGATTTCGACCTTCTAAAATAGAAATGATTATTATGAAAACTAAAAAGTTTTGATCCTTAATTATTTCATTACTTAGCGTATTTTCGAATTAAGGCTCACTCTGATTATTTTATTAGTCGGTAGGTACTTACCGACAACACAATTACATCCATCGCACCATTGTCCAAGATGAGCACAATCATGATCCTCTTGACATTGGCAAACTAAATTCAGAAAATACACAATAGTAAAATTTTAAATAACCAAATTCCTGATGAGATACATCATACCTTTAACACAGACCGGTTGATGATCTTGAACCTGACAGTCTTGTGAATTTGTGCATGGGTTGGACACTAGACAAGGATTTTGACATTTTCTGTTTATACATGCCTGTTCTGCTGCGCAGTTGGAATGTGATCGGCATTGGACATCTAAATAAAGGCACATTGATGATGTGATGATTAAATAATATAAAATTGTGCCTAGAGCATTTGAGAAAAATCTAAATCGGAAAAGCTAATAAAGCGTGTGAACCAAGCGCACCAAGCTGATTTTTTTAAGCACAAAAAGACTTTGGTTGGGTTTATATACATATTTACAAAGACCTTTTGTAACTAGATGACCGTCATGCTGATACAACCTGGGTACTACGGTACTACCATTTTTCTACATCATAGAAATTTACCCGTATCGTTCTAAGAGAGGTAAATAAATTGACTACAGGTACTGCAGCTGGAAAAGAGAAATAATCGGAAACAAAAGTTGGCATACGAAACATTTAAATAACCTGTCGTTATTAAGCAGAGATATTGTCAATATAAATGTTTCGCAAATATGTACATATAGACGTAGGAGTCAAATTATTAAGCTTCATCCTGGGAAAGACTTCTGGTAAGAGGCTGCCTTCTATCAGGGGCTCGGAAATTATTTGATTTCTTAAATAATTTAAAAGGTAATCGAGTCATTAATTTTGGCAAGTATATATTTGATAAATTAAAATCAATTATTGAAACATTCAACAACTTGCTCATACTTCTTTAATTTAACATTTTTCGATTTGATGAGGTAGGTACCGCACTTTTTTTAAGTACCTACGCCTATATGTTCCTTTCTTCTGAAGTATGGTTAGGGCGCAAGAAGAAATAGGTTAATGAAAAACAAGTAGGTAATGTCCTAAAAGAGAATCTAGTAGAATCTTTAAACCAGAGCAATGAAAAATAATGGAGAAAAAATCCTGATGGATGCATAATCATTAATCCAGTGGTATATTTTGTTTTAATATAATATTGGATGAAGAGGCACAGATACGACGTAGTAGCAAAAAGAATAGGTTTGATTATTGCAAGAGTAAACCGTAAGCAACGAGGGTCGTCATCCACGTCTGACGTCACAAGCACTAATTTCCTTGTACCCAAGGTGTTATGTTTACCTTTGAAGCATCCATATTTCGGATCTTGTTTATATCCTGGGGGACAATAGTCGCATAAAGGTTTATGATCTTCGACTCTGCATGGAGTATTTTCTGGACAGTTTGCTGTTTTGCATGGATCTTCGCATCTAAATGCTCTACATGCTTGATCTATGGGACATCCCTGGTCCCTTAGGCATATTGAGAGGGAAGGGCTGCAATTCTTTAAGCAAATGCAGGTTGGTTTATGGTTTAGGACGTCACAGCCTTTATCCGCAGGACAAGGGGATTCGAATGTTACAGTGCAAGGGTTTTGACATAAGCGGTCTATGCATGCTTTATTATTGGGACATTGCTCGTCATTGGTGCATTCTGATCGTTCAGGCGCGCAAGATATTTCCCCTCTCTCATTTACCATAAAACCATTCTTGCAAACGCATGTTGGTTTGTGATAATGCACTTCACATCTTTTATTATCTCTGCATTTAATTGCATTACTTTGGCAAGGATCGTAGCATTTTCCACTATCACTATTACATGCCAATTTTGTATCGCAATCTGAATCAGCAAAACAAACTATTTGTCCAGCAGGTCTCGGTTGCGTTTTTAAACAGTTGGGATCAGGATGACACACGGTATTTGCAGTACCAATGTAGCATTCGGGACAAGAGCATCGGGGTCGGTGTTGAATGGTTTTACACAGGGCGTTCTCTCCGCACGCCCCTTTTAAACTACAAGGATTTACGCACTGGAAGTTGATGCAAGCTTTCTGGTCGGAGCAGTCTAGGTCATTGTTACATTCGGCAGCTACAGGGTCATAGGACAAAAGAAAAAAAGAAAGCTTTATAGAAACCGTGAAATAGGGGAAGTTTTGTATCACATAAAACACAACAATCGCATGCGGGTGTGACCAAGACAGTCAGAGGATGAGAGAAATGAAAGAGGCCATCTCAACACGACCGTAGTATTACAAAAGCTGGCGAGTATTTACAAGCATAATAATAGCTTTTAGCCAAAATAAAAAAAGTACTAAAAATGCTATTTTACATAATAATAAAATCAATGTGAGAATGCTCCTTTCATAGTTCCCAATCTGACATATCGTCCATCATACCCGCAGCGCGCAACCGCACGCGCTTCGGTATATACTAAATAACCATATCACTCAAAAAAATCATTCATAACTATAAAGGATGTTAACGTTACTTAGTGTATGTGTGGAATGTGATCGGGTGAAAAATATAGGGCTGTACTTATCTACTGATTTAGGAAAAATGTGTGTGACGGGCAGATTGGAACCTGAAGTGTACATTCCACATGAGTAAATAATGCATTTTACTTTTGGCAGAGTCTAGAAGGTACAATATATACAAAATAAATATGATAATGTACTCGATAATACCTAAACCACATAAGTATCATCTAAATAATTTCATTTTAGATGGGTTGTGTTTTTACATTGTACTGGAAAATCACAAATTTTAAAATTCACCTTTCTTGTTGGAATATACTCATGTGTTTGGTCTATTCAATTGCAAATTGGTGATTTTCCAAGTTAAATTTATGTGTCAAAATAACAAAAGGAAAATTGCGACGATTTAAGCCTGGTTGTACTGTATACAAGATAAGCGCTCAGAATAAATAATCAAATAAATATATATATCATATAGTTTTTGGAAAGGTACATATATCAATCTTTGGCTTACCCTTCCGGCACTCTTTCTCTGGTTCACCAGAATAACCGGGTTTACAACGGCATACAAAGAATGCCTGTTCTCTTATGCATTCTGCTTCCTTACCACATCCCTCAGTTCTGCAATCTAGAGCGCTGCGGTCTTGAGAACCTAAAAAAATCGTTTATTCGAAAAGTTTCCTAAATTATTTTATAATTAAAGACATACTTCCAAGCCCAAAAGTGTGGGCTTTAAGATAAAAAAAATTATTTTTCGATGGTTATTCATTCATTCAAAAATTGACTATTAATAGGTAATGCATGTACAGGGTGCTCTTTTGATAAAAATCACCTGTTGCTTGCGCTGATAGGTACAAACCAACCTCTTTATCATAGGCCCGTTTTTCGAGGAATTTTGATGGCCGAAAACCGCAATTCGATATCCGTTTCGGCGAGTTCATTAGATAGCCTTTAAACCTGATACCAATAATTTAGGATTTTGTAGGTTTATTCTTAGGTAATTTCGGAAATAAAATTGAAATCCGCCTTTGTCAGAATAAATATTGTAAAGATAGATTTATCATGGAAAGAAGCAATACGATGCGACATTACATTCCATGTTTTTTTATTCCTCTATTGTTCAAAAAAATATACCGTTTACAGATTGCCAATTTTTAGAAGAAACTGTACTTAAGATACATCTCAATTCCCACATTCTAAAAAGTTCAGCGATGTGGTTGAAAGCTCATGAAACATTACCCTTATATTTTAGCTTCATTTGGTACATAACTACTTGATAGAAATAAAACTTACACTCAATTGTTGGATCTCCAGCGGGTTTATTAGATGGACAAACGCACTGAGGCTTGCCCCCAAGTACCCTACATATTGCTCCTACGCCACACAAAGTATTTTTGCATAAGCTGACTGTCTTTGTATCGCAATCGCATCCTCGATAAGCATCTCCTACACAACCTGGGATGCAAGTACATTCAAACGTCTCATCTGCCAAATCTTTACATTTCGAATTGTGACCGCAAGGGTTTTTGAGGCAAGCTTGAGTACCTTCTTGTTTGCATTCTACAGCAGCGTTGCCCACGTAACCTGGAGGGCAAGAGCAAAATAGTTGCCTGTCTTGCATTTTGCATTGAGCGTTGATGCCGCACGCTCCTTGTTCCAAACAAGGATTAATACATACACCATCGCTACCGCATTTTTTGTTCGGCTCGCACTGATCGTCTTGTTTGCATTGATATGGGGAGCATAGTAAATTGGGATCTCCTTGATACCCTCCAGGGCACAAGCAAACTTTTCTATGGTCGGACACTCTACATAGGGCGTTTTTGCCACAAGCGAACGGTTGCTTACACAAATTGACACATTTTCCTTTTTTGCAAGATTCCGAGGTTGCACAATCATTGTCAACTCTGCAACCAGGAATGCACGCTCCGTTAGAGCAAATTTGGCCTTGAGCACAACCCAACTGAGCTGAACAAGTATTTCTGCATTTTCCAGTGACGCAAGTTTCACCGCAAGAACAATCAGTAGCGGTTTGGCATTTTTTGGTGCAATATCCTGCGCCATCGCATTCGCAGTGATCGTTACATTTTGTGGCAGCTTGAATGCAAGAAACTAGTGGATCTCCTAGAAAGTTGCTCGGACAACTACATTGGGCTAAGTGATTTTGTACCGTGCATTCAGCGCAGACTCCACAAGTTGCAGAACTTTCACAAGGATCTAAAAATGTTTATTGGATTTAGTAAGCTATAGTGAAATAATAAGTTTAATACTTATGTAAAACCAGGTTATTAAAATTGCTTACTTTGACATTTGCTATTAATACAGGCTTGATTTTGAGTGCAAACTGAGTCATTTCTGCAACCAATAATACATAATCGATTTTCACAAATTTGGTTCTGGGCACAAAAACCATCCGTGTTACAAACAGTTTGGCAAGTACCTCGAATGCACCTTTCATTTTCCAAACAATTTTGATCACTAAAAAATGTTTTAAATAAATACAAAAACCTCATCAATGATAATTATTAATGCACGCTCTTACATTTTGCAAGCACTTTCACAAATGCCTTCAACACAATTATGATCTGGACCACAATCATGTTTGTCATTACAAGAAACCAGTGCTCGTTTACAGAATTCATATGGATTGCCTCTTAATTGCTGCGGACAATCACATACTTTTCTGTGATCTATTACAGTACATTTAGCGTTCGTGCCACAAGATGTTGGGGAAGCGCACGGGTCGATACATTTATTGTTGATACATGATTTGTTCGATGGACATCCAGAATTGGTTCTACATCCTATGACGCATTTGATTCCTTCACAAACTTCACCATTGCGACAATCATCGTCTTTTCTACAAATGGGTTTGCAAACTCCATTTTCACAACGCTCATTATTGAGACATCCGGTGTCGGCCGAACAAATAACTCTGCAGAAATCATCTTTACAAATATAATTATTTGAACAGTCAGAGTTTTGGCCGCAAGGTTCCGCAGGAGTACGAACACAAGCGATATTGGCTGTGGGATTTGGCACAAGGCCTTCACTGCAAGAACATACAGCTCTATGATTGGATACTGAACACTGCGCATTGGGACCACAAGTATTCTGCAAGCACGGGTTAGCGCATTTGTTACTGATACAAGATTCACTGCTTCCACAATCTTCATCTACATGACAGCCGAAGATGCATTTGTTTTTGAGGCAAATATGGCCGAGGAAACAGTCGTTATCTACGCGACAAGTGAGCATACAGTTGCCTTGTAAACATTTTTCGTTGAATGCACATTCTAGATCGGATTTACATTGAGGCAAGCAGATGTTTTCTTTGCAGGTCGAGTTCAAGCTACAATCGTAGTTCGAAGAACAGGCTGCGGGCACTAAAAAAAGATGTGACTTTAGTTAAAATATGGAAAAACAAATTCAACTTACATCTTAAACATTCGACATCCTGGTCCCCAGTGAATTTCTCTGGACATTTGCATACTTTCTCGTGACTTGAGACTTCACACAATGCGTTAATTCCACATGCCTTTGGTAACAGGCATGGATTAAGGCATTGCCCTTGTAAGCATTGTTCTGACTGTTGACATTCGTCGTTATTTTTGCATGCAGGACTGCATAAATTTCCATAACAGTAAGTATTTGCCGGGCAATCATGAGTGGTTTTACAGTTCACCAACTTAGGTCTACAACCTCTGCTCAGATCAGCTGCATTGCCTTCATAGCCATTTCTACAGCTGCAATGTCCAACATGTTCAACGGCAATACATTCGGCATTTGTTCCACATAAAGTTGTATCGCATATGCTCTCGCATCTGTGATATTTTTTGTTGCATGCGGCTACAGCCGGGCAGTCTCGGTCTGCGACACATTCTAGAGCTGGCCTACAGCCGTCATTATATGGATCTCCAATGAGACCTTGCGGGCAATGACATTTGAAAGAACCTCTGGAGTTTGTGCACAAGGCTTTAGGACCGCATGGTTCGTCTACGCAAAAATCTATAATCGTACAGCCTCTATAAGGGTCGCCAGTGTATCCTGGTTGACAGTAGCAAACTTGCTGATGTTCTTCTGCTGAGCACAATGTGTTTTTACCACACGGATTGTGTACCAAGCAAGCTATTTTACACATATTTTGATCGCAAAGTTTATCAGTAGAGCATTCAGTATTTTTTTCACATTCAACTTTTTGGCAACCAGTTTTCTCGTTATTAGGGTTTCCTTTGAATCCAGCTTTACAAACACATCTGGCCACATGTTTTTTTGACTGACATTCAGCATTTCTTCCGCAGATAACACTTTCACAAGCATCAATGCATTCTGGCTGACCAATGGCGTTGGATAAACATTTTTCTGTAGCCTCGCAATCGTTATTTGCTCTACATCTCACTTCTTGCTGGCAAATACTGTCTTGACAAAATTGAAATTCCGGACAAGATGAATTTGATTTACATGTCGGTTGGCAATAACCTTGGATACATAGCTGGTCACTTATACAGTCACGTGAGCTTCCGCATAGAGAGGTACAAATCCCATTGTAACAATTCAATCCCTGTGGGCATTGTTTGTTGTTAGCGCAATATTGAACTGCTATACAGCCTAGATGAGGATCTCCAGTGCTTCCAGCTTGACAAGAGCAAACGGCCAGATGATTCGTCGCGGAACAATCAGCATTTTTACCGCATACATTTGATAGCGAACAAGGGTTTTTACATAAAGACTCGACACAAATCTTGTCACTAGCGCAATCGTTATTGTCACTACATTCGATGGGAATGCAGTTGTGTTCAGCATCTTCACGAGTTTTTTCTGGGCATCGGCAAGTAGCCTTGTGGGCTACTGGTACACATTTGGCGTTTGCTCCACACACATTGGGTTGTTCGCAGGGGCTTTTGCAAATTTCGTTGTCGCAGTAAGCTGAAGAAGGACAGTCTGAATCTGTTAAACAATCTCCTGGTTTTCGGCAACCAGTTGTTATAGGATCTCCGACTAAACCTTCGCTACAGATGCAGGAGAATCCCCCATCGCTATCGATACATCTGAAACAATAAAAAGTTATGCATATAGTGAATACATAATATGTTCAAAATAAGTTATGCTGCTTGCGTATATGGAAATATTACTAGTAAATTATTTTTTCACTTACTCTGCTGTTGGATGACATGGATTACTTTCCCCACATTCATTGATATTAACACATTTTTCATCAACCAATCTATAGCCATCAGAGCATAGGCACACAGCATCGTGGTTTTCTGATAAGCATGAGCCCTTACCGCAGTCTACAAAGCCACAAGGATCTAAAAAACAAGACCTAATAATAACAGGCTCATTTTATTCGAGAAATAAACTTACCAAGACACTTATTGGAATGCGCATTACAAAATCTATCAACGGGACAATCATCATTTTCAATACACTCTACTCTGAAGCAACCCAAATTCTTATCGAAAGGATTTCCCAAATGGCCAGGAGGACAAGCGCAAGCTAGTTGATGTTTACTGACGGCGCACAAAGCATTCTTGCCGCACTTATCGCATGGATCTTGACATTTATTGCGTCTACATATTAAGTTATCTGGACAATTTTTATCAGATCTACATTGCCCTGGGCCAGAGCAGCCAGTGCTTGTGTAGGGATCACCAACCATGCCATCTGGACATACGCATTTGTACGAACCAAGATCGTTTTTACAAATAGCGCTATGGTGACACGGAGTTGCTTCACACTCATTAATATCCACACAGCCCTGAGGAGTCCCTATAAATCCGGTACTACATTTGCATGTGCCTTTAATGCAAGCCTGAGATTGTTTACAGTCGCTATCACGTGCACAGCCCGGCTGACATACTTCCTCTCTGCAAATTTCCCCACTTAAACAGTTACTGTCTCCAAAACATACTTTTAGACAGCCTTTATTGGTGCATCTCTCTCCTATTGCGCAATCGCCATTTCCTTGACACTTGAAAGTACATTGTTCATTAAAGCAAACATGATTAGCTGGACATCTATGTTTATCATCGCATATGATTGGAACTCTAATACAACCTTGCTCAGGACTTGGATTACCAACGAAGCCTTTAATACATTCACAGGTCGTTCTGTGATCTTTGCAGGAGCATAAAGCATTGGGACCGCAAGCGTCTTTATTGTCACATGGATTTAGACATTGATTGTTAACACAAGCTTGTTCACTAGGACAATTTTTGTTGCTTCTGCAACCGATTTTACAAACTCCTTCTTGACAAGCTTGGTTGCTGTCACATTGACTATGATCCGCACATTGTATAGCGCATTTTTTAGCTAAACATGTTTCACCTTTGAGACAGTCTTTGTTGTTTCTGCACACTGGTCTGCATTGACCTTTGTCGCATACTTCATTGACGCATTCAGCATCTGAGCTGCAGGTTGTTATAAGTCTAAGGCAACCATCTGTTTCCGATACTTTATAGCCTGTTGGGCAGCTACAAACTGCTTTTCTATTCACGACATTACACACAGCATTAAGGCCACATGATTTTTGACTGCAAGGGTTAATACATTCTCCTTGATAACAGATAGTATTTTCAGAACAATTTTTATCACCATTAGGGCAGCTGCCTTTTTGTCTGCATCCGGAAACAAATGGATCACCAATAGTATCCTTCGGACAAACACAATTGTATCCTCTATTATTAGGTTGGCACAAAGCAGTACTATGGCATGGATTTGATTTACAAGAGTCAACCAGAACGCATTCTACTTCCGGCAATGGGTTTGCACTATATCCTGGAGGACATTGACAAGTAGCTTTATGATCTTCTGCAATACATACTGCATTTGTTCCACAAGATTCGTCATCGCAAACATCATGGCATGCATGCGTTAAGCGGTTGCATAATTGAGTTGGCGGACAATCAATGTTATATACGCATGGAACTGCTTCACAGCCTGTAGTTAGATTATTAGGGTCCCCAATAAATGATCCTGGGGGACATTGGCATTTTGGAACATGATTATTAACTACGCATATCGCATTTGGTCCACAATTTACTAGCTCACAAGCGGAAAGGCACATTTTTCTATTTTCTTTTGGATTGAACCTACAAGTATCTTGTTCTGAGCAATGAGAATCGGCAGTGCAAATATCTTGTTTGATGAGTTGACATCCGTTTCTATCGTTGGGATTTCCTGTATAACCATCTAAACAATGACATTGGCCTTTATGGGCTTCGGCAACACAAGCTGAGCTATTGGGACATGTATATTGAGCACAAATCGAAACGCATTTGAGTATTCCAAGTGCGTCAGGCTGGCAGGAAGCAATTGGTTCACAATCGGTATCATGTTTGCATTCGGGAACTGAAGGTTTTTCGCATTTTGACGTAACAGGGTTCCATAAATATTCGTCTTTACAGGCGCAGGTTGGATGACCGGCGACATCGATTTTACAAGTTTCATATGCGCCACAAGCAACTGCTTCGCAAGGACTTATGCATTTTTGAGTTCCTTTTTTGTCTATTCCGCAAATAGTTCCAAACTTACAGTCACTATCCAGCACACATTCCCTGGGATTTACTCTTTCTTCAATTTGACAGCCACTATCCAAATCTCCAGGGTTGCCTTTGTAACCTGGACTGCATATACAAGATGTTCTATGTTTTGATGAAACACATAGTGCATTTGGTCCACACTGAGCTTTGCTACAAGCGTCCACACATTTTCGTTGCCCTTTGCCCAGTTGGAAACAAATTTCTGAATTAGTACAATCCGTATCACTTGTGCATTGACTTTGGATTGTGCAGCCTTTTCTTAAGTCTTTTGGATTGCCTATATAGCCTGGAGGACAAAGACATTTGCCATTGTTACAAGATGCTTTGGGTCCACAGCGAACCGAATCGCACAAATCTCTACATTGTCCTCTTTTGCAAGAATAACCATCTGGACATAGCAAGTTATCGTTGCACTGGCAGTTTTCTGCGTCTCTACATATTCCCCCTTGTACCTGAGTGCACATAACGAAAGGATTTCCGGCATAACCTTCTTTACATCTACAATCATAGCTTCCAATAGTGTTGATACATACAGCGCTGTTACCACAAACATTGTTGGCACACTCATCAATATCTTTACATTCAATATAAGCATTTCCAGTGAATCCATGCTTGCAAGCACATTCGATGCCGTTGAAACTTTCAAGGCAATCAGCATTCAGGCCGCAAGCTGATGAAGAGCAACCTTTCCGGTCTTCGATTTTTGTTGTAGAACAACTTTCGTACGGGTTACCAATTGTTCCGGTATTGCAGACGCATTGGTTGGTGATAAGGCCGTATTCACAATGACTATTCTTGCCACATTTAGGATCGCAAACAGGACCGGTTTTGGCTGAAATTAATCAATTATTTAGGTTTTCGTATTAAATTGCGGTATTTATCACTTACGAGGCATACAAATGACATCAGCATTTCCTACTAAATTATGATCGCATACACATTTGTTGCTGTTTTTAGCACAGTGAGCGCCAACGCCGCAAATAATGCCTTGGCAACGTTGTTTACATCGTCCACTAATGCAAACTTTATTTTCTTCACATGGATGGGTGGATGAGCAAATGTCAGTAGTGCAAGAGCCTCCTGGGAATGGATTTCCCATTAAACCTTCTACGCATCTACAAGTTGGTCCATTGTATGTAAGTAGGCATTGGGCTCCAGGTGCACATGCAAAATGTTCACACGCTAAAAAAATAAAATGTAGTAAATTTTTATGTTGGTATGAATTTAGGAGCGTATGTCTATCATAGTTTCAGTAAAAAGGTAAAACTTTGACCAAAAAAAAAGTTTGCTCACAAAGTTACCCAAATATAAACTATCTTTCGATTTGATCAAATAATCATATTTTTCTGAAGTTAACTCGTTACAAAAACTTTTGTCTTCATAGAAATGTATCAAAAATAACTTACGTGATACACATTTTCCTTTTCCATTTTTAGTAAATCCTGCATTACATTCGCAGATCGCCTTATGATTATCGGCTTTACATCTTGCATTGGATCCACATAAAACAGTTGCACACGGACTAATACACGTTCCGTCCTGACACGTAAGAATCTTAACACAGTCTTTATTCGATTGGCATTCCGATTTGACAGTTCCGGGAGTATCAAGAATGCATCCGCCTTTGTATGCATCACCGGTCATGCCTCTAGGACAAATGCATTTGTATCCCTCTGGAAGATTCAAGCAGTGGGCGCCATAAGCACAAGGTTCTTCCTTGCATTCGTCGATATCCGTGCAGCCTACAAGTGGGTCACCTTCGTAGCCAGGTTTGCAAGCGCATTTTGGTGGATCACTTGGGGTACAGTTTGCGTTAATGCCACACGGGAAACGTTCGCAAGGGCTTTTGCATCTGTTATCATCGGCAATATCGGTGAAGTATGGTGGAGGGCAAACACATTCGCCTGGTTGTACGCAACGTTCATTTTCTGGACATTCTTTATCACTGATACATTTTTTCTGAGCTGGTGAGCATAGGCCGTTATAAGGGTCTCCACTATAGCCTTCTGGGCAATGACATTCGAATGCACCTTGTTTGTTAATACATTGCGCTCCATAGCCACAAGTTTGTTGTTGCTCCATGCATTCATTGATATCTTCACATGTTCCATCTAACGATGGCTTGAAACCTTTCGGACATGCACAATAACTAACACCTCCAGTTATTGTTATGCATTCGGCACCATTCGGGCAGGTATTATCTGTACCGCAGCTTGCCAATACACAGTTTCCATCTTTAAGCTCATATGGTGGTTGACATCGACAATCTGGACTGTTACATTCGAGACATTCTAAAAAGGGATTTCCATTGAAGCCTGTAGGACATTGACAATCGTAACTTCCAGGTAAATTTTTGCAAATTGCATTCAAGCCACATGCAGGTTTGTCTCTAAGCTCACTGCATTCATCGTTATCTCTACACTTGCTTGTAGCAGAGTCTCTAACGTAGCCATTAACACAAATACACACACTTTCACTGGTAAATTCGTCTAAGATGCACTGTTCTCCGGCTGGACATGGATTAGCGTTAGAACATCCTGAAGATATTGGAGCTATGCGACTGCAGCCACTCCGATAAGGATCACCAGAAGTTCCTCCAGGACATTGACAAGAAAAGGTTCCTGGCTCATTCTTACAAATAGCTCCGGCTTGACAGGGATTTTTGACACACTCATCAATGTCTGCACATCCTTGAGAGGAATTGGTATAGCCAGAACTACAAATGCAAGTTGCTAGGTGGTTAACAAGCATGCATTCTTCGTTTGGAGCACAGTTGATTGTTTCACATGGATCTGACAAAAATAAAAACGGTTAAATAATTTGAAATAAAAAAGGGAATAAAACTTACGTCTACAATCATTTCCAATATTTGGTTCTGGACAAAGACAACGTTTTTTATTATCGCAAAGCGCATTTCCAGGACAATCAGAATCAACATGGCAGGTTACAATTTCATTACATTTAGTTTTGGCATCGGGATCTGGCACAGTTCCCTCAGGACATTCGCATGCGTATCCTCCTGGATGATTGTCACATATGGCACCAACGCCGCAAATATTCGGAAGCTTGCATTCGTCGATATCGGTACATTGTTTATTAGGGTTTCCAGTAAAGCCTGGTTGGCATTGGCAAGCGAAAGTTCCAGGAAGATTTGAACAAAGCGCGTTGCTTCCACAACGACCACTAGGACCATTAGATTTGTCGCATTCGTTGATATCGATGCAGCCAAGAGAAATATCACTAGGGTTAAACGTCCACCCATCTTCACAGATACAATATGCCTCGTCTCCGTCTGGTTTACAATAAGCATGATTGCCACATTTCACATCTTCGCATGGTGCTTTGCACTGAATCATTGGTGGGGCACCCACATATCCATCTTCGCATTCACATTGAAAACTTCCAACTGTGTTAAGGCATTTGGAGTAAGGACCACAGGGGCTGGTTGCATTTTCGCATTCATTTGTGTCTATGCAAACCGAACCTTTTGGTGTGAAGCCTTTTTGGCAGAAACATTGGTTTTCTATGCATTCGGCGTTATTTGTACAATCGAAGTTTGATTGGCACAGAATGTTGACGTCAACCTGAATAAATTGTTAGATGGTCACAGTTTATTGAGAAAACGCATAAATGACTTACTTGTTCACAAGCAACTTCCGGGTTTGGTTTAGCCTGATATCCTTGAGGACAAATACAATTATAGCCAGGCACGGCATTTTCGCATATTGCGTGGGTTCCACAAGGTTTATCCAAAGTGGTGCATTCGTCAATATCCGTACAACCTTTCAACGGATCTCCGGTAAAGTCTTCCTTGCAGGTACAGATATAGCTTCCTACTGTATCTTTACAAACAGCGTTTTCTCCGCAAGGACTCGGTTCACATTCATTTACATCTGAGAACATTTTATAAAACGTGTTTTCCAAAAAAATATTCAAACTAAAAATACTAGCGCAAGCGCTATAGGAGGCATACCAAAAGAGGATAGACTGCAAAGAAACAGAACAGGTAAAGACATTCAACAAACTAAAAACAAAGAAGTAATACAGTTCCAGGCTGAAACAGAAATAATATAATAGTCTGCAAGATAATAATAAACATTAGACGATTGTACAAAAATGTATACAGTACAGTTAGGCTTTCTATAGATCAACAGGCTTTAATACCAAAACAAATAATACAACATTCTAAGTGGTTATGTGGGAAAAGTACACTTTGGGCCCATCTACACAATTTTGAACAGCGTATGATAGTTTTGTCTAATAATATGATGAAGTGATTACGCATACGCATTATTGCGATTATCCTCTCGATTTAAGAGATAGAAAATAGTGCGCATACGTATTAGGTGGGTTGTGTGGTGTTTAATGTTTAGTATACACTATCATACAACTGATCCTTTGCGAGAACTCCCGAAACTAAAATACTAAATAAAAATATAGGTACGGAAAAGTTAGTAGAACTGAAATCAAAGGCTAAGCTACAGTAAAACGACTACCAATAACTAGTAATTTGTTTTAAATATAATCAGAAAACTATAATTTTTCTGTTATATTGAAAACAAAAAAGTTTTTACAATAATTACAATCCGATTTACCATTTTTCAAGCAAGCATTGAGAGTATCAAAATATTATTGATAAATAATAATTTGATGCTCTCTTCAAAAAGCAAATCGGAGGTCTAAGCATTCCACAAGTCAACAAGCTACGTCAGCATCTGAAATGGTTTTTGGTTGGCTTGAACAAGAATTTTTATGCAGAGTAATATTATTGTTGGAGTTGGAGTTGCAATAATATAATCGAACAGGATTTGGACAGATGTTGTTTTTGAAATGTCCGTATTATCAGTCGATCGAAAATAAAATAATACCTACTTGTAAAGTTTTTGTAGAAACACGAAATATAAGTTCCAGAGCAATAGATTTTTTTTTTAGAAAACCAGTCAACTTATTTATAGCGAAATATTGAATTCATTCGTTATTCAAGTCAACCAAGCCCCAATTTCAAAACAGAACATTCAACGAGAAAAACAAACAAGCAAAGAGACTACCCAAAATACATTTGAATGCGAACTAACTTTCACAATAGAGCTGACCCTGTCCGGTAAACCCGGCCGGACACAGGCACTTGAAGGACCCGGGGACGTTAATGCATTTGGCGTTAATCCCGCAAGCGCCTGGCTTTCCGCACTCATTGATATCGACGCAATCCTCGTTAGCTGATCCCGTGTATCCATCGGGACACACGCACGTGTAGCTCCCGTTATTGTTCAGGCACGAAGCGGTTGCTGCGCAAGGGTTTGACTCGCACTCGTTAATATCTGCGCAGGTTGTAGGGTAAAGCGATTGGTTAGAGCCAGAGGTTTTGTGTGTTTCAGTTAGAAGGGATTTTCCAGTATAATCTGGTTTGCTATATTATTTAGTTAGTAATAATTATTATATAGCAACCACAGATTATTTTTTATTTGTACAGCAAAGAGAGAGTTAGTTAAAATAACAAAGAAAATTGATTTTCTTTTTTATTAAGGGATAAAATGCGTCATAAATCTTGTAGTTCGTAGAACTTATGACACACTTTAATAATTATTATTTGTTAATGTTTTTTTATTTACTTTTAATAGGTAAGTGTTTCTGGGCTAACGTGTCTCAAAAAATTAGTATGCAACTAAAAGGTAGCAGGGTATATAAGTTAATAAATATTATTTGATGGCATTTGCAGCATATTAGGGCCAATTGTTTGATGAAAAAAGATGGATAGAATAGAGATGTTATATTTAAGTTACTCATCTTGGTCACACAACAACATTGCACTTCTTTATAATATCTAATACTTATAACCTAAAATAAAAATTTCGGTTGCTGCAATTACCGGATAATAATAGTATTATTGGTTAATAAGTTACATATTTGTACAAACACAAAAAATTTAATGAAAAAGAAAATCAGTCTTCACATGTTTGCATCTATTCAATTTCCAGATCCTATAAAAAATTTATTCACGAGGTACAGAATTCAACCAACTCGCTCTTTGACTTATTTATGTACAGATATATGTACAAAGTGGTTAGAAATGTGATTATTAATTAACCAGCCATACCTGAGCATTCGAACATCGGGTCACCAATAAATCCTGTAGGGCAGGCGCATTTGAAGCTGCCATCCATGTTTGAGCAGAGTGCGTTTCTACCGCACGGACTTCTGGCACATTCGTTGGAATCTATGCAGCCAGTTGTATATGGGTCTCCTTCATAACCTACAGTCGGAATTTTTCAAACGCTTGAAGTTATCTGAGGCCTGGATAACTTACCTGGTGGACAATGACATTGTCTACCACCGACTAGATTGGTGCAGGTCGCTCCAGGTCCGCAAGCTCCGAGTTGTTCGCATTCGTCTACGTCAACGCACCCGTCGAATGGGCTGCCGTAGAAGCCTTCCGGACATAAACATGTGTAATTTCCTGGAGTATTTTGACAGTGGGCATCTTGACCGCAGGCGTTTGGTTGTTGACATTCGTCGATATCTGATATAAAATATTTAGTCTTATACTTAGAAGCAGAAAGGTATGATTAAGCAACTTGAAATAACATATAATGCGGTCGTATCAAAAAAAATATATATTTCTACTGCAGCTGAAGCATATCGAATACTATGAATTGTTATTTCTCCTGTGAATTAAGTAGGAGTAAACATTCAACCGTTGCGAAGAACACGCGGTTCAGGAACAGTTTACAAGATGAGCGTCGGATAGTTAAGAGAAATGTTTTCCAGCCGATCTGATGATAAAACATTTTCTCCTTGTCAGGTAAAATTACATTTTTTTCCACTGCTTCGTCAGAGCTGTAAAATATTTTAAGAGCGCTGCGCTGCGTGTATAAATATAGAGATAAACAGAGAAGTACTAAAGGCGTATATTTTATCTTAGAAATGCATGGCATTAAAACTAAGCAAATTATACCGAGAAATACTCCTGATGGGGTAATGGGTATAGAAATAAACTTCTTAGGGTCAACGAATGAATAGTGAAATACATAAACCTATCTATATTTGGGAACATGTTAACTAATTTTTAGCTGAGCGCCGCGCCGGTGATAAAGTATTTAAGATTTTGTTAGTGATTTAACAAGATTCCATATATTTTTAAATGTTGCATGTGCTTGACATAGGTAGGTATTAATTGATTCACTTATGTGGTCTGAATTGGGTATTTCGTCAAACTCCGGAATTCTAGTAGGGCAAATGCCTAAACATCGGCAGTTTTCTTTGCCATATGGATTGCCAATCTTCCTTCCCTATAGTTTATTTAATTCGTAGAGAATGTTTGATCTCATTAAGCCGATAGTTTCTTTCCTTCGCCATTTCAGCCATAGCATATTGATGTTCTCGGTCATAGTAACTTATAACTGGACAGATCTTGAACACATATTTGAATCACTTCCACTATTACTCCAAACAAAATCTGATGAGTCTAGCAGTTCCAATGTTATCGTTTCTCATTAAAAACGCAGATACCAGAAGATCTAACGATTTTCACAAAATTAAAATTAAAACAGCCTCGCAGGCATGTTTCAGTGACTAGAATCCCATTTCCTACCAGCCGTAATTTTTCAAAGCAACATAAAGAATTTCGTATGTTTTCTTCGTTTGCCAAGCTCCAATCTACGAGAAAGTTTCGTTTAATTTGCGTATTGATTCGCAATCGCAAAAACTAGCCGGTTAGGGACACGATGCGATGCTCAGGTTCAACGTCTCGACAATAATTTTATCTACTAGTACCAGCAGCAGTACCACATAGAGTAAATCGTTGAATAAATCCGCGCCTGCCAAGGAAACCAGAAAGGTTTTTAATTACACCTTGTCCCTAGTCCGCGCTGTCAGAATTGGCTGCTTGTTGAGTACAAACATCTAATCTATTGATCATAAATATAATTATTTGTCGTAATTTGTCTTTCGCATCATGTGGAGATTGCTTTGCAAAAATTACGTCATCCATTAAAGAGGCAGATAGAAGCTGATAGCATTAATTCTATTTAGCAGCTACCTGTCAATTCGGCTTCAAACAACTATTTTTGAACACCTTTTTCAGTAAAAATACTTCCAGTCTATACTGTAACTAAATATCTTCAAAGACAGGTCAAGCGTTCACCGAAACATAATCCAGTTTGACAGAAAGTGTTTGCGCATATTTCCCTTATATTCTAGATTTTTAGTCATGATAAAAGCAAAAAAGAGTAGGTAATTCAATACCCAGAATACGATCCGCCAGACTATTTTATCGTCGCATCGGTGTTGAAATAAAAAATTGATTAGTGGTCAGTTGATTGAAAATAACGAGCAGCTAATCAATCGCGTTGTCGTCATATTCGGTGCAAAATTATTCTTGAATATCGGTAGTCTTGGTATAAAATGGAGACCTTACGCTTTAATCTTCATTATAGTTGTTTTTTTCTCTTCTTTATTTCTTGCTAGCTTTTTATTGCCTATTGTATCCATTTTGTGTGATTCAGCAAGAAACAGTACTAATGGGTTTTCTTCATCTCTTGGGCTTCGATACCCTAGATCTTTGGATGACATTTTTTTTTTATAGTTCAAATGAAATGCACGCTTATGTAAGTGATTTTCTATTCATTAACATTATGTGCAATGTAATTTTATGGTTTCCCATTACTAAACAATATTGCAAAAGTAATTCTAGTATACTATCAATATTGTAACAAGCTTTTAGATCTCTTCGTTAGTTAGCAAAGGCAGTTGATTCGATCAAATCAATGTAATTGTAATCAAGAGTATTGCCCTCTTCTCCTGCCTTCTACCAGTGTCAACTGTCAGTCAGCTGTCTATTTTGATAGGTCTATCATAAAACACTTTTTACAAAAGGTGTGTTATGAGACATGACGAGCTTTTTATAGTGTTGAAATTTATAACAAACAAACCTCTATGGTTTTAGATGGTATTATAGTGAATAATTCTTCCGCGCCTTCTCATTTCTAGTTTGTCCTCAGGTTTGTCCCTTTTCATTTTTTTTGATCTCCAGGCTAGTCTTTGCCTTGCTTGTTGTTATGGATTCCTAGAAAAGCTGCTGGATATGTTCTTGAAATAATTCTCTTTTGGACGGTGGGAAAAACTTCGTGTTTGGCTGGTACCGTCGTTTTGTTCGTCCAATAATATTATTAAAACATTGAGAATCTTGGTGTTTCCATCTACAGACACGTTTTGATCTATCAAATCTCATCAGTGTGGCTAGGAAAGCAAAGAAAACTTCTGTTTGATTCGGATTCAATTCAGAATTCACGACCTTGATGAAATTCATCCCCAATATGCACGTCTATGTCACAACTTTGTAGAGCATACAATTCAACTAGCTTGAAAATAAATTGATTTTGCTAAGAAATTGATTTGCATTGTCAGAGGGTCAATTGAAAAAAAAAAAAATTTGAAACTAAACTTCATGGAATGATAAATTTTCTTTGTCCATTAAGGAAACTTACCCAGACATTGAACCTCACCATCTCCCTGAAAGCCGGGTTTGCATTTGCACAGGAAATGCGCAGGCAAATTGCAGCATTCTGCATTTTCCACGCACCTGGAGGCTATCGCGGGATCGGCGCATTCGTCGATGTCTGAAAGGGAAATTGAAAGAAAATTAAATTCCTAATCATCAGTCATTTAATTTATATTACCGCGCAGAGTAAATTATCTGTAACTAATGTTGGTCAGTTTCAGGTCATTATGTAAAACTTGAACGTGATAAAGAAGTAATAAATTGATGGTCTTTAATACTCTGCAACATTCTCATAATTCCTTGTGTACTCAAGTGAAAATATTTACAAAGCTTCTGCATTTGACATTACATCGTTAACATTTTGAACTCTGCACGACATTAGCCTAGAAAAGCAGCGACGTCATGTCCCCGAGGCCATTTCTTGCACGCAATTTTATCATCCAACTTGAATAAAATCCTTTTTACCGTACATTGTACGCGCCAAAGTAGAAATTGTTATTACGGCCACCATAAATTATTGCGCGCAGAAATATAGGTACGACTAGTACTGCGGCATAATCGCCCATGTACCCGTGGCAATGTAAAGCTGGTTCGCCTGGTAATAACAGGTCGTGAGGGAGACCTGGGGGATTTACTGCCTTTAAGCTGGGCTATTTTGTAATTATTTCAGTGTTAGGTGGATCGAGATGTATGAGCAAACATTTTGACAGTCAAGAGATGTTGGATTTGAATAATATCTTGTATCGTATCGAGTATGAGGACTTTTAATGTTTTCTTTTCATAATCGTTAGGTACCGCTCGCATTTGAAGTAGATTTTTTCAAAAAAAATCTTGTAGATTCTACTAATTATTCAGAAAAGTGAATGGTGGTTTATCGACCTCCTAGCGAAAATTCGGCTATATGTGGTCCGTATACGATCCTGATCTAACTGTATTCCGACCGGTAAACAGTCAACAGCAACAGGAAAATATTAAAATCTAATCGTCGGCTGCGATCTCGTTAATAATTAAAATAAACTTGACTTTTTGTTTACCACTACGCAGTTTGGGATTTTTTTGCGATAATTATTCGGTCGAGGAAGCGAGAAATTGACTTTTATGCGATGGCCATTCCTTCCTATGGGAACTCGTTTTCCATTAATTGGCCTCTAGCAAATGAAACTTCTCTCTAGGTAATTATAATGAATCATTATATGGAATGGTTTAAGCGATAAGTATGCACATGTCACAACATGTCACTTAGAGACGGGAGGAAGTTTATTACTTTCCACGCTCCGCTACGAAAACATTATTTGCCTTCTCAAATAAAAGCGGTGGCTTAATGAAGCAATGTTGAGTGCCGTAAATAATAGGCTGCAAACATTGTGATCAAGAAATAATCTATTAACAACTTTCAGCACATACGAAGATGAACGAAAGTGTGAGAACATTTTCCACCAACAGGAACATGAAAATAAGTAAATAATCCACAGACTGAATTAGTTTGTTTCATATTGTCAGGCATAATAATTATAAACGACGTGGACAATTTCAGTCTGATGGGAAATGGCATATTAGGTCACTAGTCCGGTAATCGAACTTCTGTCAAACGTAACTTGACAAAAGTTGGGTTAACAACGGGACAAGTTGTAGTCAAATCCCAAAGGTTGCAAAAATAAATCGTCACAAACATATGTATGAAATAAGTAGGGATAAATAACAGACTAAAGTAATGTATTGAACGATACACATCCGTGAAGTTATTATTGAATGACTCTGTTAGAAATTCTGGACTCAGGTATTATTATAGAGAGCATTAACTAATGAGATAGAGGTATAGTCAAAACCTTGTAGTCTAAAGATGACTGTATCAGGAGGATGCACAATATTTTAGCATCTGAATCTGAAATCAAGAATAAATGCCTTAGATTGCATAAACTAATAATATTTCTCAACACCGCGTTCAAATTTCTCTTGAATGATAAGTTTTAGATACCTACTCAAGGCACACCCCAGCAAAACGACCTTAGTTCCGTTTACGAAAAGAAGGAAGCTCCAACTCTTAACGGCATACAATTATCTCTCTCAGATGAAGTTAAGTATTTAGAGGTCACCCTGGACCACAAACTTACTTGCAACAACCATCTGAACAAAACAATATCACGAGCTACGGCGGCCATTTGGACCTGCCGCAAATTCGTGGGAAAAACATGGGGGGTAAAACCAAAAATGGTAGGTATATTGGATTTACCAAACGGTTGTCAGACCCATTGTCACCTACGCCTCGTTGGTATGGCGGCCAAAGACTGAGCAAACTACTGCTCAGAACAGTCTACGTGAAGCAAAAAGGCTAATCTGTCTATGGGGCTATGTCAACCCGCCCCATCGTACCTTAGATGCACTACTGAACATGCCTCCTATATGTGAATTCTAGACAAAATGATTCAAACCTAGAGATCAAGAGATCTGAATGGCCACTTACGCATCCTTCAGTCTATAAAGCTCGAGTGCCAAAGTGAACCAACAGATCATATGATAACATCACTGGACTTTGACATTCCATGTTATAAAGAATGCCAATCATGAAAGAACGCAAAGCTGCGTATCGATTACCCGCGGCAAACTATCGAACATTGGCTCGCGTGGCAGCCGCGCGCGAGCTAACTCAAATATTCGCGCCCTCGAATACGAATTTTTTGCTGCCTCGCGTAATGGATACGCAGCTCAAAGCTACTGCAAGCGGAAAACGCATCACTGTGGTACACGCATGGTTTGAACCTAACGGAAGGAGTCAGTCTGGAAATAACTGCACGAAATTTCAAACTCTCTCTAGCAATAAGTAAAACGCCGAACAATATTTCAAGCCGAGGTTCTGGCCATGAACATCTGTGCCTAAGAGTGCTTTGCAACAGGCCTTCCACAAGAGCACACCTACCTACATACTTTCCGACAGTGAAGCGGCTCTATAAAGCTAGTTTGGGAGGGTAAAAATATCCTCAAGCAACTGACTGGGAGGAATAAAGTAATTCTGATCTCAGGGCATAGAGGGCAACGAGGAAGCAGACCATCACGCAAAACAAGGCCCAGAGCCTTTTTGTGGACTAATGAAAAGCCACATTTCCGAAGAAGTGAACAGATGTAAAAAAGACCGGATGCTAGATCCATTCCGGGTTTGAGATAGGGAAAAAGGTTCACATCCATCTCAGCAAAGAGATCTGAATAACTTCTTGACATGAACAGAAGAGACATTAGAAAAGTCGTTTGTCTGCCCACTGGACACTGCCTGGTAAAATATGACCTAAAAACAAGAGACACATCAGACAATGACCTTGCGAACAAGCAACATAAATTATGGAACATTTAATTTCGTGAATGCTCTGTTCAGTTCCGCAAAAGGCAGGAATACCTTGAAGGCTTACACCACAAGAGGTGGGCACTTTACCACTCAGAAAGGGGGAGAAGCCTACAAATTTTGGACGAGCAAAATATTTGGAAAGGTAGCAATGCTTGAGCGGCTGGGAAAACAAATAGAATCTAGAATTTACAATCTACTGAAGCCACATGTCGAAAAATATATTGAAATATGCCAGTGTAGTTTCCGTCTTGGATAAACAACAGCTGAACAGATTCATATTTTATTCGTCGGAAGTTCCTAGAATTCAAAATGAACACCTATCACATGTACAGGGTGTTCCAACGAGAACTGAACAGGAGCTTATTTTTGACTTTTCCCTTCTGCGAAAATTATTGTATTTTGTAGATCAGTTTCAAATTGAATTTTAATCTAAAATGTACAAATTCCAACAAGTTCTATATTACATGTATAGCCAACAATGTAATCTTCTAAGAACCATGTCTACAATTGGATAGTACCTGGTTTTAATTTTACCTGAGACTAGGTAGGTACTTGAATTAAAATATTTGCATTATTTATCACATTCCAATTACTTTATTTTCATTATAACTTATGTAGGATTTGAATTGAAAAGAAAAGCTAAAATAAAGTATTAGCATTTGAAGCAAAAACGCCATGGATGAAGTGTCCTCTGATGTCTTTTATGTTGAAAATATTTGATATTCGGATTTAAACCTCAATAATTATTTTAATATAACGTGTTTAATTTAAACAGTTTATCTCTACTTTTTTTATACAAATTTGCACGAAATTATCCATAGAATCAAGATGGGCAATAGCTCCCTATTATTGTTATATTCGATAGCACAACTTTCAAAAGAGTTCATCATCAGTCAATTAACATTATGATTTGAGTATATTTTTGACAAATTTCTACAAATCTTTAATATAAATTAGTAGGCTAATAGTGAAAATTTACGTCGACTAGAAAAAAAGTGCGGAAAGTTGGTTCATTGCTCTTGGAAGGCCGTTGCTCTTATAGAAGAACTAGAAGAAGCATTATGAGTTGACCGACGCGAGGCGCTATAGTATTACATTTCGCAGCCTTTTAACTAGAACAGGATCGGAATTTAATCTCAACACCGGTCACATTGAAATCCTTTCTATCCCACGCCCTTTTTAAATTACTATTTTGTATTGTAAATAACGAACGCGTTAAATTTATGGAATAATGAATTATCGAGATGCAGTATCCAGGAAGATTGTAGTACTATTCTAAAATTGATAATACTTAACTACTTTTCAATTATCATTAAACAATAAGCGTTATTTTCCACACAACAGAAAATCTAAATTAAATCAGCAAATAATTAGCAAATGGCGTAAGCTATAAGATAACCAATTGATGCTCCACGGGTCTAAAGAATCAAATCAATTATACGCATGTAGATTTATTAAATGATTAGTTGGCTACCTAAAACCACGCCTATACTCAATAAATCAGCGTATTTAGCTTTGCTTGTGGAAGATGCAGTAGTTTATTAGACGTGAAGAATGGAAATAAGAAGCTTGGTGTAATAAGAGAATTATGTTTCTAATGGCGATGAAAAAAAAACTATAAATTAGAATTAGCAACAGAAATATCCAGCTTGAATAATAAAAATACTAAGCGGCATAAAGCACGCACACCTTTAGGTACGTACATAATATTAAACATTTACATATTCAAATACTTCATTCAATACATTAAAACGGGCCATTCAATTTCCTATGATTCATATCTG